GTGAGTGATTTTCTGTTTTTATTTTGTTGTTTGATTTAAATTAGCAGCATATATCAGAAGGTAGCCTATATTACGCCGTGCACATGTGACAAGTGGGATGTGAAAGTATAGTTCCTAACTCATTATTTTATTTACAATAGTCTGTTATATTAATGTTTATATATAATTAGTATTATTAAGTTTTGTCACCGTTTAGCACTAGACCACGAGTAATTATTAAGAAGTGGAATGCAGATAATGCTGATCCCTGTCTGTGTGGGTTGATTATTCGTCGATCTGAAGGCGCCAATAGTATCCAGCTGCAGACCCGCAGCACCACCAGTTTCAGAACCCCAGCGCCAGAACCGGAAGTAAGGGGCGGAGCTTACGTTCTAACACCAGCGCCAGGACCGGAAGTGAGGGGCGGAGCTTACGTTCTAAACCGAGTAACGCCACCTAACGTTTTGGAGCGTAATTTGCTTAGACACGAAACGGCATTATTACACACGAAACGTCATACTTTATACGTGCTATAATGATACATTAAGGTATAGTACAATTAGCATTTTAAAACATTGATTTTGTGTAATATAATTCTATATAGTTATCCGTTTCATTGTATTATGAGAGTTACTTCCTGATCATGATGGTGAAAAATAATGCTTGAAACTTATGGTCATTTTATATAAAATATACTTTATTTCACAAGAACAATGTCAAAACTCTAAAAAGAGAGAGAAAATCCGGCATTGTTTTAAAAGAAACCATAAAAATGTACCGTACTTCAAATAATAGCCGAGTCCCAAATAGACGATCGTCTCTTTACACGCCTGATGTGGCTGCAGGTCTGGCAAATATAAGGCCGGTCTCAAATAGAGGTCGGGTCTGTTTTTTAGTTTCAGGTTGTATTAAATCTTCTAAAACCCGTCAGATCGTCCGTTTTTTGGCGGCCGCCAAAGCAAATTTTTGTCCCGTCAAAGCCTTTTTTGATCGGTGAGTGATGTAGAATAGAATGACTGCTGCGCATGACAGGGCGCTTAACGAGCAGAGAGAAGCCTTGTTTATACTCGACGCGTCCGCACGAGCGCGAGTCTCCGCTGACTGCGCGCGGACCTCTCCATATGGACGAGGCGTTTATACTTGACGCGCTCGCCGTTGTGCTATTCTGTGAAACGACAGGGGGCGACTCGGAGTAATTCTCCTCTAAACCACCAGGAATCAGCAGTGAAGAAGTAGTTTGCCATTTATTAGTAGTTTATTAATTTCTGATTCATATAAAAAGAGTAATAAATGCAGTAGGTTTATTGCACTTTCACTGCATGTAAACTAGTAAACAACTGAAGCCTTATTGAAGAGTGTTTAAACCTTAATTTCATCAGCAGGGCTTAATTCTGCTATTGTAGGCTTATTTTGTAAATGTAAGCAGTTACTTTATACAAGTGCAAACTGGGTGCTTAATGTAAATGTGTTCCTATTCACAAAATGAGAGGCTTTTATGGTCGCCCATCAATGCAAATGTCTCTGTATATAGAAGGATCATAAACATGCTGATACAGACGTACCAGTTCGGCCAGATTCGGCTCGAAGTCGTTCATCTTCGGATGCGGCGCCGCGCGCGATGTTACAAAAAGTGCCGTGCACACCGCCAGGCGAAATGGGGTCTTGCGCACCCAACGCGCACGACCGCCCACACCGCAATGACGTCATTTTTGCCGCGCGCACTTCGCGCTCTTGCGGACGCGTCGAGTATAAACAAGGCTAGAGAGAGCCCTGGCCGCGCGCACGCACTCTTACGTCTTCAAACAACACCAGCGCTGTCTTGCTCTTTATTTGTCACATACAAGTTATAGTTCATACAACGAGCAGTGACTCACTGTGTAATAAAAACATACCCTAAATATTATTTAAAAGGTGCAACAATCTGAAATATTTTTAAATACTTGCAAAAAAAAACCATGTTACCATTTACAGTGTTACCATAACCAGTTACCATTGTGTCATTGTAAATAATTCCGCCCCTCCCTCACTTCCGGTTCTGGCGCTGGGGTTCTGGCACTGGGGTTGTGAAACTGGTGGTGCTGCGGGTCTGCAGCTGGATATATCTCGAAGGCGAGAGCTGCGCGTGTGTGTGTGTGTGTGTGTGTGTTCTTCAACCTTCTCCCGTTCTTTTCCCCTTTTTAAGGTATTTGCCACTCACAAAGCAATGTAAACTCTAACACATGTTGATAGTACATTTCGTTATGTTACTGTGGTTTTATATGACTAAAAGAGTCGTTTTTGCACTGTTTAAAGAGTTTCGTGCTAACGGAGAAAATGTGTAACATTATGCTAGCAGCCGGAGACCTCGTGGCTCCGTCGTGTCGGAGTCCCGCTATATACGAGTGTTAACTTCGTCGTTGGTGTTTAAGCTAGCTATTGCTACATCCACATATTTTTGTTGCAAGATTTATTGTGAATTTATCACTATAAGGGTGAGTTGCGTCATGCTGAGTCAATGAATACTGTTAACAGTATAATTCATTTTAGTGTTTTGTGAGAACTAATGTAAAAAGGAGTATTAATGTAATTTGATAACTTTGTTTAAAACAATTTAACTGCTGACATCTAGCCTATAGCTTTCTGTGAGCGTGCTTCAGAAAACCATATATCAGAAGTTAGACTGATATGGCTTTACAACGCATGCAGATAATAAATTTTAATACTGATGAAGAACTGCATTGAACAATGCAATAAAGATGATAATCAAAACTAAACAGATGTTTTGTTAGTTTTTGGCAGAGTATCAGAGGCACTGGCTAAAGGCTCAGATCTCTTCTAGAAAGCAAGGTGGGGAGCAGCAGCTCATTCGCATTTAAAGATACATGCACGAAAACAGAATGTTTTCCCTTCCCACTCAAAAATGTACATTGTATTTACAACATGGTATAATAAATAATCTGTGGGGTATTTTGAGCTGAAACTTCAGACACATTCTGGGTACACCTGAGACTTTGCCTATCTTGTAAAAAGGGGCATAACAGGCCACCTTTAAACCATTCAAAGCAGGATTTATGAAGTCACTCCAGAATGGAGAATGTGATTCATTGTGTGTGATAAGCTGAGACACAAATGAAAAAAAGATTAACGGAGTGCCGAATATCTTTAATTATGAAGCGCAGTACACAGTCTAATTAAGTGCAGCTCTTTATGCAATGGCTGAGTAATTAATATTGTCATGGGGAAATAGATTCACTTTTTATGTTCTCAAACCTCTTATTCTTAAGGAATTGTTCACCTAAAATTCTAATTTTGTCATTTACTCACCCTTATGTCGTTTTATACCTGTACAGTTAGTTCTGTGTGACACAAAAAATATATTTTTTCACAAACTTACAATTTATATATACTGGAGATTTCAAGCTTCAAAAAGTATATAAAAGCACATTCACATTCTTTATCTTTATATGCATTTTTAAAAAGTGGGCTCCACCAAAGCAACAGAATGTTCACATAGCAGAGTTGTTATTAACTATAAAAAAAAATAAAAAACTTTTTTTTTAATTCATTTTTTTTGTTGTTGATTGAAATAAAACTAAACTGAAAATTATAAATATTAGATCAAATGTAATCTTACATGTAAAGTTGCCTTCTAAACTAACTGAAACACAATAGGTTTAAGTTGAAGTACTAAAACTGAAATAAGAATAATACAAATTACAGACCAAAAAATATAATTCACTGGAAAAAAAAAACACACTAATATTATATGATTGATTCTTCAAAACCAAAGTATAGAAACGCACAATTAGTGAGAGAAACTGACCAAATTGCATATTCACTGATTTTGATTCAATCTGAAACGGATTCATTATTATTATTATTATTTTTTTTTTAACTAGACCTTTTTGTATTATTGTCTTAATAAAATAATGCTTTAATGAAAATGTGTATCATAAATATTTTTGCAACTAAACATTTTATCGAGATGGCCTTTAGTCGCGAGTATAATCACAACTGTAGCACCATGTCACATATCTTACTGTTTACTATATATCAAATAATGTTATCAAACAATATTTGTTTGAGAGTGCTTTCGTGATAGCTTTGCTACATTTATCAGAAAATAAGTATATACTGTAATGTTAATGCTATTATAGCTATAAGCCTAAATGCTGATTTGATTGGGCATGTGGCAATTTGACCTTGATAAATGACTGTCCAGGTCTCATTAGCACAGCCTTCCAGCTGTGAGCCCTCCAGCGAGATGCTCCAGCAGGACTAATGAGACTGATGCATAGGTTAATATTTCAATTTCTGCTGCTTATATATAACTGCCTGTTTGTTATCAGACTCTTCAAAAGACTAATGATCAACCCCTGACTGCAAATCATTTTCAATGCATGCAACACACATTTCTGAGCTTTTATTCGCTTTTCAACTGATACAGAGCTCGATGCTGATGTCAACATGCAAGGTGATCTTAGCTATCACTCATTAAGCTGTTAACTCAATTGCTATACTTCTAATGATATGCACTACCTTAAAGAAAGAATAAATTATGTAACAAATTAAAGTAAATTGAAATAAATAAGTCGATCTAGCCATGCCATATGCTGCTTTGGAAGCTCTGATTTCAACATATTACAGGGTGCAAACCAAACAAACAGTCAACACAATTATAAACAACTAATAACATTCCATTTCATGACAATAAACAAATTTCACATCTTAACGTGATAGTGGCTACATGGTCAAATCAAGGCATTCATAAACATACTACCACAGAAAAGGAATATCAAGTAACAAAAAAAGACAAAACTCAATCATGATGCATTATTTTAAGTCTACTTGACTGTCTGACTGAATAAGCCCGTGTTAAATTCTCGTACAAATATCAGATATACAGTATACAGATGCCTTTTGTGGGATGCAAAATCATGCTGGAGCAGAAATTCACCCAGACTGGATAAGAAGCAGAAAATAGAGAAAGAGTTCACACATCAGACATATCCAGCCTAATTTCACTACTTTTGTCGACACACACAAAAAAAAATCCCTGGAGAAAGCGTCCTATAAGCCATCCACCTTGAGAATGGTCTTCATTGCTCTGGACCAGATGTTGCATCTGTCTCTACTCCGTCTGCTCCCCCTGCTTGCAAAACACACACTTTTATTAGGTTTACAGCACTTGAATATTTCAGTTTGTCAACAAACAGCTGTCTAGTCAACTATGAAGTAACAGGGCGATGATGTAAAATCACTCGCTGCAATATTTTTTTGTGTATTTTTTTTTGCTTCTCAAGTAAATGTATCTTGATTTAAAGAATGTTTCGATATCTGTACTGGAAAACAAGACAAAATTACTGAGTAAGAAAATATTTTGTTGCAGTGCTAGATAGCTTGGCATTCATCACAAAATATATGTGACAAAGCTTTACTTATTGATTTATTTTGCCAGAATATGAGTTGATAGGCGGTCTTTTTGTCGGAGTAAAACAGAGCACAGCCTCATTTCGGCGATGCAGATGCACCTGAGGATATAAATAACACTTCCATACATAAAATGCTTAGCAACCGAGAACTGGGTTGATGTTGCTCGGGAAAGGCCTAAATTCGGCACAGAGGTGGGGTAGAGTGGAGCGGCACAGCTGAAGGAGAGATATTTGGGCCCGGCTGGAGTTTGGAAGGACACCTTCATTCTCATTGCTTGCCCCAATTTTTACATCAAATGACCAGATTTGCTTGGTTCCTCGTCAAAGGATGACGCAGATGAAGGTAGTTCAGATGGAAGCTGTGGTGTGAGAACATTAACGGTCTTTTCATCAGCGCTGGCCTATTTGTTGCTTCAAATTAGAATCTCAACACACCTCTGGGGATCAACCAATCGAGAGCCATTTGCATACATACTGAGCGGAGGGAAACTTTTTGTGCAGAACAAAACACATTACCCGAAAGAAAATTGAAAGGGGGATAAATCTGCGCAAGGCTTTAATATTGAGTCCTGGAATTGTGGAGGCTTAAGCCACCCACAAAATAAATTAGATTTGAAAGATCTGTGTCTCAACAAACTGAGATAATAGAGAATACAGAGTGACTCTGTGGACTCCATTGGCTGTCTGTAAATCGGTGAAACGGCTGCAATCTTTTAACAATCAGGGAAAATGATAGATGTGCTCATTAATAATTACTTGATTAAGAAAATGAATATCCAAAGCAGTCAGAGGGTAATTAAAAAGCACACTTGTGCATGTCTTATGTTTACTCAGTATAAAGATATGACTCATTAAACATAACTGACATTATAGAAAGAGGGTGAATCAACATACTCTTGAACTCTCATTAAAGTTCAAAGCTCTAATTGTTTACTTCAGATCTCAAAGCCAAATTCTACAAGGATCTGTGAGGGTTTTTAAGTGTCTTGCCAAGCTGAGTTGGATCAAGATAGCTGGCGACCTCTGCACAATGTGGGATGGTGTTGAGTCATAGCTCTTTGACTGTTGGGGACAGTGACTGACCTGAGTCCCCTTGGCTGCCGTTGAGGGCCTCACCACTGCTGCTCACCTCCTCATTGGGCTTTTCCCCAGGTTTCATCTTCTTCCGAGTCATATGACCACGGAAGCCGGCCTGGATTTTGGCGGCCGCCTTATTGGCCTCTGGGTCATCCAATGGGATGTCCATGATGTCCTCTTCCTCTTGTGGCTGGCTGCATTCCTCCTACCAGGGATGAACAATAATTTCAGCAGGGGTGTATTGCATATTGATTTTGCTCTTTCTTAAAATGTTTCAGAATCCACTGAGATCTTATATACCACCCTAGTGGGTTTAGCATGATGTATCTCTTGCCCATTTAAGCCCCCTTGCAATGAATCACTATCCATAAGCTCTACAGAAACTTTTCTAGGACCAGATTCTCCCGCACATCTACAATCACCAACTGAATGATCATGTTGGATTATCAAAAGAACCTTTCAGTGACCAGTTTTTAGAAGAGCCATATTTTTCTTAATGAGAAGAAAATGAGAAGAAAAGTGGAAACCCTTTTCCACTATAACTTTTGTGAAACGGAAAGGGTCCATACATTTTTGTTAAACAGAAAGTTGTTCATGGAACCATACAGATGCCAACAAATAACCTTTATTTTTAAGAGTGTGAGAAACCTATTACCTGTAGGCTACCTAATGAAAATAAAATTAACAGAAATGTAATAAAACCTAACCACCTTGACGCAAAGACCAACTGTGACCAGCTTCCTGTGCTCTGTGAAGCATGTAATCACACATCATTAAAGAGTGTGTGGTGGGATGTGATGTTATTTGTCTCTTTATGTCTTCCTTAAGCTGTGAAACCACATGCTTTCTCCCACAACAACCAACATAGCATATGTAAAATGGCTCAGCAGAGGCTGGTTGGCAGTCTTTAAACAGCGTGTGTGAAGAAGATGAGCAGAAGTCCATTGTAAAACCCTGTCCACCCACTTTTGAACTAAGAATCAGCCTCTTTTCATATTAACCAAGCATTTTGCCAAAATGCTCATACATGGCCACAGGCAGAGGCGTTCCACAATCCCCTATAAATAAGCATCTGTTCATTTTACTGCTTCCTCAGAGACTGTGTATGCTTACCCATGGATCACCTCTAATGAAACTGTGCAGTCACAAGCCTTTCCCATGTCTATACCAGCCTATTTAAATTATATGATGAAAGATTTGTCATATGCATAAGCAGCAAGCAGAAATTATTGAGGTCTCAGCACAAGGACCTCTTGAGCCCATGAGCTCACAAATTTGTTAATTGTTGACACCAACACAATAACTACATTCATTTTGTTTTTCACTATTATAATAATGACACTTTAAAATGCCACTTTCTGTCTAAACAGGATAACACTTTGCATGCTTAAATAGGATTAACAAAGTTTTGTGACAATTGACCAGTTAACCTTGTTAATGGCTGCTGAAAGCTGATTGGCAGCTGATGACAGACACATTTTAAAATATGCAAATGTAGTCACGACCAAACATGGCATACAAAACAAGAAAAATTATACATACATTTAGCCTACTAAAATTCATTAAAATTACTTACTCCATTATGAGATTATAGCCACACCCACGTCATATACTAGCTTTAGGCAACCATGTTTAATTGAAAGTTCAACATAGTTATGATTAATATTGGTGATACTGACTACTTAAAAAAATAACTACTTGGCATTTTTTATTTATTTCCAATGGCAAATCCAATATAGCCATAGGCTATAGCGCCACCATAATAATAACAACACAGAGAAAAATGTGGGATCTTTTGAACTCTTAGCTAAAGCATAAATTGAGCTACTCGTATGCTTATACTTTTCAAGGCATGACATGTACGGTTAAAAAAGTGTGAAATGATAATGAGCACAAAATATACATAATAAACTCACAAAACCGTTCATAAATTTACTGGACATGAAATTTACCGCCATTAAATAAAGTTCCAAAACAAACACGTATCTGCAAAATAAGTTTAACGTTACTATTTTACTAAACAAGCAAATAAAAAGTTAAAGGATGTTTCCAGGTACCACTGAATCATTATCAAACTGGTTCAGTTTTTAAAAAAGGATGCTTTATATTTATTAAATACTTTTCACACACAAAAAATCGATTAAAGTTGTCAGGAGGCTACTTACGACATGACAATCCATGACGCGCAATTACAGACGCTGATAAACGTGTTTTCGTCTCGTGCAAGCGCAACAGAGCGTAAACCTCCTCACAGGGCAAAATACCTTGGACGAATAATCCTCTCCTCCAACTATCCTTATAATTCAGAGTCTTTTAGGGTGGAGAGAGAGAGAGAGAGAGAGAGAGAGAGAGAGAGAGAGAGAGAGAGAGAGAGAGAGAGAGAGAGAGATAACGCGTGCGCGCGCGCGAGCATCATCATTTTGACACCACTGACAGGTCGGTCTTTACTCGTTGCATATATTTTGTTTAGTGTTGACGTTTACAGCGCCATTATTCTCACTTTCCTAACACCTGCTACCAAAAGGATCAGAGATTCGCAGTTTAGCCTTGCAATGGAGAAAAATAAGATAGAAAAGGGACCCACCATGGTCTAAACGAATTATATTACATTACTTCTAATATGCACAGTCCAAAATATTGCTGAGGGCTATCATCATAAACTAAGAAAATACTAGAAGCAGCCCTCCACATCTCAGTCAGTCCCACACAGTCCGTGCCTCCTCCACCCTGTGGCAATATACTTTATAAGACAAACAGACAGTAAATCCATTGCCCTTTATTTCTCTAGAACAGTGCTCCATCTCCTGCCTCCTACCCTACCAAGATTAAAGAGAGAACATGCAGCTCTGTGCTGTAATGATATCACTTCTCTTTTCTTGGCATCTGTTGGATGTGTAAGCCTGGGAGCTAATAAAGTCGGTTCACAGAGCATGGAAGTGTTAAAACAGAGTTTCCTAGAAGAAGATGAGGTGACTTTACAGTCGTGCCAGAGATTGATGATAGCCATGAATATTGTTCCTGAAAATAGAAAGATTCCCTTGCCCCTCCTACAGCATATAAAGTCATTGGACAAGAGTTGATATAGGTCAGGTTAGATGACCTACATTGGAGTGAGAGGAAGAGAGCTTTGCTTTAGTGCGTGTCTCTAATTAACCCCTACAGAACTTGAAACTCTGCACTTCGGACAGAGGATTGTAAAGTGAAGCAGCTAATTGGGTGCATACAGTATTATGTTTCTTTGGAAACATATCACACAACTCCAAAATCTAGATCAGTTTCTCCCTCAGATAAATGGTCGGTAAAATGTTTCCATGGAAACACCACCAAATCTGTCTCCTCCGAACCCCCTTAAATAAGCATATGGATTTTGTTCTGACCTCTTGGTAAAAGATCTAAACTTCTTTTTGAACATCTCTTTATGAAATGTTGCAAACATTTCTTTACGTTTATGCATAATGTTTATATGATGTAAGATGTATGTATAGTTTGAGCTTTTTTTTACTCTTGCGGTCTTGTACTCACCAGCTGGACTATTTCAGGACATCTTCAATCACTGTTCTCCAGAGAGGAACAGAGCCATGCTGTTGATCAGACATGTCCTTGAAGATTTTATTTTTACTTATTAACTTGGGACAATAAAAGGAACAGTCTGCATCCAAGTTAAGGATGACGTGGGACTGTTTGATTGTGGCAAAAATCATAATCATGATTATTTTGGTAAATATTAAAGGAGTAGTTGACCAAAAAATTAAATTTACCCCATACTTTATTCACTCTCAAGCCATCCTAGGTGTATATGACTTTCTTCTTTCAGCCAAACACAATCTGAGTTATATTATAACATTGTAATGGCATTGAATAGCGCATCCATCCATCCATCATAAAAGTAATCCAGAAATCTAAAAGTAATCCAAGCCTTTGCCGAAAGCCAGTGATTATAGTTTATAAAGTTTTAAATATGGATATTTTTCTTACAAAAACCCATCGCTTCACTTCAGAAGGCATTTATTAACCCGCTGGAGTCATATGGATGGATGTATGCGCTTTTTGGAGCCTTAAAAAACAATGCCATTACAAAGCTGGTAAGAGCCAGGATATTTTTTAATATAACTGCGATTGGGTTTGGCTGAAAGAAGAAAGTCATATAGGATGGCTTGAGGGTGAGTAAATTATGGGATAATTTACATTTTTATTTTGGGTGAACTGTTTCTTTAAGATCATGTTTATTTAACACTATTACTTAGTTATTTTGGAAACATGCTGCATTTATTTGGGATTTTTTTTTTTTATTGTATTATCAAAGTCTTATTGAGAGTGCCTTTCCTTGAACTTTAAATATAGAAAAACAGAAAAACAAATAAAAATAAATAAATGTAAAAATAAAATAAAAAAATAAAATAAAAATAAATTAGATCAAACTAAATAAGATCATTGTTATTGTACTTCCACAGCCTAATGAAAACATTTAGGGAGGAGCGAAAGCACACAGCTGTAAAGCAAAGGGGTGCGCTGGATTGTTGTTTTACGCCAAAAAACTCTCAGATGTTTTAGGCCAAAAAACATAATTCGAAATAAAATTGTATTATTCGGCCAGCCTTAGGATGAGGCTTCTATCACAACATAAAATATAAATTATGCAATCCATATTTTTTTATACAAAAACCATACTTTTTGTTTATCAAATGGGAAGGGAGTAAAGGAGAAAAAAACAACAAAAACGTACCTTTGGTTCACTGCTGTCAGGATTCTCCTGGTTCTCACTTTCAAGTGTTGATTCCTGGCTTTTATCTCTTTGCTCCTCCAACTGATCCTCCTGATCTGCATCATTCTCAGTCTGTTCTTGTAACTCTGTAGGATGTTCTTCACCGATAACCTCTGTTTCTCTCTCTAAAGGCCTGGGCTCAGCTTCTTCAGCATTCTTTGGTTCAGTATGGGTTCCATCATCCTCCTCATCCTCAGTTTTCACCATATTTTGCTGAGGTATGTTTGAAATGTCTGGATCCATCTCTTCAGCATCACAGCCATCACTGTCAAGATCACTCCCTTCATTTACATTCTCTGTGTTTAGATCTTTCTCAGAAGCTTCCATTACATCAGTGTTTAAAATTGCATTGCTTATCATATCCTCTGTTACTTCCGATTCACTGTTGTTTAGTTGGGAAACTGGCTTTGGGGTTTCTAAAAGGTCTTCCTCAATTGCATCAATATATTTAGATGTACTCAGTTCATCATTGCTGTTCTCAGCTTCATGCTCACCTGTATGAGTAGAAACCTGATGGTCATCTTCATCTAGAACATCTATGACTTCACTTTTACTGTCATTTGTTTCATCACCGTAGTCAATATATGCGTCTTTCATTTCCATCAGTGATTTACTATTGATATCAGATGTGGAATCAGTTACATCTTCTACAAAGTCATTGGTGCTGCTGTACTCATGATTGGTCTCTTCTTGATCTTCATTGTCTGGCAAGTCATCCTTTTCTTCAATATGTTCCTCTGATTCCTGCCCTGCTTCAACTGCACTTTCAGTAACATCTTTTTCAATTGTACTTTTTGCTGAATCCTCTACATAAACCTGCTCAGTGCTCTTTTTCTCCGAGTCAGTGTCTTCTAATAAAGTATCAACCATTTCTGCGACTCCCTGTTCAGCATCTTCAATATGGCCACCATCATCATCATCATCATCATCATCACCATCAGACATTTCATTTGGTGGTTTGCCTACATCTTGCTCAATATGTGAAGGGGTTTCAACAAAAGATTCATCTTGTGATTCCGACTGTTTTCCATTCGGAGGCGATGGATTTGGGCTTCCCAAGTCTCTGTTGGTCTCAGTAGATTCAGATGGGTGGCTTATCTCTTCAGCACATACATCGACATTTGCTAGACCACCAAAGGCAGGCAGAGGTGTAGGCTCAAGTTCGGATCTGCAGATATCAATATCTACAGCTTCTTTTACGACCTCTTCATCTTTCAGTACCTCTGATGTTTGTTCTGGAATCCCGCTGGGGTCCTTCAGCTCTTGAGCACATATATTAACATCTGCTGTTCCCATATAGGGAATATCTGCAGGAGGTCTGTGTTCCCTCTCACTGGATTCCTCATCGAGCTTCTTTTCTAACTCATATTTTTGCTTTACTTCAGTGTCCTCTGAATTATTAGTGTTGAGGTCTTTTAATGCAGAATGTTGGGTTTCGTTGTTTCCAAAAGTTTCAGAACGGCCAGTGTTGTTTCTGAAAATTGACATGTAAGAAGGTATGCAACAGTGATTAATAATAAAAATAAATAAAAGCACAAACCAGTAGAACAGGAGTAATAAATGAATCCTTATGTACAACCCAGATGCATATCTGTGCTCTGACAATACAATCAATCGTCCGAAAGCCGCCCTCGGCTTGATCAAATGATCGAAGCCCTGCCTCAGAGACGGAGAGCCGCCCGCAGTGCTTCATCCTGCTATAATGTTTTAAACCTGCTGCACTGCCACAATGTACAACCAGAATAAAGGAAATCAAACCAAAACTACAAGTTTTATTGTCTAAATTTTCATCTAAAATCTCACTCTGTCTTCACTTCAGTCTGTCTTCATTTCGATTCTTCTCTCATCTGGAAAACTGTAAGGGAGAGTGAAAGAGTGAAATCACATTTTCTCATCCACACACCTTGTATTTATTTTAGGCAAAATGGAGTTTCCCTGTATTGATGTGCCCTGTTTTGAAAAGAACAAACAACACATGCATGTTAGAAGGAATAACTGCAAAATAATCTAAAGGTTCAGAGTTTTGTCTTATTTTTTAGATACCTTAAACGAGTGATTATTGTAGAACCTATCTTCCATCTTTGCACCCCACTCTGCTGGATCAAGGCCACTTTCTGGAACAAAACACATTAATTATGTCCAAGCATGCATTGACTATATAGATTTAATAATAGTAGCCATTGCAAACAAAATTATTTCTGCCTTGGACAAAGACATTTTGTAGCCAGCAATGACTAACTCATACTGTATATGAGTAACTCATATATCATCAAACACTATTAAACATCAGGATCAAAGGAAACCATCTCAGTCACCTTCTCTGGCTTTAAGAAGCTCTGTGAAGTAGAGAGCAGCAAAGGTAGGGATGTCCCCAGGCTGGTCTCTCAACACTTCTCTGGCAAGACCCTCCAATAAATTCCCAAAACCTTTAGGGATCCGCAGGTTTGTGTTGGAAAAGGGAACAGACATCTTATACAGCACCTCAAGTCTGATGAATAAGTTTAAAAAAATAGGGAAAAGACACATTCATTAACAATGAACGGTATTACAATGGTACACAAAATAATTTAATACAATTATTTAGTTTAATCCCATCAAGATGTTTAGTTTTACCGCATGACATACACTTATTGGCATGATTGACATGTTCTAAAAGTCATCAAGATGAAAGACAAACAGGCGTTTTTTTTATCAGTAAAATGAACGACATATTCTAACAATTGTTCTGTCAAACCCACATTTTCTTGTTTGGTTAAATCGGTAGTTACAATATTATATATTTAATAATGTTGCAAGGTGGACTGGCGTGATGTATCTTACCGGTTAAAACGAGCTGAATGTTGTTGTCAACCGTTGCTATGCAACCAAAACGTGGTTCCAACTACCGAAAGCGGAGAGGGTCAAAACGATTCAGATTGAAGTAACTTAGTATTTAAACCTATGTTAAAAATGTCAAAATATTAGTAGCATACCAATATAGATATTTAAACACGCAATATAAAATTTTAGGAATAAAATACAACAACAACAACTCTACAAAACCAAAGAAAAAATTATTTATTTATTGCCAAACATTAAACAAAACATTAAAAAGCTTTCAGTAGAATTTAAGAATCGAATTGCTGGGTATTCGGTAGCATTAATTTAGCTATGGGTAACAGGTGATTTTACTCAGGTCAATTCTTCAGGATTAGCCTACCTGAGAAACATTTCCCCTCACAATATTTCAGCTATGTGTCTCTTCTTTCTCTTGCATGCTCGATTCGCGAGTCAATTAAATGTTTTAAAGTTAACCTCTAAATCGATTCACAATTCAGTCTGAATCATTCAAACAGTCGTTCATCGAAGTTCATGAAATTCAACCCCTGGCTGCGTTTGCAACAACGAACAAATACTGCAGGTAAAGACATTTTCCAACAGTATCAAAACAGCTAGCCTACAGTTAATATGACAATGTTTTTGACCATATACCTTAAACACCTTTCATTGTCCTAACCAGGCGCGTCGTTAGACATGGGCATTCGGGGCTTCAGCCTTTTTTTAGCCCCGGATCTCAAAAAAATTAATTTATTGATAATTATTATTATTTTTTAATAATTTTGTATTTATATAAAAAAAAAATTACCGGGTCTTTTAATCTATCCTTCGGAATCATGTATTAAAGACGATTAAAATGTGTTCAAGCAGATCAAAGTTACTGGTTAGTTACAGCACGCTTGCATTTAGAGTGCGCACCAGAGGAGAGAGAGAGCGTGAAAGAGCCATATTTGTAGCTTCTGGTGGTAGCTATTATGGACATTAGAGGGGGAAGGTATACTATATACTATATGAAAACTATAGTATAATGTGAGATAGAAATACAAATTTAAGTCGTTAAATTCAAGATCACGTAAACGTTTCCCTCCGCTGCGGCTGTCAGTCATTCAGCATCAAACAGCGCGTTGCGTTTGGTTACGACAGTCAACGATGAAACTCTCTCCAAGATGATTCAATGTTACTATTATTATACTTTATCGGACGGTAGATAAAGCTATATGGTTTCGCATAAAATGACTATATCTTGCTGGACTGTATAGGGCAGGGGTGGGGAACGTCCGGCCCCCGGGCCGTAACCGGCCCGCAAAACAGTTTGATGCGGCCCGCGAGTCAAATCCTCCCAAAAAAAAAAAAAAAGAACCTCAGAACCAAAAATCTCAGCCATTACTTTTCCTGTGACAGAAAACACAAAATAGGCAAAACGGCAAGCAGGGCGAGGCCAGTAGCGCGAGTCACCTGCGCACCGGTTTCAGTTTCTCACGGATGAGCTTCGGGGGCGCGCGCGCCGCACCGGTTTCAAGTTTCTCACCGCGCCCCGCACCGGTTTCAAGTTTCTCACTGATCAGCTTCGGGGCGCGTAAAAGGATCGGAACGAAGACAGCGGAGGACCAGGCATGGACTTTACTTTATGTGTGTGTGGTCGTCGTCCACGAGGAGCTACTGCTTTTACTTTCGTTTTGTCATTTGCGTATTAATGTATTAAAGTGGTTTAAACGTTTGCCGGTTCCAGGTTTTTGTTCCTTTATCCACCTCTAAATAGCTATAAATTAAGCTTATGTCGTTTTAGTTTCATATTGTTAATTATTAGTTTCATAGGTTGTTAAACCTAAGACGAACTCTTCATATTGCGCTGCATTACTGTCAGTGTTGTTGACTATTACTGACGGTAAGGTTGCGCTGTTGACGCTCGCGCAGCCTCTCGAGCAGAAATCTACACACATGAGCGCACACACACACTCAGTTAACAACATACTGCCTATAAAAAATCTAAATGTGGAGTTTTTATATTTTTAACATATGTTAAGCAACCTCAATTATTTTTCCTGAACACCATCACGATTGAAAATGTGACATTAATTTCCAACAACAGTTCAAAACAGTTAAAATTAAGTCACTTACATTTTGGATGCAATATTGGCTGTTTTTGTTCTGTTTCACCAGCGAAAATAGTTCCAAACAAAAATCACAGCAGAACCACGGGGCATCTCACAGGAACACTCACTGTTTTCATTACTGAATGATTCAGCGTTTTGAACGAATCGATTGAGTCAAAGATTCAATGACCCATTCATAAACATCTGTCTCAATCTTGAATGAATCAGCCGTTTGGACAAATCGTTTGAATCATGAATGAATCAATGACTCACTCATTAAGACGGTCGCCTGCCGCCACCACCTGGCGGTTTGTGTTATGTTTAAAAGTAGATCATTCTTTCTAATCGTTTCTAATTTGTAAATTTAAATCTATTTCATGACATTATTTTATGCAATTGTAATTTTTCAGTGTAAATGATTTAATTTGATCAGCCCTATAGTGTCTTATTATTCGAAATAATTTAATTTATTGATCAAATTTAGGAATTTAAAATGAAAGATGAAGCATACATTTAATAATATTAGGGGAGGGGATGCCCTTTAAAGGTGCAAATATTACAATATGCCGATTTAAATATCAAAGCTAATTGAACACTGATGAGAATATTGTTTCAGAATAAATAAATAAAAAAAAAAAAAAAAAAAATTCGGACGAGAAACTTTTTTGACAAGCGTATGAAAGGCTTAATGTCGAGCCCTGCCTATAGCAATGTCATCAGGATACACATACACCGGTAGGCAGTGGCCCACCTTACCGGGTGACCATGTCGTGGTCCACCAGAATTTATAGTTTACCCACCTCTTTTTTTACCAACCTCTGAATAAAACGTACGAGTCCCAGTCACGCCGAACCTCTCTTCTTCCTTCCAAACACTGAAGCTCATTACAATGGCCCTTAAAGAATGTTAAAAAATTGTAAATGGCCATACCTGTCAAGTATCCCGTTTTGGCCGGGAAAGTCCCGTATTTTACCCTTCTTTCCCGCCGTCCTCCCGTATTAGTGTTTTCCCGTAAATCTCCCGTATTTTAACCTGCGTTATTGAAAAATAATAATACCCCGGGCGGAGTAAAAAAAAAAAAAAAACATTCCCACTCGGAGCTCTGTCACTAGCCTCGCGATAACTACAGGTACTGTAGGTGGCAGTGTCGCGAGGTTAGTGCTCAGATGATGAGTGACAACGCGGAAAAAAACAAAAAAACAAAAAAAAAAACAGAGTCGGATGATCTACGCTATGATATGACAGAGCAAGGCACTCCTGCCAAAAAAACAAAACCCTCATGTACTAAATACCGCGATCAATGGGATAGCGAATTTACTTTTCTGAAGAGGAGCAGGGTGGGGGACAGTCACGGTCACGGTTAGCATCTCACACGGGGAAGGAGCATGGTACGAAAGATTGTTACAGAGAATAGGATGACGTTAGACAACAGAACTGTTTGCTACTCTCATGTAAAATTAACCACTCTGGCCCAGCCCACAAATACACTCCTTCCAAAACAGTTAATACAAAGTCTGCAACAAATTTGTTCAATAACTCACTAAAAGAGTAAAGAAAAGTTATGTGAAATGAAAAGAAAAACTGCAAATGAAAAGCAATGTGAAATGAAAATAATGTGTGGAATGAAAATAAAATGTAAATGTAAAGACAAGCAATGTTAAATGAACAGAAAATATGCAAATAAGCCTTTAAATAATGCTCTTAATATATATATACCATATATATGTGTGTGTGTGTGTGTTTTAATTAACACCTGTCTTAAAATGTAAGGGATACTGGAGCTTGGTTGGGGTGGTGGGACTGATCGAGGTGGGCGCCGGAAAATTTCCCTTATTTTCAAATCCAAAACTTGACAGGTATGTAAATGGCCCTTGATAGGAAAAAGGTTCCCCACCCCTGGTATAGGGAATGCGGAGGTACGTCACGCCGTGTTGCATTATGGGACGTGGGCGCCATCTTTACAGGCACGATCTCTGTTTACCTTCGGTGTAATAGTGGGTGTTTGGCTAAAACGAGGTAAAATTGAAGAAGAACGGAAGAAATGGAGATGTTTAAAGAAAAAGACAAGGGACCCTACCGGGATAAACTAAATGCCACTGCCAAAAAACGTTATTTGGACAAACTATCCGCGATAAACAACGTTGATACATCTGATTTAGTTTTGGTGTTCAAAGCCTATGCTAAGTTGATTACTATTGTACATAAAGTTCAAGCTATTTTACCTGAAAAGCAGCTCTCATAGTTTGTTAGCTTGCTATTTTCAGCATATGTTAAGTTTTCATAGGTTGTGCAAGAAATTTACATTACTTTATAATGCCACAAGATGTGGTAAATTGTTAAATACAACTGTGCCTTATTGTCATCATTCAATGTTGACACGTGTAAAAATGAGGGTATTTGGTCATTTATTTTAAAATAGTTTGATGTATCTTTGCTCATTTATGTGTACTTAAAGGGTCTTTGTTGGATGCAATCAGTACAGAAACAGAGATGTCACTTAATGTATTTATTAAGCAGTTATATAAAAACATGATTCACAAACATTTTAAAAAAGCCATGTAAAAAGATCTACAGAATATCAAAGCAAATTGTTAATTGAAAACAAAATAAATATAATTTGATTCATGCAATGTGTCCTGGCTTTATCATCTGCTAACATGAACCACAAATTCAACATCATTCATCAACTATCCTCCTAACTGTTAGTCATCGAGGAATACACAATACACAACCTCTTGCTTTGTACAACTTTTAACAAACGTAGTATGCAGTGGAGGACAGTAAGTCAAGTTTTTCCTCATGATTGCGGCACCCCACGCGATCCGGCGTCTTCTCGTCAGCTCCTCGACCTGCTTCCCTTGTTTTTTTTTCCAAGAAAGAAAGGTGAAAAAACGTATTCCGTTGTTCAGTTTCCTCCCTGAACGATCGTGTGACCTGCTATGGCAGTTGAACTGAACAACCATATCGACGTTTATTAAAATCTCGACAGAAAATCCAAACACAGCCTCCAACACATGCATTTAAATACAGCGGTATTGGGCGCAATCCTGTAAATATGGCGGCGGACCCATAATGCAACACGGCGTGACGTCATCTCCACATTCCCTATTGCTTAATATTCGTTTCTACCGTGATCACACTGGAGAGAGCACTATAATTGTTCTTCACGCGCACATTAACTGAAATTTAAAACTGTTAAAAGAAAAGGCTCAATAAACTATTGCATAGATAGATACTGTTACTGTATAATACACTATGCATCGATATGCCTTTGTGCTTTGAACTTTTCTGCGCGCTGTGACTCTGTGTTGCTTCAAGCGCATCATTCTGCGCTCGAGATGCGCATAAGCGCTTTGTGCCGCACATGAGTCTTTCATAATTATATCATAATACTTTTGCGCAATGAAAGATTATTAATAGCTTTTTTTGTTCTGTTCTGTCCTATCTATCATATGTTGCTGCCTCATTAAACAGCTGTGCTATACATTTAAAAATGTCTTAATTTTATAGTAGACTATATATATATAGCCTATAATTGATCTTTCTGATTTTTATCTTGTTTTTCATGAATGTATTTTACAACAATACAAAGAGCAATGTGTAACGTTTTACCTGATTTAGTGCTACACTTATTGTCTCTTTGTTCCCCACTAAATAATGTTTTTTTCACTAAATGTTCAGATTTAATACTGTTTTTCTAGACAAAATTTTACTGAGTTATCCACTAATCTAGTTTATAATATAATTTTTGTCATAGGTTATGATCATATATTTTTTTTTTGATTTGTTGTTTTTATTTATAATGAAGTTGTCTGTATTAAGTAGATTGTGTTTAACACACAAAAGAGTGATTATCAGTTCAACACACAGAGTTATAGAAATTCTACTTGATTTAAAAAAAAAACTGCGCTGGTATTGGACCGGTATCGGTTGATTCTCCGAATTTTTGGTATCGGATTGGATCGGTTCAGAAAAAATGATATCGGGACATCCCTAATATTTTCTGGTAGGCTATATCTAAGTTACCCAGGAGCTCTGTTGACATAGGCATAGCTTGCATGAATTGAGTCGTTGAACACAGCAGGAGAGAACGCAACGTTAGCCAGCTAGGCTAGCTAAAGCTCCGGTGGAAAATTATTAGCTAACGCTACGGAGGCCATAATATTTTTGACTCATGGCTGAAGTTAAGTTTCTCCAGCTCTCCAGGTTGGCAAAAAATGCATCTCAAAATGCATCAGATTGATGCTTTAAAATATGGAATATTTAAAATTTTCTTACGGGGGAGCATGCCCCCGGACCACCCTAGAGGGGTAATATCCTTCTCAACTTTTTCACCCCTGACCCCTTTTCATGCCTGCTATAGTTCCTTTTCCAGACTTATACAAGCACACTGTTGGAGTGATTTATGTGTGTGTGTGTGTGTGTGTGTGTGTGTGTATAGTTAAATAGATATAGATAAATATCTACACAGAACAGCCTATATATATATATACATATATATATATATACTATATATATATATATATATATATATATATATATATAGTTTTATATTCATTTTTTTTATATATTTAATATTCATGTATTATTTATTTGTGTTTCTGTGAATAGCTGTTGCAGTTCTACAAATAAAGCATTCTATCTTTTTACCTATCAGTTAAATTAGCTACAAAAAATGCACCTGAATGCAGAAAATTAGGTGTTTAATGCCCAATGTTTCCTGGGGGAGGTCCCCCAGACCCCCCATTTATATTATTATTGCTTATTATTATGTGCCTCTGAGTAGAAGTAGTAGTTACCAAAAGCGGGGGTGGGTGGGTGGTGGGGTCTGGGCTAAGCCCCCAATGTATCAAGACCCTAGCAACGCCCCTGGTCCTAACCCCGGTGAATGTGTAAAGTGTGAACGAATTTCAAAGGCGTTTTTAACCTTTCCTTCATCAGTAGTAGTAGGGCACAGTTCCTTGCTACAACAAGACCCATGTAGGGTGTAGGATGGTTTGGGGCACGTTCCCCCTGGAATTCACAAAAAGGATTTTAATTTAAGACGGGTTTTAACTTTTTTTGTGCTATTGAAAACAAAACCCCACACATATGTGTAATTGGAATTTAAACTATAAATTACTTTAACCATTCTTTTGAAGTCACCATGAAATCAAAATTATTAAAAAAAAAAATGTATGGTATATTTTTGTATTTATTAAACATGACTTATCTGTGCACATCATTAGTATTATTTTTTTAATTCATGTGCAGTCTCTTCTCTTCTCTTCTCTTCTCTTCTCTTCTCTTCTCTTCTCTTCTCTTCTCTTCTCTTCTCTTCTCTTCTCTTGAACTCTTCTCTAATTACGTGTTTACTGGCGTGAGGGCCAGTAAAAACCCTACATTTTTTCTTGTTCGAGAAGCTGTTTTACTTGTATACGTCACAATTGGTGGGGTAAATTAAGGCTATCGCAACTTCCGTTTCATTCCGCCTTAAAGTCATACAGATCTTCCTGGTCAAAAAAGGCAAAGATGCCAACAAAGCAAAAAAATTTGGTTTAAAAAAAATCTTTTTATTTTATGAGTTGCAAAACAAATGTAATACAATAATAATTTCCTTCAAGAATATAAAAGCATGACACACAGATAAGTTTACACAAGCATTCAAAGTTTAATGGTTTTTAATTGCAGTTAACAACAATTGTGAAGAAAGCTATTCAAGATTTTCACATTTTGCCTTCTTTTTTTGTTAGAGATACAGTTTTTTGAAGTAACTAACTAAGAGCCTCAGAGGAGTAGGTAATTACAGCATATTCAGACGTTGTGCTTAATTTTCTAGTGACCTCTTTAGAGTGGATGTGCAGTCTGTCAGCTGAAGCATGCAGTAGTCCTGCTCTGGCCTCATCTCTCCATCTCTGCAAAACACATTCACACTGTCACTCATCAGGTCCCATGCACCATGCAATTATACATAATTGTATTTATTTATAATATATTTCTGTCACCGGTCTTTGGTTTTTTGAAGTCTGGGTAAAGGTGTCAGATAGATCCGGATTGCTGGATCCCCTCACAGAGATCACAATATCAGCGTAAGGGACTTCATGATCACTCTGGCTGTCTGGGAATAAAAAAAAAAAAGTTACACTTTCTCCAGATGAGTGTAAGTTTGGCCTTGGTAAGATTTTGTAATGTTTATGAAAGAAGACACATATTATTACAATTTAAAACAACTGTTTTCTATTTGAATATATTTTAAAATGTCATTTATTCCTGTGATGGAAAGATTCCTCCAGTCTTCAGTCTCACATGATCCTTCAGAAATTATTCGAATATGATGATTTGGTGCTCAAGAAACATTTCTTATTGTTATCAATGTTGAATACAGTTGTTAAACAGATTTTTCAGGATTCTTTGATGAATTGAAAATCAGAAAAGCATTTATTTTTGTCTTTCTTTACTGTCACTTTTGATCATTTTAATGCATCCTTGCTGAATAAAAGTAATCATTTATAAAGCTTATATAACAGTTTTGAATGTTGGTGCTGTGTATATATGTGTGTACATTATATATGTATATTTTATTTTTATATTAATGCTTATAAATTGAGAGAGACCTTGAGCAATTGGCCTCATCACCACAGCATTTCTGGATGGATCCCTGCAAGAGACCAGATACTGCTGGTAAAAGAGATTTGATATGTTTTGCTACTTCGTAATGATTCATTTTACATATGCAATTGTGCATTACCTTTCATGGACTATGTTAGTGGAATCCATTATCTTACACCCTCTTCTGTAACACAGATACACCAGATGGGCCGTCAGGACAACCACTGCAGACACTGCAAAAGCTGCGAAGACCTTGGCCCAGGTGAATCCATCTGTATGGCAAAATGCTGACTTGATGGACTGTATTTTATGTGAATCTGAAAATGTGTCGATATATTTTTGGAAGTGTAAAACACTCACCTATTGTGTTAACCTCTATATCCACAGTGAAAGCCTGCTTTGTGCAAGTCCCTTTAGTTTGGCACCTGTATCGTCCACTGTCCTCTCCTTTGATTTCACTCCACTGTATTACACTGTCATTTTTCGGGGTCAAAGGGAGGGTACTGTTTTCTCTGACCCACTGGACCTCACAGTGTTTGAATTCAATGGCAACACAGTGAAGTATGAGTGAGGTTCCTGCCATCACTTCAATAGTGGAAAATGATGTAAGTACCTCATCTGACTTCACCTGACCCCTATACGACTCTACTCTTAAAGATGGACCTAGATCTAGACCAGTAAGACACAAGGACACAAAAACAATACAAAACATTAGTCTTAAAAATAGCACAGTAAGTAGAACTATCCTTTCATATACACAACTTACAGACTCACCAGCTTGTCCTGTAGGAGGTGTTACTTGTTCTTTGGATTCATCTATATGAAGCATTATTGCACATATAGTGAGAAAAGGCCTGGGATAAATTCATTCATGTTATTCATCATAAATGATAAACGCATCTTACCGTGAACTTGCAGCGTTACCAGAAGCTCTGTTTTCCACGGAATGCCCGGTTTGTCACTCTCTTCAGAAAAGCAAGAATAGTTATAATGCGTTTGCTCCATAATTAGATGAGCTGTGTATATGCTCACAGTGCACATGTCTCCTAATGTTAATGTTTTATGATTCCAGTGGCACTTGCTACATACTGGAGTTTCTTCCCATTTCCAGTAACCACGAGCGAATCCACTGGAACAGTTGTAGGTACAATTTAAAGTAAACGATTCTTGGAGTCTTGCAATCTTAATTTCACGCTGGATTTCAGAACTCGTACTTCTTACAGCATCTGTGAAGAGCCATAAAGTTAACAGCAACTAGAAATTACACTTATATTAGTATTTAAGTAAATATATTTAAGAATTTAAGGAAATATCTGATTTACCACATTTGATATAGATAATTTATTCATTATCATAAAAATGATATATAGCATTTCCAGTGACATTACCTTGCAATCCTAATTGTAAAAGCAGCATCACAGGAATCAGAAACATGTTTTGGCATTCATTCAAGATACCTGTTCATATCTTGCATGTGCTTGCATCTGCATGCGTAAATGATAATTCGTATATAGCATATGGGAAAAACAAAGGGAAGCTCCTCCCCATAGGGTGGGCTATATTTACTGTCTCCGAAAATGTGGTTAACTGAGCTGTTGGTACATCATGATGCATGGCAAAATGTCATTGGTCTTTTGCAGCTTGACTTGCATGGCACTGTGGTTTTGTTTGATAATTTAACAAAATAAATTATATGTACATTATGTACATTGAATTTGGATGTCAATCAAATGGAGCGGTTCAATGGTTTTGATTCATGATGATGTTATTCTCAAATGTTGTTTTTACCTAATTAACATTTTCCATCTAAACCATTTAAATGGAAATCGTGTGAGTGATATTTAAAGAAGTTCACAGTCTGACTCTTGATAATATCCATGTTAATGAATCAAAGTGTCTTTTTCAGCAGTTTGATTAATTTATCACCCTATTGCTGCAGTAAACTGGATCACATTCATGCTTTGCAGTGGAAAGCGGAGGTTAATACAGTTTGCAGCTGCAGAGGTTTGAAGCTCCATTTCAACGTAAAGGAACAGGAAACATCGTGCCTTCGCATTACCACAAAAACCTACAATCTATTTTAACATTTACTGCACTGGATGCTATTTTACATGTATATGGTCCTTTTTTAAGGTGTTATTTTTTATTTTTTATTTTTTTTCAAATGTGCACTGTAACAGTGAATATTATCAAATTTAATTTCAAAATCAAAAGGAAAAACTTAATCAAAATTCCAAGTGTTAAGAAATTATATTTCCATAAACAAGTCTATTTTAGAGTTTTTTTATTGTTACATTCACTTTCAGTTGTCAGTACCATAGTGTTAAAATGTTGCAAATGCATCATTTCTTTTTATCCTTTCTTTTTAAATTCATTTTGGGGAGTGTGTGTTCAAATGTAAGTGCATGTAGGCATAAAATATTTATTATCCTAACATTAAGAAATCGGAAGGTAAATAAGATCATGTACAGTCCATGGTTTAAAAAACAGACTGATATTCTAGACAGTAAAGTTCACAGTTCTGCCCAGTGAGTGTATCACTGGCTTCTGACTGGAATTGAGTTACATGGCTTGAATTTCACTTTCAATTATTGAGGTGTCCCTATTCACTGATAGACTTAAAGGGGATATAGAGCGACTGAGGACAGAAGTCCGCTGCGATGTAACGGGGAGCTTAAAAATGATCGGCATGAACCGATATTTTATTTTATTTTTCTTCTGCGTGACATGGAGTGGCTTCAGACAAAGATGGAATGTATATGTATCAGGTAGGCATCATCAGCATGAGATGAAATTCAGTACAGTACAGACTGTGTAAAATAAATTAAACCTGCTTATTGATTAATCAAGTGTGGATATATTGATAACTGATGAAGTTAGTAAATCTTTTTTTAATATCTTGATGATGCAGGAGCTGACATGAGGCCTGAGAGTTCAGATTGTTTAATCTGTTATAATCAGACACAAATATCATGCCCGGAGGGAACCTATTTTTCATCAGGGATCTGCCTTGAGTGTCCCGCAGGGCAGTTGTAAGTGTAATTTTCGTTTTATAGAAGAATTTGTGTAATTGCATCAAACCTTAAAAAAAATGTAAACCTTTTCCTGGCATTTCAGCTGTCCTGGCAATGTGTCTGCACCCAGAAAATGCCCCACTGGCATGTTTAACCCTTATACTGGGAAAAGCAGTATCCAGGATTGCCAGGTATCCTATCATTTTATATACATTTTTTTTATTTTTTTATTTATGCACTATACCTTATGGGGACAAAATGTCCCCACAAAGATGGCGATATTTAAAATCCTTGTCCTTGTGGGGAAATTGTTTCGTTATTTGTTGATGTTTTTTGAAAATCTAAAAATCCCGAAAGTTTTCTGTGATGGGTAGGATAGATTATACGGTTTTTACTGTATAAAAATCATTATGTCTATGGATTGTCCCCATAAAACATGAAAACCCAACGTGTGTGTGTAATTGTTGGTGTCTTTTAAAGCCCTGTGTCCCAGGTTTGGTGAGCGCAGAAGACCGTGTGGAATGCAAGCTTTGTCCTGCTGGTTTCTCCTGTGACAGTGCATCAGGCAACCTTACAGCATGTCTCTCAGGACAGTATTCTCCAGAGGGGCTCACCCAGTGCCTGCCATGCCCCTTTGGCTTTGTTTGCATAGAGGGCTTTCAAATGAAGGTGGGTACGTACAAACTGATGTGAATTACCATATTTGTAATCTTACATTTCATCTTTGTACCGTAAACCATTTTTATTTGTTTGTTTTACCATTTTAGTGTGGCCCTGGAGAAGAGTCAAACTTCAACCAGACTGAGTGTGTTGACTGTGCTGAAGGCTACTACTCCACTCTGTGCAGTGCTCAATGTCACCTGTGTCCCGCAGGTAAACATGGACTCCCATGTTTAATTCACATGCAATTGATGTCTTACTTGCACCTGCTAAAGCCAAAATAAACACGCACATCAATATCACAACAGGCACACACTTACAGACACATAATTCCTTGTACATCCCTTTAAAGTATATTCAATTTTCTCTTTAAGGAAGCCACTGTCCGTACAAAAAGATGTCCGCACCTCTTCCTTGTCCCGTGGGCCATTATTCATACATGCCGGGCCAGACTGAGTGTAAAAAATGCAATGGTTCCTCAGCCTACAGGAGTACAGTGACTCCGGTCTGGTCAAGGGGACAGTCTCATCTCGGTCAGAGGTCAAGACAGCTTATCTCCTGTCCTCCTGGGACACACAGAGACGGAGAAAGATCAGACTGTGTTGTGTGTCCTGCAGGTGAGGCAGTATTTCAGGTTGGGCTGCATGCTTTTCACATTCAATTCCACAATTTTGAGTGTTAATGTTTTTTTTTTGCAGGACATTACTGTGTTGCAAATATTGCGATACAGTGTCCGGCAGGAACTTATGGACCAAAGGAGGGGCTACAGAGAGAGAAGGACTGTGCAATCTGTCCTGCAGGTACTAATTTTGTCCTACAGCTTTACTTATTTTTAGTGATCTCAGTTTCATTTTACCTGTGGGTCTATTTGCTAATGTGCATGAATGTACCTTTAAGGTGAGCTCACATTTAACCTTCTGTGGCGAAAACTCACAAGTGCAATCCAGTGATTCTAATCAGAATCTGTGCGATCAGGAATTTCGCATGTTTTTTTTGCAACAGGTTTTTCACGTGAAATCGCTGCATTGATGTGCCTTCTATGTGAGCAATGCTGCATACCTCACCTCACCACACGACTGACAATAGACAATGGACTTTTTTCCCCAGCGAAATATCACTAATGTGAACATGATTTAATCTGTTATTGCTCCACCAGCTAAAGTAGTTCCAAACAAAGTCAAAGCACAATGAACCATTACACGTCCCTGTGCTGTTTCGTTGCTGAATTAAGAGTTTTTAAGAATTGGTTGGGTTACTGTCTCATAAAGACTCTTGTCGCCACCTACTGGTGCAATGATGTAACTTGCAGAAAGAGTCGCTGTAAAATCCCTACCACGAACACACAGACTGACATTCTGTCTGGAACACGCAAACAGAAAAGTGGAGTGATACAAAGAGACAAACGTCCCAGCCAAACAAATTCGAGGACCAGAACTAGATGTATAATGAATAATTGGAATATGCATGATAATAGCTGGAAATGTTTTGTTCTTCCCAGGATTTTATTGTTTGGAGGGCACCTCTCGGAGGCCGAGCTCTCAGTTTCTGTGCCCACAAGGGTATTACTGTGAAGAGGGCACGGGTGTGCCGCACGGGTCACCTTGCCCTGCTGGAACCGCAGGAGGACAACTGGGTCAGACAAGTAGGGCAGCTTGCAAGAGGTGTGCAGAGGGTCGCTACTGTCCCACAGGTTAGGGCATGAACCCATGACACACTTATAGATGATCACGTTTATACACACGCATGCATTTATTATACACACGCATTTATTATACACGCACATTTATACACACGCATAGGCCTACTATACGTTTTCTTTTGCTTTTTGTAGTCATTATATTATCTGTGATCTGTGTTTCCATAGAAATACTCTTTTTTTGTAGAAACAGTCTAATTACTTAAATGTTATGAGTGTGTTTAGCAAAAATGATAGTTCAATGTAACTTTTATTTTACTAAACCCACAAGAACGACTGCTGTTGAACCGTTTCCTGCCCTCAGCTGTTTCCTGACTGATAAGTGGTGTAGAGAGTGTGTGATGTGGGTCAGGAGTGCAGAGAAGATGGAAAATTTGTTTGCGATGTTTTTCATCATATGCTAAAACACATCACCATTTCGGTTTAGTTTATTGTTGTACTAAACTCAGATTAATCTAAAAGGGATTGTATTTAAGTGCTGTTTGTATTCAGTAACTGATCTCTAGTCATTATAATATACTGTATATATATATATATATATATATATATATAGTGTGTGTGTGTAAACAATGTATGTGTGTACATGTATATGTTTTTTTTTTAAATAAAAGTTGAGAGTGAACTTCTAAGAGTACACTATCCTCAAAAGCGAATCGACATTGACTAAAGGACAGACCACTTTAAACCATCATTGATTTTAGGTTCTGCAGGTCCAGGTTTGCTTTGTGCCCGTGGGAGGTACTGCCCAGCAGGTACACTCAGTGAGATCTTATGCCCACAAGGGACCTTCACCCCTCATCAGGGGGCGCTGAGTAAGATTTCTTTCTCAAAATCTTCAATCTTATCAAAGCACATACAATTAAATCTGCTGTTGGGTTGATAGTTGTCTCTATTTTCATCATAGGTGTAAAGGACTGTTTAAAGTGTCCACCGGGCTTCTATTGTCCAGAAGGAACAAGTGACCCTTTGCCTTGTCAGCCAGGCACCTTTAACCCTCTGGAGGGGCAGGATGATCTGGCAGACTGCAGGCCTTGCTACCCGGGCAAATCATGCACACAAGTTGCACTGAAGTTTCCTGATGTGGATTGTATGCCAGGGTTAGTGTCTTTCGTACTCGAGAATAAAAAAACAAAAACAGTCTAAGCTTGTTTCTCAGATTTGTCAGGCCAGTCTGGTATGTTTTTTTTTTTTATGTTTTGGGCAGGTAACTTGATTTAAAGGTCTGGTCAGGCTGGGAGCTTTGATAAGAGCTGGTTGAAAGCTGTTCAGCAGGATTTTAACATTTTTATATCTTTTTTTCTATTCAAAACATCTCTGTGTGTGTTTTTTCAGGTTTGTGTGTCCACCAGGTTCTAGCCGACCAAACGACCCATCCAGTGCTTGCCCTCCCGGTACCCTTAGTAACCGTACAGACCTCACTGACCTCTCCCAGTGCCAGCGGTGCCCTGCACGTTATGCCTGTCTTAGAGGTGCATTCAGAGCTGGATGTCATGTACTTTATACATTTACAAGTTTTATTTACCTTTTAATTTTTAACTATTTAACAACTTTCGCCTTTACAGGCACGGGTGGTGTCCAGAGGCCTCCACTTTTTTGCTTTCCTGGGCATTACTGTCCTGCAGGCACTATGTTCCCCACTCAGCACAAGTGTCCCGCTGGTACCTGGAATGATCAAAGTGGACTGGAGTCGGAGCGCGAGTGCCGGCCATGCCCAAAAGGCTGGTATTGTTTAGCAGGAGTGGGCGGTCCATCTGGAAAATGCAACTCTGGGCACTACTGCCCTGAAGGTATTAAAGCTTTGTGAAATATCTGAATGTTCTTCCACTTTGAAGAGAAACATTCATTTTAAGTTTGGCCTACAGGAACATCTGAACAGGGTCACATAAATGTATTTGATTCATTTCAAAGCCATTAAAAGAATCATTACCTTTGAAATTATTCAAATAGTCAGCCATTAAAATAATCAATCACTTTTGGAGATATCTTATGGAATTTCTGAGCAGACCGGATTCTTTTGTTTTGTCTTTTTTTTTGTCTTTTTTTTTCATGATGTGCATTTCATTTTAATTTGTGATGTGAGAGGGCCATGAGCATGGCATTAAAATAATTAAAGTTAGAAGGACAATAAAACATTTAGCTGAACTTTAACCAAAATATTTAAAATAATATTATTATTACGTGTATATATATATATATATATATATATATATATATATAAGTACATGTACATTTATAATGAAGTTTTTAAAATATGCTCTATGTATGTGTGTGTGTGTGTTCCCGATCTGCCCGATAAGTTAAGCATTAAACACATAAAGCACTAAAAACATTTCTTACCTATGAAAATGTTTTAAACAATATGAAATGCGTGACGAAAATGTGTGTAAAGTATCACAAAAAATCAACTTGAATAATTCTGTTTATACAGTACATTAACTCCAACTCCCACTATCTCAAAATTTTAAATTAATTTTGCACAAGGACTTGTCACCCTGGGTCACATGACCATAAACAATTAAATTACTTCCTTGAAGTGACCATCACATGTTGCCTTCTCTAACGAACTTCTGGAAGGGCCCTTTGTGAAGGGATAAAGTTGTTAAATTTCCTTTGGGACGCCCCTACAAATGGCGTCCCATTCCCTAAGTTCCCTTTATGGGTGCAAAATCGGAATTTGGAATTCACCCATACTGTATGTGTGTATCTCTACAGGTACATTATATGGCTCACAGCACCCATGCCCTCGAGGCACCTACAGCACAAAGATCGGTAATGGTGGAAAAGAGGACTGTCTGGTCTGTCCAGAAGGCTATTACTGTAAGGAGGGTACATCCAAACCCACTTCCTGTCCACCGTGAGTAACCGTCCCATTTGGCTGAAATAAAGCTGGGTAAGAGTGGATTTGACTTTTCCTGTGTGTCCAGGGCAACATTTCGTCAGATAAAAGGGGGACGGAGAGCAGAAGATTGTTCTGTGTGTCCTGCCGGCTACTTCTGTCCTCATCCGGCCACAGTCAGTCCAAAAGTTTGTGGAACAGGGAGTTATTCTGTAAGCCGGACAGCTCTTTGTAATCTAATGCATGTTGTCTTACTGTAACAAATAAATGCATAATTTCATTTATCCATCTCCCTGTCTTCTGATTCTGGTCTTGCTCTTTTTCCTTAGGATGAGGGATCAGAGGAGTGTCTGCCATGTTTACCAGGTCACTACTGCAGCGATGAGACCACCAGTGAGGAAGCCATGCTCAGAGTAATGGTCTGCCCTCCGGGTTTCCTCTGCTCACAAGGCATGGATCGAGAACCCCAGCGCTCAGCGGTATTCTGCCCAATCGGCTTTTACTGTCCCGGTGGAAGTGTTGTAAGTATCATTTCAAGGGTCAGAAACATTACAACCATCGTCGATCATCATGTCAGATGATAAATGGAACGAAACATAGCAATTATTTTCTTTTCTATTATTTACGTCCTAATCAGGATCCTAATCCTGTTCCGTGCCCCAAAGGGACATACAGTCGACAGCCAGGTCTACGTGACCCTTCAGACTGCACAAAGTGTCCGGAGGGAAAATACTGCTACACAGAGAATTCCCAGGAAGATCCCATTATTGAACCAGTATGGCTCTCTTGTAGTTTTTGTATAAACCGTTGAAACCTGTTAGTTGACTATAAAGTCTATTAGAGGGATAATTGCATGATGGCCTGGTCTCACAGACAGGGCTAAGATTAAACCAGGATTGGGCCTTAGTTAAATTAAGACATTTAAGTAGCTTTTATAAACTTGCTTTAGAGAAAAACATTACTGGAGTGCATCTTGAGACAAAACTATGGTACTGTGTAAGTTTCTTTCAGTTAAGACAGCACAAACATTAAGACTTGTCTGTGAAACTGGGCATTTATGTATTTAATCTTACTTTATTAACCAATGTCTTTGCTGTTGACTTTCAATGATCCAATTCAGCCATACTAATAAGCAAAAATGACTTAAGTTAAACATTACATTTGTGTTTTTGTTTTGTGTTGCTTTTATTGCTGAAGTAAAAGTGTCGAACTTTCATCTGTGTCTTATTCAATCTGCAATCCAGAATAGCACAACTGAAAGGTTTGTTTGAGCTGCGCCCTCTACTGTACAGGCGTGAATGTCCATTTCCTCAGGCCTGAGGTTTATTCATTTCACTTTTGATGTGAAAGGTTCTTTACATTTGCCAAAAATATTACTTTTTTGTTTTGTTATTATAAAACAATCAAGCAAACCCAGCCCAGGTGTGAAAAAGTAACACAAAATTAACATAACGGATTACTTTTCATGAAAAGTTACTGCCGCAATTAGTTACTTTTTCAGGGAGTAATATAATATACAATATAATAATGCATTACATTTAAAGTTGACATATTATGTCCCTTTTCACACAATGTAATATAAATCTATGGTGTCCCCAGAATGTGTCTGTGAAATTTCAGCTCAATATACCCCTGAAATCATTGTCAAATTTGCCCCTTTTTGGGTGAGCAAAAACATGCAGTTTTTGTGTGTGTCCCTTTAAATGCAAATGAGCTGTTGCGCCCGCCCCCGTTCAGAAGGCAGTCGATCCTTTACAGGAGCTTCGAATAAAACACGCGAATAATCTCACTCATCCAAAATCTCAGAAATAACCAGTAGCGGAGTGCAGCCTTACGGAGAGACTCAGGAAGAGGTTGGAACTTTTAGACGCACCTGGATGTTTCTGAATGGTTAGTGGATGCCAGAGCCATGGTGGATACATTTATATAGTTGTTGTGGAGTTACATTGATTCATCTCATCGACTTGCATGTATGTTTAATTTTTACACAAGTTGAAACTGTTCTATGAGGTCTTTATAAGACAGCTGTGACGTTTTTTTGGTCAAATAGTGTTCTGTGCAGCAACGACAGAACAGTTTGCATGCTTTTCTCGAACTTTTGCCATTGCGTTAGAACTGGTTACCGTACACTGTTGTGGCTTGCGAAAACCAAATGGCGGCGCCGTGGGTGGAAACGTGCAGATTAAGGGGCGGTAATATTATAATAAGATCCCCTTCCTACGTCAGAAGGGGAGCGAAATCTGATCGGCTTTTTTTTTGACATGCCTGCAGAGAAAGGCTTTCCAAAACAAAGTTACTGGATTGTCACTTTTCACTTTTTCTGGGTTGGTAGATGCACCGGGGACACGATTATAGTACTTAAAAACGGAAAAAGTCAGATTTTTATGATATGTTCCCTTTAAAATTAACTTTCCCCAACACTGTTCCAAACCCATTTGACCTTATTTTTATGTGGAATACAAAAGGAGTTATCTAGAAGAATGTCCAAGCTGCTCTTTTTTTTCATAAAATGTAACTGAATGTGACCATGGCTGTGTAGGTTTCCCATCCTCTTTCATTGTATGGAAAAAGAGTAGGATTTGTGTGAACTATCCCTTTAACATGTATATTATGCCTATCAGACAGGAAACTGTCCTGATGGATACTTCTGTCCTCTTGGTACCGGACATCCAAACTCGTTTCCATGTCAGACGGGCTTCTTCAGGAATGACTCGTATGGCCATAGAGGAGAAGCTTGTGTGGAATGTCCTCCTGGTCACTACTGTCCTACTCTGGCCACACACTATCCTACAGTCTGTCCACAGGTAAATGTAAAAGTTGGCATGGTATAACATTTTTACTTTACTGTCTAATAGATTTTTTTCTTCTGAAATAAATAAATAATGAATAAAAAAGAAATAGACCAAAAGTGACAGTAAATACATTTATCATGTACAATAAATTATTAAAGGTGCTGTATGTCACTTTTTCTCTCTACTAAAGCATAAAAATACCATAATATGTTTGCATATATTGAGGAAACATGCTAAGTTCACGTACTCGTTTCTCTGAAAAACACTTCTACAGCTAGTTATTTTACTTTGAAATGTGCATTTCCAGGCTGGAATGTTTGTTTTTGTTTTGGTCTGTGATATGCACGTTGCCAATTTGCCAATTTTCATTGTCCATTGAGCACGTTCCTGTTGCGAGTGCTCAAACTGGCAACCCGTGTGAGCGGAGAAGGTGGTGGGAGAAATGACAATCTCCGATATTTTGAATTGTATTTCGATACATTACTTCATTCTTACAGACTGCACCTTTAAATGCTGTTCTTTTTATTCAATAAAAAATCCTGAAAAAAACCCTGGTTTCCACAAAATTATTTAGCAGTACAACTGTTTTGAACATTTGTAATATAAGTAATGTTTCTCGAGCACCAAATCAGCATATTAGACTGATCTCTAAAGGATCATGTGACACTGAAGACTGGAGTGATGTTGCTGAAAATTCAGCTTGAATGTATCTAAAGTGCATTTTCTTTCTTTAATATTCAGGGTTTTTACTGTACTGACGGGAGCTCAGTCCCAGAGCCATGCGAAGAGGGCACGTATGGATCCCGGCCAGGCTTGAGTAAAGCATCACAGTGCACCACATGTAGTGGTGGGAAATACTGTACAGGACTGGGCAAATCTGAGCCCACGGGGGACTGTGAAGGAGGATTCTATTGTAGACCGGGATCTAGAAGTCCTGTAAGATAATTACAAAAAAAAAACATTCATTTTAATTTAATTTGCTTTTGATTATTTTAATAATCGAACTTTCTTTTTTTGCCTTGACAGATTCCTCCTGATGGTCAAAAGGGGGGTGTGTGTCCTGCTGGAAGTTTCTGCCCACCGAGCTCAGTTCACCCACAGCCGTGCCCTTCAGGAACATACAGTAAAAGCACTGGTCTCCAACATGCAGAGCAGTGCGTCCGCTGTCCTCCTGGGTATGACTGCAAAACTGTGCACGTTATAAATAAACATTCAATTCTCTTTCTTAAAGGGATAGTTCAACCAAAAATGAATTTCTGTCACTATTTACTTTCTCAATTCGTTCCAAACCCGAATGCCTTTTTTACTGTGGAACACAAAACAAGAGATTTTGAAGAACGTTGGGAACCGAACAACACTGGACCTCATTGAGACATTTCTCAAAATATCTTCTTTTATGCTCCACACAAGACAGAAAGTCACACAGGTTTGGAACGACATGAGGGTGAGTAAATGTTGACAGAATTTTCATTTTTTGGCGGACTATCCCTTGAAACTATCTTCTTAAATCTTGAATTCCAGTTCTTATGGATTTTTTGTTGCTCTCTCAGTTATTATTGTTTAGGAACAAACTCTACATCCCCTTCTGGTCCGTGTTCTGCGGGGTATTATTGCAGTGGAGGTTCAGCCACGCCAGTCCAACATGAAGCTGAGGAGGGACACTACTCTTTGGAAGGAGCTGTGAGGGCTGAACCGTGCCCAATGGGAACTTTCCAACCAGTAAGCCACGGCGATATAGAATTTACACCAAGTAACATTTTAATTTAATTGAGTTTTACTTCTTTTCCATCAGGGAAGAGGCTACAACTCTTGCATTGAGTGCCAATCTGGAAGACTTTGCAACAGGACAGGCCTATCCCAGCAGCCCCTGTGCCCACCTGGACACTTCTGCCCTGCTGGCTCCTTAATTGCTCACCTATGCCCTCCTGTGAGTATGAAGCCTCTTATTCCATCTAATATTCAATAATGTACACTACCGTTCAAAAGTTTGGGGTCGGTACGATTTTAAATACTTTTAAAAGAATTCTCTTCTGCTAACCATGGCTGCGCTTATTTGATTAAAAATACAACAAAAATCAGTTATAGTATTAAATATTATTCCAGTGTAAATCAGCTGTTTTCTGTGTTAATATATAGTAAAGTGTAATTTATTCCTGTGATCAAAGCTGAATTTTCAGCATCACCAGTGTCAGTGTCTTCAGTGTCAAATGATCCTTCACAAATCAGTATAATATGAGGATTTGATGCTCAAGAAACATTTATTATTATTATCAATGTTGAAACAGTTGTTGGTCTGTCAGTTGTACAGTTTTTTTTTTTTTTTTTTTTTTTGGTATTCTTTGATGAATAGGAAGTTCAAAAGAACAGCATTTGTTTGAAATAGAATCTTTTGTAACATTATAAATGTCTTTACTGTCCTTGATAAATAAAAGTATTGATTTCTTTCCTCCAAAAAATAAAAATAAAATTCTCACTGACCCCAAACTTTTGAACGGTAGTGTATATTCAAAGTTTTTATAAGATTTTATAATGCTTTTGAAAGTCTTTTATGCTCACCAAGGCTACATTTATTTGATTAAAATACAGTAATGTTGTGAAATATTATTACAATGTAAAATAACTGTTTTCTATTTTAATACATTTTAATTGTAATTTATTCCTGTGATGGAGTATTCCTTTTTTTTTTTCATTATATGAAGGGTACATACACTGCAAGTTCAGGAGCGGAGGATCTGCAGCACTGCGGCCCATGTGATGCTGGTCAGTACTGCCACTCTCCTGGACTAACTGCTCCTCAAGGACCATGTGAGCCTGGTTTTTACTGCACTGGTGGATCCCACATTGCCACTCCGGTAACAACATACTGTCTGTCACACGTTAATCAGTGGGATTCATATCGAGCTCAATGATCCAAAAAAATTTTTTCTTACAGATTAGCTCCAGGTATGGTGACATATGCCCCATGGGTTATTACTGTCCAGCAGGCACCAGACACCCTCATGAGTACCCCTGTCCTCCTGGAACCTGGAGTAATGCATTGGGGTCCCAGACTGTGTCTTCCTGCTGGCTTTGCCCTTCTGGATTCTTCTGCAACAGCTCTGGCCTCATTCAGCCCACCGGAATATGTGCTCCAGGTACAAAATCATAATCTCATATCATAATCCCTCCATATTATTGACTTTTGTTTTTAAAACTGAGTTCTCCACTGTTCTGTCATATAGGGTTTTATTGTGCAGGTGGTGCTAAAACACCCATGCCTGACGATGGGGCAACAGGAAACAGGTGTCCGGCACGGTATTACTGTCCACAGGGTTGTACATCGCCTCTACACTGCCCTGATGGAACACATTCAAATACCACAGGTATACATTTACTTTACATAGTTAAAAGGTATACTTTTATACATTTTCCTAAACCTGAATATCCAGAGTTTATAACCAGAGATCTGTGAGGCTTAAAACATCAAACATTCCTTTAATGGTGGTTTTAGTATAATTTGCGAAAGTTTGAATTCCAATTAACATACTATGCATTCTATGTAGTATAACAGAAGATTGGGATTAATCAATGTGTTTTAAAATCATACTACATCAAAAGTTGTGTCAAAAGAGCTTTGATTTTTGAGGTTTGCATCCATCCATGCATGCTTTTTGAGTTAATACTTTCCAGAATTACTTGAGTTCTATAATTGGTTCCTTTCTTCTCTGCTGGGGGTATAATCAATTTCATGAAATTATAGTACAAAAAATATATGCTGCGTCCCAATTCACCTACTTATACTAAAAGTATGTACTGTTTTTGTGAAGAAAAAGTACATACTTTTGAGTGTGTAGCAGTATACAGGCAAGCTTTGGTACCACTCTGTCGCTTGGTTACATGCATTCTGTCACAGTTTAAACTGCCCTGTCAACCATCTTGTCACAGTTAAAATCCTCCACATTCAATTTAATGAATTTCCTACCGTATCGGAAAGAAATGTAGTAACATGTTGATCTCCCAGTTGTGGGTCTTTCATGAGGAGGACTCCTAATGTGTTTACATAATGATACATTTAAAAGATAATGAAAAAAAAAGGTATGTTTATAAAAGTTCACAGTGTTGTTGCAGTTGAAATATAATGTGGAGAACAATTAATACATATCTTTAAGTCAGGTTAGATTCTGATTATTAATCACTCAAACAGGTTTATCGAAACCTCTCTACTTAACTGTCAGACTCGTACATAGTTTTAACACTTTTTAGGCTCTTGTTTGCAGTTCTAATCGAATCCTCGTCAAACGCGCAATGGATTGTGGGTAGGGGTGTAACGGTTCACAAAATTCACGGTTCGGTTCGATACGATACACTTGTGTCACGGTTCGGTTCGGTACGATTCGGTACGTTTCCGATACAGCAAAAAGAAAGAAATGCCAGAGAAATTTCCTTGATTTAATCTTTTTAATTATATTTTTATTAAAACTAACATCATAAAGTATGATATTTTTTAACTTTGAGCAATGATGGAGCTATACTTGACTTTTCTTAGGAGCTTATAAAACAAAACAGCTCCTTGGACAAAATTAAATGTAATATTGTAGTAGTTATAAACAAAGGATTATTTTAGTTCAGATTAACATTTGAGGGCAGCAATTGTATTCATAATGTCAAAATAAAACAGACGTGATGTTACTTGAAAGCATTATAGCCTACTATTCCTGCCAAACTTCCATGGTTACAGTTAGTAGTGTTACTACAGTAAACCCATGGTGAATGTTGCTGATCTGTGGACACTGGATAGTTCATTCATGGCACAATGTTTCTTCCTGGTTTCCACGTCAGCGCTGTTTGATCCGTTAATAACGGAGAAATGCGAATGTTTCTCACTAGATCTTGCAGCGATGTTATTACTTCAGTGGCGAATTCAAATGCTTTCTTTACTGGATTTGGCTGTGTAGTAACTGTAACAGTGCTGATGATTAAGATCGGCTCGCGCTGTATTTGTCCAAACTGATAAACGGTCCTTCAACCACACAATAACGAGTGGTTTCGTTCCGCTTACATTACATTTGCCATTTGATGTTGGGCAATGTTGTGGTCACGCACATTATGAGCGCGCTTGCCACGCGTGACGCGCCTTCATTTGAAATAACGAAATTTTGGTCGGCAGGAAAAATGGTCCAACGAACCGTTCGGTTCAAAAATGCGTACCGAAAACCGAACCGAAAGCCTCGTACCGAACGGTTCAATACGAATACGTGTATCGTTACACCCCTAATTGTGGGCAATATTAGCCGTTATTCATGGCTCTGCACTTTGGATTGAAACCAGAAAAAGTAGACCATCCGGGTATCTTATTTTAACTATGATCTGGGATATACTCATTTTACTTTCGAATACTATTTAGGAAGGATAGTATGCAAATTGGGACGCAGTTATAGTATGTTATTTACCAGTGCAGTACATACTTCTTCGCAATGTAATTTGTAATCTGATGGTGTATCAAGAATGCAAGATTAGGATTACTGTGCCTCAAACCATAGTACTTTGAAAAAGGTATGTTAAAAGAGTTTTGATATTTGAAGTATGCATCCAAGCATGCTTTTTGGGGTATCACAACCCGTTATGTTATCATAGGGTATTCGTTTTGTGCTCTTAGACACAATTTTATGATGTATCCAGAAAACTTTGAATTATATACTTTACCATCGCCAGTGCAGTACATACTTTTCATCTTTTCTGTTCTTTGCCTTCAACTGGTCCCTGCCAGCTCATACACATGCCAACTCATTCACTATGTCAACTCAAAGCATAATAAAGTAAGTTGTGATCATTATATTGTTAATGTGTCTGAACGCAGGTGCTGCAGAATGCAGTGACTGTCCCACTGGATGGCTGTGTCTGGAGGGGGAGGAGCTCCAGTTGTGTCCAGAAGGACATTACTGTCTGGGGGGCACAGTGGAGGACATCCTCCCTTGCCCTCCAGGCACATACAGCCCTAAAGCAGGACAAAGCCAAGTAGAGCAGTGTTTACTGTGCTCAGCTGGTGAGAGCAGTGCCCCTGCTTTACTTACACCTTTGGCAGTTTTAATAGCATTGGTGTAGTATTATGTTCATCATACACACCTATCATTTTAAGGAATGTACTGTGAAGATTGGGGACTAGTTGAACCTACTGGTCCCTGCCAGGCTGGGTATTTTTGCCTCACAGGTATGTCCAGTTATATCGACATCTTGCTTTTTAATAATTAGTGACCTCATTCTGTTGATTTGAATCATAGCATCTAAGCAGTTGTGGTTATGGTTCTCTTGACTTTTGCAGGCATAAACTTCAAGAATCCTGATTCAAATATTAGCACAGGGGTGGGTGGGCCGTGTCCTGTGGGTCATTACTGTCCTGAGGGCACCAGCCTTCCTTTACCCTGCCCACTTGGCACCTTTTCAAACAGGTACCGTATTACAGGGTCAAATGATCATACCATACCAATATGAGTGAATGAACAGATAAACAAATAATATATTTTTTTGTCTTTATAGTCTTTATGCCACTAAGAAATCGGGTTGCACTGTGTGTCCTGCTGGGCAGTTTTGCGGTTCGGTGGGCTTGAGTAGACCATCTGGACCCTGCCGAGAGGGGTTCTACTGCCCTGCCGCGGCATCGTCATCCACTGGTGCGACCATCCAACCATTTTTGTTAATTTGATAGCGTCATTAGCTCATTGTCTGTTTGAATTCTACTATTGACTGTGGTGTTATGGTTGGTACAGGTTCTGATTCTGAAGGTGGTCTCTGTCCTCAAGCGCACTTCTGCCCCACTGGCAGTGCCATGCCTGTTCCCTGCCCTGCGGGCACTTATACCAACCTGACAGGACAGATTAAGTGCAGTCCCTGCCACGCTGGATACTATTGCCCAGAGAGTACCAGCAAATACACTCTGTACCCCTGCCCTCCTGGATTCTACTGCCCTGATGGTAAGAGACAGAATGATATATAAACTATTGCTTACAACACAAAAAATAAATAAAAAATCGATAGATACCTTAATTTTTAACAATAAATATTCAATTTCTTATTAATTTTGTTCATTTTATCTTTAATTTTATATATATATTGGTTTATTATATTGTATATATATATTGCCAAAGGATGCTGATATTGTATATCTACACCAACGTTAAACAAATTGTGGTCAGTAAGATTTTTTTAAACAAAATTAATACTTTCAGTAAAGTATTAGTAAAGACATTTATAATGTTACAAAATATTTCTATTTCAAATAAATGCTATTCTTGTGACCTTTCTATTCATCAAAGAGTCCTGAAAAATATATCATGGTTTCCACAAAAATATTAAGCAGCGCAACTGTTTTCAACATTGATAACAATAAATGTTTCTTTAGCAGAAAATCAGCATATTAGAATGAATTCGGAAGGATCATGTGACACTGAACACTGAGTAATAGCACACTATGAGTAATGATGCTGAAAATTCTACTTTACTGTCACAGGAATAAATTACATATTAAAATATATTCAAATAGAAAACAGTTATTTTAAATTGTAATAATTGTTAACAATATTAATGTTTCAACTGTATTTTGATCAAATAAATGCAGCCTTGGTGAGCATAGGAGACTTCTTTCAAAAACATTAAAAAGACCCCAAACTTTTGAACGGTAGTGTATTTGTACATTAAAACACTTAATAATTTATAACACTGTTAAATTCCATTAGCAAATATCTAATTTTAATTTTAATTTTTAGCCATCTAATTTTTCATTATGTACATTATAATGTTGTGATACCCTTTTTTAAAAATGTTTTATTTTCAATTTATTTAGACAAAAAAGTATAAAATTGTATATATTTTAATATCAACCATAACTAATATTAAATAATCTTAATATTAAGATTTTATGTCATTGTATTTTCATATGTGTATTTCATATTGTCATATGTGTATTTTGTCTTGTGGCACTGGCAGATTTTTTCCTATCTGACTGCTTCACTAGACAAAATGCACTTTTCATTAGAGAAACCACACCTCAGTATTATGCAGTGCTGGTCTTTGTTTACAGGAACAAAACATGCCACCCAGTTTCCCTGCCCACGAGGCTATTACAACCCCGAGCCGATGACCCACAGCCTGGACAGCTGCTTACCCTGTCCTCCAGGCCACTACTGTGAGAAAGAGCGCCTGTCCGCTGTGTCTGGGAAATGTAAAGCTGGTTAGTACATCACCTGAATGAGACTATTTTTAACTGAATATTGAACTCATTTTGAATTTCAACCAATGACTTCATCACACAGGATGGTTCTGTGTATCTGCTGCCTGGAACGCTCAGCCCTTTGACCTGGACAACTACACTAACGCTAACTGCCTATGCCCTGCTTCCTCCACTGGGGGCAGATGCCAGGAGGGGTTTTACTGTCCATCAGGGACCTCTGAGCCTCAACCTTGCCCTCCAGGAGCTTTCTGCAATGCAACCGGTGCGTAATCACCAGATACAAAGCAATGAATTGCCTGTGTGCTTTTGCAAAACAGTTTGCTTATAACCTGACCTTCTGAAACAGGTCTAGCCCTGCCGAGTGGACCGTGCTCTCCTGGGTATTACTGCACGAGAGAAGCCACTTCCTCCAGGCCTATAGATGGCATTACAGGCAACATCTGCCCTCCAGGGACTTACTGTGGTAAGTATTGGGTTATTCAGATGTAGATTTATGTCACTTTCCAGCAAACCAGCCTTTCCAGAATACATTTTAGTTATGAATGTCTATCGTTTTCCCCAGACGAGGGCTCCAGTGCACCACAGCCATGTCCAGCGGGGACTTTCTCCTCAGCAGCGGGCCTTGTAAGCAAGGACAAGTGTCAGGCCTGTAGAGCTGGATACTACTGTGCTACCGTGGGCCTTCAGGCTCCTACTGCCCCCTGCAGGGAGGGTGAGAACAACTATCACTGCACTAAACTCAGACTAGTAAAGTGCAGTTTAAACAATTTCTACATCTTCTTGTCCTTGTCCTTTTTCGGTAGGTTACTGGTGCCCGCCTGGTCAGACAGATGACCTAGCTCTGCCATGTCTGGTCGGTCATTACTGTCCCCCAGGAAGCTCTGTCCCAATTTTTTGTCCCACTGGGACATATCAGGACAAGCAGAAGCAGGCAAACTGTACAATCTGTGAATCAGGCAAGCCGCAGTTTTCTAAAGAAAACTGTGACACACTCCCACATTTCTATTTCTGAAATTCATACTGAAGCTTGTATCCTGTTTTTTATTTTTCTCCTACACCAGGTTTTTATTGCGATGCGACATTTGGGGCTGTAAATATGTCTGTCCTCCAGCCTTGTCCAAAGGGACATTACTGTCCTAAAGGAGCTGGTATTGCCAAACAATTTCCATGCCCTGCCGGCACTTATAACCCCCGTGAGCTCATGGACAGTCAAAGTGACTGTCTGTTGTGTCCGTCAGGACATTACTGTCCAGATGTTGGACTTGAAGAACCTACAGGTGAGACTGATGACATTTCAGTAAAAATTCTGAAACAAATGCCCCATTTTCTTGCTTTACAAGCCCTGTGTTCAAATGCATATTTGTAGGACTGTGTTTGGCTGGTTTCTGGTGCAGAGAGGGCTCCTATTCACCCAGTCCTATGGATGGTTCTACAGGCGCCCCATGCCTAGCTGGTCACTACTGTCCTAAAGGTGATTTAAAAATTTCAGCTACCAGAATTAGCCTTTATCTGTCCTGTCTTATGAGAAATTTGCTAAAGTTGTTATCACTAAATAACATCTTTTGTCGGCACAAATATTAATTATGTTAAATTCTACACCATAATGTCGGTGTTGATAGCATAGTGGTTAGTGCACTGACATGTGGCGCAACTGTGCCTCTGGGCGACCCGGGTTCGAATCCGACTCAAGGTCCTTTGCTGATCCCATTCCTCTCTCTCCACCCAAAAGCTTTCCTGTTAATCTCCACTATCCTGTCTGCAAAAAAGCACAAAAAGTTACAACATAATGTACAGTATTAGTAAAGTAATAAAAGTATAAAGTAATTTACATGATATTTTGTACACATAGTATTTGCTGTTTGCCTAATTCTGTTCAATTAAATGTCAGAGCATGTGGAGAACTTTTGAACATGTTACACTGGTATGATATTTGAACTTATGGTACACTACTGATGTGATTTCATTTATATAAAAGTGTTTTAAAGGTCTCCCTGTGTTACTTTAGGCACTGCCAGTCCTATGCCCTGTCTGGTGGGAACGTGGTCTAATAGTACAGGACTAAGTAGTGCTGAGGAGTGTCAGTCATGCCCTGGAGGGTTTTACTGTGCCTCTAGCGGTCTGAAAGAACCCAGTGGACTCTGCTCAGATGGGTATGTGCAAAACAATATGCACAGTACAATTGCAACACAGATGCCCAGTTTAACCTATGGTGTCATATGTCCCCAAAAGGTTTTATTGTGCTGAGAAAGCTGAGACTCCCACTCCCACTGATGGGGTCTCCGGCCACATCTGTCCAGTGGGTCACTACTGTCCTCCAGGAACCACTCACCCTGTTCCATGTGATCCTGGGACTTTTGTAACCGTCACTCAAGCCTCCCAGTGCTGGCCCTGCACAGCTGGCTGGTACTGTGTGGATGGAGCCCGGCTGCTGTGCCCAGCTGGTTGGTGCTTTGGTCTCTCGTTGGCTATGTTTGGAATGGAGTACTAGTGTACTGCTTACTGGATGCTGCACAGTATATACTGCCTACAGTTTAACAAAAGTACGTGAAACAGTATGCATTATGCAACTGTTCATGTTTTAAACAGTAGTGTGCTACATTTCTGTCCTCATCACATTGCTTATTTAATTCTTTGCGAGGCATCCAGTTATCCATTTGTAAATAATAATTGTTATTGTGCATTAATGTTTTATGTTAAAATAACTTGGTTATAAGCTGCTATTACTTTCAGTTCCAGTTCTGCTTTTATACAAAATTCCGAACATATCCATTTTATGTTGCTGCTAGAATAGTAGTGAAAGTAGTGTCAATAGGTTACTTCCTAAGTATATGCAATGATATACTTCCTAAGTCTAAGTCCAAGAAACTCAATTAATTTGTAAACAGCACCACGCAGTGGAGAGAGACAATACATAAACATGCTGACTGATTTCATCCAAATCCAGCAATCATATTTAAGCTGTTATCTTATGTCTGCCTGTAGGTTTCTATTGTCCTGAAGGCACAGGGTATGACTGGAGGCCTTGTCCAGCAGGGACATACAGTCCTGACTCTGGTTTGAGTTCCCTCTCTGAGTGTAGGGAATGTGTTGGAGGACACTACTGCTCTCTTCTGAGCTCCACCTCTGTCACAGGAGAATGCTCTGAGGGATATTACTGTGTGCATGGGAACATCTCACCTCAACCTCACACGCAGTCTGCAGGTAGCTGGGTTTACATCCATGGATTTGGAGAATTTTGAATAATTTAGGGTTATTACATAAAAAATTCTGAATGAAAGATGTGAATAGAATACAGGTGTTTAATTTTTTTTAATAATTAAATATATAAAAATAAAGGTCTGGAAACAGTTTTTGAAAAAGCAACATCACATTGTTTTTGCCTTACAATGAAGACTTTATAAATATATATAAAATAGAATGTAATAATGTTTTTGTTTTTCTCAAGGAGCAGGAGGACCTTGTCCTGTGGGTCACTTTTGCCCACAAGGCACCACTCAACCTCAGCCTTGTCCAGAAGGCACTTTCAGTAATAAAACCAAACTGATCAAAGTGGTAAGAGGAATTACTCTATTTATAACAGCATGAGACCACACAAGTCCCATTGTCCTATTACATCTGTAAGGACCATGGATACCCTTGTCTTATAGGAAGAGTGTTTGTCATGTTCTGCTGGTCATTATTGTGGCATATCTGGGCTGACTTCACCCAGCGGAGAATGCTGGGAAGGTTTTTACTGCAAACAGGGAGCCGTACTCCCCAACAGCCCAATCAACGATCACAGAGGAGGACCGTGTCCGACAGGTAAATGACAGATCCCCAATTCAGGGCAGATTAAAAACGCCCACCTTCCCCTCACACCGGCCCACCTCATCCTGTTTTCCGCTCCCGCGCAGGTTATTTTTGCTCTAGAGGCTCCAGCGCTCCTCAAATCTGCCCAGAAGGATCCATCAGCAGTAGAGAGCGACAGGACAGCTGCAGCCTGTGTCCCCAGGGGTAGATACACTTATACATATACAAAAATGGTTAACATTTAAAGGTGAAGTGTATCTGGGTTTTTTTTTTTCATGTTAACTATTCCAGATTGTGCAGAGCCATCAGCCCACATTATTTCAACATAAATGATCACGTTTCACTGTGGAATTCTTGGTGAAAACTACGTCATTGCCCATGATTCTGCAAAAAACAATCATGGTTTTATTTTTCTCCATCGTTTTTATTTCAGCTGTGTTGTTCGCAATGCTTCATGGGATTGTAGTTCTTTCCCTCATTAAACCCATTAAGTGCACAGTCTTGTACCTTTGTCTTTTTGTCTGGTTTTTAAATACTTTTATGCTTCAAATCTAAGTTTGTAATGATGTGAATGACCTCGTAGCTGGTTGATCTGGTTCATGGCTTATAACTCTTTAATGAAGACATTTTTAAAATCCCTATGGGAAAAATGAATCAAGGCCACTGGAAAAGCAAAGTTGCACTGTTGTGAGTTTGGGGGCGGGGCTATTTGTTTGATCACCCAATAGCAGACAGTGGAGTGTTCATGAAGCCTGTCATTAGTTTTGCATTCTGTTTGGTGGAGCTAGTGCCGCAAAAATGACATACTTTACCATCAAGTCATTCATTGTAAAGTAAATATCTCTTTTCACTTACAGTTACTACTGTCCTGCCTATGGTTCCTCTTCTGAGGGCATTGAATGCCCAGTAGGCCATTATTGCCCTACGGGCACCCATCTCCAAAATCAGCACCCCTGTCCAGCAGGGACTATTAATCCACATTCAAGGATGACCAGCCGTGAAGACTGTTTTCCCTGCCCTCCAGGTACCATTTCTACAAGCGACTGCACTCCTATCGAGTCATTCCTCAGAGTTACGCATCTCTTATTCTCAGAGGGTCACGCTGCCCTATTTCTTCACAGCATTTGCGTAATAGCATTTTCAGTTGCAGCCCCTTGTGCTTCTTTCAGTGTCTGTCAAATCTCAGCTGTGAAATTTCCTACAAACTTTCCACCCGGCAGGTTTCTTCTGCCAGTCTCCTGGACAGAGTGCTGTGTCTGGACCGTGTGCAGCTGGACACTTTTGTCTCTCAGGAGCCGTGTCCCCCACACCCGTGGATGGAGTGACAGGTGGTAAATGTCCTCAAGGACACTACTGTCCCGTAGGGTCCTCATTCCCTGAGCCTTGTCCACCAGGCCGCTATAGCAACAGCAGCCAGAACACTAAGCTGTCTGACTGTCTGCCCTGCCCTCCAGGTCAGTGCTCCTCTTTTGGAGACTTCAGACTTCCTTTTAGATCACTTAGTTTCTACTGATTTGTGGACATTTTCTTTGTAGGATCTGCTTGTTCCAGTAGGGGTCTCTCCTCCCCTTCTCATGTGTGCCAGATAGGCTACTACTGCCCACATGGTCAAAATTCCAGCCAGCCTGCCGACTACATCTGCTCACCTGGACATATGTGTCCACCTGGCAGACCTACCCAGATCCCCTGCCCCCTTGGGACTTTCCAGAGCCTCCTGGGGCAGGTCAGTTGAGAGAGAGGCAGGATTGTTTAATGCCACCTTAAAAGTTGTAACATAAAAAAGTTTTTCTCTTTAGCATTACCATTAGTGTTGTTATTAAGTTAAACTACAATAAAAGCTGTTGAAAGTATTAAAAATCATTAATTGAAATAAAACTGAAATAAAATAAAATATGAAATAAAATAAAATATAAATATTAGAAAATTAAAAAATTGTGAAAATTTAAAAATCTAAAATTTAAAATCTAACCTTTTATTGAAGTAAACAAATTGAAAGTGGAGGGGAAATCACATTATGAAATAATAAATGTTTTTCTCCAAAACACATTGGGAACAATTATTTGCCCCCTTTTATTAAATACTTTTTGCACTCTCCTTTTGCCAAGATAACAGCTCTGAGTTTTCTCCTATAATGCCTGATGAGTTTGGAGAACAACTGACAAGAGATCAGAGACCATTCCTCCATACAGAATCTCTCCAGATCCTTCAGATTCCCAGATCCATGCTGGAGCTTCTTCTCTTCAGTTCAGCCCACTCATTTAGTCATTTTCTATAGGGTTCAGGTCTGGGACTGGGATGGCCATTGCACATGCTTGGTTTTTTGCTCAGTGACCCATTTTTGTTTTGATTTTGATGTTTGCTTTTGGTTTGTTAGAGAAGAAGCTCCAGTATGGATCTGGGAATCTGAAGGATCTGGAGAGATTCTGTATGGAGGAATGGTCTCTGATCTCTTGTCAGTTGTTCTCCAAACTCATCAGGCATTATAAGAGAAAACTCAGAGCTGTTATCTTGGAAAAAGGAGGTTGCAAAAAGTATTTAATAAAAGGGGGCAAATAATTTTTTTCTAACGTGTTTTGGAGAAAAACATTTATTTCATAATGTGATTTTCCCCCCACTTTCAATTCTTTTACTTCAATGAAAGGTTAGATTTTTGCTAATTTTTTAATGAACAATGCAGATTTATTTTTTACAGCCATCTTTGATCATATTTACCAAGGGGGCAAAATAATTCTGACCAGCACTGTATATCCCAAAATGCACACAATAAATATTATTTTTTGCATAATTAAAAAAAACCCCAGCTTGATTAAAATGACGCATAGTAAAAATATTAATTTTACAAGTGATATTTACCTTGATTTTTCTTTGTTCACCACATCTCATATTTTTTTTATCAGGTTTTTTACCAAAACATTTATTTTTTCTTCAAGTTTTTGATAATAAAAAAAAAAAATATATATATATAGATATTATATATTATATTATACATATATTATTTTTCAATGATTTCATTATTTGGATATTTTATTTTTATTATTTTGCTTTAATATTGTAAAAATGTATAAACATTCAAATGGTTTCACTTTGTTTAAATTAATATAGTTTTAAATGTATAATGTATCATATTTGTATGATGTGATTTCATATTTTAAGATTAAAACTATAAGTTTGGAGCAAATAAAACAATAAAATCTCTATATAAATATAAGTGATGAAGGCATGGTAAAAAGTTACCAAGACCTTTTTAATGTGATCTTAATATAACAGAAAGAAACATAAAATGAAAGCTTAAAGATAAATACTTGATCTACTTCACATCCATAGGCAGAATGTTCTGTGTGTCCGGCTGGATATTTTTGTGCTGGTTCAGACACAGTAACAGAAGGAACCTCTATACCTGTGCCATGTCCTAGGGGATATTACTGCCCTGCAGGTACTGACAAAATTACTCTGAGTACATGATGAGGACACTTGAACCCTTTTTTACTCTATACTTCGTATTTTGAACAGGCTCAGAGTCCGGAGTGAGCTTCCCCTGCCCTGTGGGCACTTTTAATGGCCAGTTAGGCCTGTCCAGGGAGGATCAGTGTGTCCCCTGCCCCCCTGGTAAATACTGCAGCTCCTCTGGCCTGGACACCCCTACGGGCAACTGTTCTCCAGGGTGAGTTTATTCCACTAAAATGTCCTGCTGAATAATATAGGCCTGTTTTCTTATGCTAATGTCTTGGATTTTGCAGTTATGTTTGCAACCTGGGTGCCTCGCTCTCAGAGCCAGTTGGAGATTCCACGGGAGGAAGATGCACAGCTGGCTTCTATTGCCCACCGGGTGCCAGCCATATGGAGCCCTGTCCTCTGGGCACATTTGGCTCATTAGAAGGTCTTATTCCAGCATATGTAGCATGCTTGCACTGTTCAATATGGATGAATGGAACTAACATTGTGGGTGTTTGAATAGGAGCAGCATCTGTAGTGGTGTGTCAGTCGTGCACACCAGGACAGCACTGTGCAGAACCAGGGCTGAGTTCACCCTCTGGACCCTGTAGTCCTGGATACTACTGTATTCAAGGATCACACACCCCTACGCCTCAGTACTACAACAACACAGGTCATTTTCTCCACTTACCGCAGTGTTTGATCATGGTAATGAGTCTAAGCATTGCAACGATAATTAGTTGAATTTGTTTCAGATGGTGAAGAACCTGGGGCTTGTACAGCGGAGGATGTCCGTTCTCAGATTCAGTTCATTGGGGATCTCTGTCCTGCAGGGCACTACTGCCCGATTGGCAGTGCACGACCAGAAGCCTGCCCACCAGGTAGAGTTTGAACTAAAAATGAAAATTCTGACATCATTAACTCACTGATTTTCTTTCTTCTGTGGGACAAAAAGGAGACGTTTAACATAATGTTCACGCTGCTCTTTTTCATACAATACTGGAAAGGATATAGTGACGAGGAGTTTTCAAGCTCCAAAATGGAGGATTTTCTGTGAAAAAATTACCTTGATTTTGGTCTGTTCCTCACACAATGCTATCGTATAGTCTCAGAGGACTTGGAATATAACACACAAGTAGTATGTGCTAGTTTTATTGTGCTTTTTTTTGTCCTTTTTGGAACTTTTTGGCTGCTGACCACAATATGCTTTCATGTTCAAGCAAATCAATACTTTCACTTAGAAAGGATGCATTAAATTGATCAAAAGTGACAGTTAAGAGATTTATGATGTTGCAAAAGATTTCTATTTCTGTTTCAAATAAATGCTGGTCTTTGAACTTTCTATTCATCAAAGAATCCTGAAAAAAATATATCAAGGTTTCCACAAAAATGTCCAATCGTTTCAACATTGACAATTATAAGAAATGCACCAAATTAGCATATTAGAAAAACTTATGGAGGATCATGTGACACTGAATAAAGAATAAAATGATGGCTGCTGAAAATTCAGCTTTGATATCACAGAAATAAGTAATATTTTAAAATATATTGCAATAAAAAACAGTTATTTCAAATGGGAATAATATTTCACAATATTTCTGTTTTTATTAGATTTTTGATCAAATAAATACAGCCTTGGTGAGCACAAGAGACTTCTTTCAAAAACATAAAAAACATTTCACGTCAGTGTAGTGTAATTCAAAACCTCCTTTTGTTTCCACTGAAAAAAGAGCAATGGCAAGTAAATAATGGCAATTTCCTTTTTTGGTTTAACTATTCCTTGGATTATGTAGCAAATTTTGTAATGTTTCTAAGAAACGTTACTATGTCACCTCCAGTTTGATTTACAGAAGAATAATCAACATCCAACTTGACAGTATTTTGTTAGTATCTCTCTAATTGCGTTTAATCAAATGATCTCTGATTGTTTTATATTATAGGTTCATTCCTGGGCCAGCGTGGTGGTGTGTCTGAGACAGAGTGTCATCCATGTACCCCTGGATTCTACTGTCCAGACTGGGGTCAGAGCTCTGCAGAGCTCCGCTGTCCTGAGGGCAGCTTCTGTCCGGCAGGTTCTGTAACAGGACATCAACCTGGTAGGAAGCAACACTGACGAAGCAGAAATCCACATGTCCTCTGGGCATCAGTTAAACTGGGGTACTGGATGTACACAGTGCTGAGCAGGTTTAATAAATAAAGAGAGACAGTGTCTGCTTCCTCCTTCCATTTATCTTATTGACTCGCCACAGCATCTCTACAGGCTTGCCCTAGTGCTGTCTGAATTATTTAGTACCGTTGCCATAATATGTCTAGACATCGTTTATTTTTATACTGCCAGTCTCTTACCTTTATGATCTGTCTGTTCAGACCGTCAGTGTCCGTCTGGTCACGCATGTCCGTATGGCAGCGTCAAGCCTGCCATCTGTTCGCCTGGTACTTATCAGCCTCTGCCATCCCAGCCTTCCTGTCAACCATGCCCACCAGGTAAATATTATATGGGTGAGTCTTTCTAAGCCTCTTAAGGAATGTCTGGGTCATATTTCACCCTAATATCATAAAGAAAACGCATAAGTAAATTTATTTTATTAAGAAAAAATTAAGCCTACATTTATAATTTGCCTTGACTAATCTATGTATTATTTTTAGGATAATTACGCATGGTTTACCATACATTTCTATAGTTACTCTCTGACTATCCTGATGTTTTACGTTACTGCAGGGTATTTTTTTTTACATTACAGTGAAACAATACTGTAACACAATTTTGAAAAGCACATTTTGATTTTTAAAATCTTAATGGTCCTAAAAAAAGGGCTTAATTTTCTTCAGGCTAAATTTAATAAAAAAGAAGAAATACATTTTGAAATAAGAAAATTAATAAATACAATTATTTCTTTAGATTTTTGATTTAAATATGACATGGAGATTTTTGTTGTTGTCAGATTCCCTGTATGTCAAGAAATGGAAGCATAGAAAAGCCGACATTTAATGTTTTACATTTACTATTCTCATTATCAATTATGATTTTCATTACAATAATACAGAATTTTTTTCACATTACAGTAAACTATTTTTTTAAATAACATTTTAGATCTATATGGTCCTAAAAATAAGTTTCAAAATTTAGTATGACCTAGACATTTCCCTGACAGGTTTCTTGACTTTCAAGAAAAAGTCTGGGTCATATTTCCCCCCCAAATTCATAAGAAAAATTGTAAAATGTATTTCACAAAGGAAATTAAGTATTGACATTATTTTCAGGACAATTGTACCTCTCAATTTTCATTACCATGATGTTTTTCTTTAAATTGAAATCAGCATATTTTTATTTTTAAAGAAACATAATGTTTTTTTAATTATTCAACCAAGCGAATTGTATTATTTTTACCGTATTATATGCTTTTTCTTCTACAAGGTTTATACTGTATGGAGGGTTGCACCACCCCGCTTCCCTGCCCTCCAGGCACTGCGAATATGATTGAGGGGTTGCAATCACAGCTGGATTGCTCTCCATGTCCTCCTGGATTCTACTGTAACACCAGCGCACTAATCAGCCCCTCCGGACCCTGCTCCGCGGGTCAGTGCCACAGAGATTCCCATCAGAATCTGTTCTGGTGGTGTATCTCTTAATTTTACATCTGGTTCTCCCTCTATAAAAGGTCATTTCTGCTCATCTGGGGCCACAGAGCCTGCCCCAGTCTCTCAGATGTATGGAGATATATGTCCGGCAGGATATTACTGCCCTGAGCAGAGCAGTGCTCCGTTACCCTGTCCTGTTGGTTTTATTCTCCAGGACAAAGGGGGCACCTCCTCTAATGACTGCTCCCCTTGCCCTCCAAGCAGATATTGCATTGCACCAGGCTCCTCTCAGCCCTCAGGTTGGCAGATAATAAATATTACACCGTAAACCACAAAATAATTCAGCTGAATGATGATGAGAAGTGATCCATATGTTATTTTTGCCCTTCTGCAGGGTTTTGCGCTCCAGGTCATTATTGCGTTGGAGGTGCAGATACTGCCATACCTCAGGCCACATTTTCTCAGAGGACCTGTTTTTGTGACCTCATATCTTTATCCCACCTCCAAAAGTATGATCTTTGCCTTCTGAAGCACAACATAACCTGTTCAATTCACATTCCAGGTAGGATTCTAGGTATGGTACTACATCATTTATATGGTAATGGATGAGGCTGTTAAAACTGACTGACACTTTTTCAAGGAGATGATGCCGGAGTCTGGGATGACCTGGATCCCAGACCTCTATTCGATTTATCCGAGTCTGAGGGTTATTCAGAATTACGCCTACAAATCACAGAATCATGTACTGGTTTCAAAGGGGACCTGTGTCCTACAGGTACACAATGCACACTGATACTGTATATTTGTTAATAAAAGGCTTCTTTAACATTGCATTAAAAGGATTGTTCACCCAAAAATAAAAAGTCATCATTTACTGACTTTTTGACTAATGTCATTGGCATTGCAAACTTTTTTCTGAACACAAAAGGAAGTATTTCAAAGAATTTGCTGGTCAGTCCTTTCTATGCAGTTACAATGAACTAGAACTGGAGATGTCAAGCTTAAAAAAAAAGGATGCAAATGCACCAGAAATTCGTCATAAATGTAGTTTATATGACTTGTGCACAATATTCCAAATCTTCTGATGTCATGTTATTTTTCTGGGTGAGCAACAGACCACAAAGTTTGCCATTATTCACTAAAAAACTTCACATCCATCTTGAAAGTTAATGAAAGAGTAATGTTGTTTGTTTCATTAACAAATCATTCAGACCAGTTGTGAACCCATTCATTGAAAAGTTCTGACTCAAAAGGACGATTTGTTCACAAATCAGACATAACTATTTCAAAGTATATCAAGACCGAATTTTCTTTTTTTTATGGTGAACAATCTCTTTAATGGATATCGGCCATCTCTATCTGTATAAGATCATGATGATTATGTTCTGATGGCTAAAGCTCAATGAATCATTTCTACAGGGTCTTATTGCCCAGTGGGTTCGTCTCTTCCCCAGCCCTGTGATTCGGGCTCTTATTGTAATCAGACTGGCCTGCACACTCCTGTAGGCCTCTGTTTGGCTGGATTCTTCTGCCCCACAGGATCCTCAAATCCTAGTGCTGTGCTTTGTCCTCCTGGACACTACTGTCCCCGAGGCACACCACTACCCCTGCCCTGTCCACAAAGCACAATGTGTAGTAAGTGAAGCTAGAAGCTAGAGCTAGAAGGATCAATGAACATTTTCATTATTTTGCAAGATGCATCTTCAATTCAGCTTCAGTATTTACCAGCATTGCTTTTACAGTTACATTCTACAAATCTTTCTGTATACCCATAATGCAGTTTATTTAAGAAGAATGCGTAGATGTTGTTTGACATCCTGTCTTTATTGCCTATTAACATTTTATCTGCCATTAACCAATTAAAAAGCTTTTAAAGCACTGCGCCTATTTTCTGATAGGCGTTTCTGGTTTGAACTTTTCTGGGAAGCTTTATGGTTTTATTGTTTAATACCCACCAGGATCTGCTGGTGCATCCGGTGTAGAAGGTTGCCTTGAATGTCCACCGGGATATTTCTGTGAGCGAAGAGGCCTAACTGAGCCCTCTGGTCTGTGCTCTGAGGGCTATTACTGCCCTGGAGGACAGAACACATCCAGACCACCTGAGTATGTGTGTGGTGCAGGCCACTTTTGTGAAAGGGTAAGCGGAAAACTCACCATATGCACAAGTGAATTGATTGATTGACAAACATTTTTTATTTGTATATTATTAAAATATATTGTTTTGCTTTTTGCTCAATTAAACATGCACATTTGAACAACTTTAAACATATTTATTTATAACATTAATGACACCAGAATACAGGGACAAGCCTTTTTTATGTATATTATTAAAATATTAATAATAATTCAAGAATAAAATTCACTTCTTAGGTCTTGTTTAGCCTGAAAAATGAAATAATATTTAATTTATAACAAGTATATACCTATACCTAAGTCAAAGAAGTTATACTATGGTGATCAAATTCAAATTTATATTTAACTTTTTCTTTTTTAAATATAACGTTATAAATATTGTCATCATTTAATTATTTAATGAAATGTTAGGTAATTATGTCTTTTATATGGGGTTTCTGTAGTATTTGAAGTGTTTTTCATGAAATGTTACATTTTGAGTGACCCAAACTCTGTAAAAGTGTAAAAAACAAAACAAAAGAGGCATTTTAACAAAATTGAATTGGCATGAATTTACTAAAATGACTTGTTAATTTAAATCCAAAATTTTAAAATAATTTAAATATCTTAAAATGGCAGTGTGCCTTTTACAAAACATACTCATGTTGTTCCCGCTCTAACAGGGCAGCATCATGGAGAGGCCATGTTTCCCAGGTAGCTTTCAGCCCAGTCTCGGTCAGCATAGATGTGAACTGTGCCCTGTCTCCTTTTTCTGCCCTGAGAACGGTACAAATAAAATTTCAATAAATGAACAGATTAAATATATGCCTTTGCTTAAGGATGTGTTTCTTGTACTAGGTATGACACACCCATTCCCATGTCAGCCTGGATTTTATTGTCCAATCGGAGCATCCAGTCAACATCCCTGTCCTCCAGGGAGTTATGGGAACCGGTCTGGATTGGCTGAGTCTTCTGAATGCTCTCAATGTGACCCTGGGACCTATTGTATAGGGTCAGGTATGACGCATGAACAATGATTATTTTCCCCAGAGAACATGCTAATCCTGCTTGGTCTTATATGTTGAGCTGATATTTATTTGTTTGTCCAGGGGATGTGTCACCAACTGGCCCTTGCAGTGCTGGATTCTTGTGTTTTGGAGGAGCCGTCACTCCCTCCCCAAATGATAATGAGACTGGAATACCATGTCCATCTGGATCGTATTGTCCAGCCGGAAGTTTTGCTGCAATACCTTGTCCCAAGGGCACATTTAGGTACCAGTGTGACACATAATAGTACAAAACAACTGAAAAAATGAGAACATTTTATGTTATAAAATAATGTTTTTAAATCAATTTAAAAAATCTCATTCTATTAAATAAAATAAAATAAATTGTTTTACAGCAATCTGTATCAACTATCCAACATAAGTCAGTGCCAAAACTGTACACCCGGGTTTTATTGCTCAGAACCAAGCCTGACCTCAGTCAGTGGACCCTGCTTATCAGGTTTGAATACAAATCTACGGCAGACAGTTTTTAAGCCTTCACAGGACTTCTTGTAGATTCTTATTAATATGACATGTTGTATTCTCACAGGGTTTTACTGCAGTGAGGGATCTCCGACTCCAGCTCCTCTGTCAGCCGTTTATGGCGATATTTGTCCTCCTGGTCACTATTGTGAGATTGGTAGCGCTGTGCCAACTCCCTGTCCAGTGGGCAGCCAGCGCTCTGATAGCGGGGGAAAGGGCACAGATGATTGCATGCCTTGCCCTGGAGGTACTGTAATACTCTATTTTGGAGATATACTGTCTGCTCTGTGACCTCAAGGTAATGCTCCATTTCAGTGTCGTTACTACACTTTTTAGAAGAGGTCAAATACAAAAGTGATTGTTGTCATTGGTCATACTTTTTATATGTTGTTGTTTGATCGCAGGTCAGTTTCAGGATCAGAGGGGGCAGAGCAAGTGTAAACCCTGTCCTCCTGGTTTCCACTGCATCAACCTCACAAGCGGCTCTACGGGGGTCAGCACTCCTTTGGTCTGTCCTGAAGGCTTTTACTGCCCCAATGAGACTCAGCCTAGAAACCCAGTTCCATGTCCCAAAGGCACATACAGTGATTCTCTAGGCCTCATTTCAGCAGGTGATGTATTCTCTATTCTACTGCAATAAGTGAGGAACATTATTAAATGCGTTTTTCCATTTCTATCATGCTTATTTTATATATGGTTTTGTATAATTGCAGAGCAGTGCCTGGTGTGCCCTATGGGATATTTCTGCGGTTCAGATGGTCTCTCCAAGCCCTCTGGGCCCTGTGCCCCTGGATTCCTCTGTTTTGTACAAGCAACAGTTCCTAACCCCACTGACAACAGCACTGGCACTATGTGTCCACCTGGGGCATACTGCCTTCTGGGAATAAGAGCAGGTTTTTATCAATATTTTAAAGGGCACCTATTATGCAAGATGTAAAATATGTCTCTGATGTCCCCAGAGTGTGTATGTGAAGTTTTAGCTCAAAATACCCAACAGATACTTTTTTACAGCATGTTTAAATTGTCACATTTTGGGGCTCAGAAAAACGCACCGTTTTAGTGTGTATCCCTTTAAATGCAAATGAGCAGCTCCTGCCGGCACAGAGGACCATACCTGTCAAGTATCCCGTTTTGGCCGGGAAAGTCCCGTATTTTACCCTTCTTTCCCGCCGTCCTCCCGTATTAGTGTTTTCCCGTAAATCTCCCGTATTTTAACCTGCGTTATTGAAAAATAATAATACCCCGGGCGGAGTAAAAAAAAAAAAAAAACATTCCCACTCGGAGCTCTGTCACTAGCCTCGCGATAACTACAGGTACTGTAGGTGGCAGTGTCGCGAGGTTAGTGCTCAGATGATGAGTGACAACGCGGAAAAAAACAAAAAAACAAAAAAAAAAACAGAGTCGGATGATCTACGCTATGATATGACAGAGCAAGGCACTCCTGCCAAAAAAACAAAACCCTCATGTACTAAATACCGCGATCAATGGGATAGCGAATTTACTTTTCTGAAGAGGAGCAGGGTGGGGGACAGTCACGGTCACGGTTAGCATCTCACACGGGGAAGGAGCATGGTACGAAAGATTGTTACAGAGAATAGGATGACGTTAGACAACAGAACTGTTTGCTACTCTCATGTAAAATTAACCACTCTGGCCCAGCCCACAAATACACTCCTTCCAAAACAGTTAATACAAAGTCTGCAACAAATTTGTTCAATAACTCACTAAAAGAGTAAAGAAAAGTTATGTGAAATGAAAAGAAAAACTGCAAATGAAAAGCAATGTGAAATGAAAATAATGTGTGGAATGAAAATAAAATGTAAATGTAAAGACAAGCAATGTTAAATGAACAGAAAATATGCAAATAAGCCTTTAAATAATGCTCTTAATATATATATACCATATATATGTGTGTGTGTGTGTGTTTTAATTAACACCTGTCTTAAAATGTAAGGGATACTGGAGCTTGGTTGGGGTGGTGGGACTGATCGAGGTGGGCGCCGGAAAATTTCCCTTATTTTCAAATCCAAAACTTGACAGGTATGCAGAGGACACAACAGAAACTCTCAGCAGTGGGGTTCATTTTCAATTCAATTCAATTCAGTTCAAACAACTTTATTTATCCCCGTAGGGCAATTCAGTTTTAGCCTACCAGTCGTATCAACAAGACAAGAAGACAACACTTAGTCAAGCATTCAGAAACACTGTCAATGACATCATATTGCATTTGGGCACCAGAACAAAGCAACAAATACACAGGCCACAATACATAAACTAAGCAGAGACCAACGTTCAAGTAGATAAATAGATAAATAAATAGATAATACTAAGTAAATAATAAATAAATAGTAAATACAGAGGTTTACGATGCCTGGCACATATCTAGTTGCCGCTGTCAACAGTATTTAAAAACCTGATGGCAGAGGGAATAAAATAATTTGCATATCTGTTAGTTATGCAAATTCTTGCAAAGTACGTCACATTGCCTCGAATCTGAGAACGGCTTGTTCTGAGACATTGCTTATGATTTATTATGGGGATTTAAAAAAAAAAGCACTGGGTGGATTTGTATCATTATAGGGTGGTTGTGTACACACACTCCCAACACACATTTATGTTCAAACCTTGTAAAAGTGAATTTTGCATAATAGGTGCCCTTTAAATAAAAAGCTTTTATTTGTATATTTTAAATTTTAGTAATTTTGTTATGGGTTTTTGTCATTTTATTAAAAGATTTGTTGTATATAAAGTTTAACTTTACTATATATTTATTTCAGTTTTAGTCATTTTAGTACATTTTTATTTCAGAAAGTTCCTAAAGTTTTTAATGTAATATTTATATTTTGTTTTAATATTTTAGCTTTATTTAAATAAACAAAAACTAATTTGAACAGTTTTAGTAAAAAACCTGGGTGCACTCGTGCATTGCTAATGGATCTTAGGGGCATGATTTCAGATGTTAAAGATTTATTGTCCATTACTGAGAAGCACTGTAACTATAATTGACATTTTCTATTACTCATATGTTACGTAAAGTGCAAATGAGTCAGAAAATAGCTTCGAAAAGATAACGATTTTTGCGATTTGCTCATTATTGGCACAATAACAACATTGCTGTGGACGAGCTGTTTAGCTCTTTTACTAAGGGTTTTTCAATCTTTACAAACCCGGAGTCCCTTAAAAAGACTCTCAGCCAACCCAAGGAGCTAGCTTTCTTGCTAACACTTTATACTAACTTTCATTAAAAAACATTTATTACATTATATAATCAGATCATTGGTTCGTTAAATTATCATGGTAATATAATTGGTCTCAAAGACAAAAGCTACATGCCCCTTTTCCTAATTGTTTAAATCATCATTTAAATTTTCACACACACATTTTTTTTTTTTTTTTTTTTTGCACCCTGATCTTGTCGAGCGCAGTGATTTCTATTATTTCTTTCAAAATATTTTAAATAAAATTATTTGCTTCTTTTATCCTTTGTGGAATAGGGTATAGTTTCACAGAACCCTGATTGAAAACCATAACAATACAGTTAAAGCACTGATATTATGGCAGAATTTGGAGTTGAATGATGCAACCATGAGTCATATGGTATTATTGTCTATTTCTATTGTACCGTGTAGGTGAATGTTCTGCAGGCTACTTCTGTGACTGGGGCTCCAGCAGTCCTGAGCAGAGTCTCTGTCCTGCTGGTTTCTATTGCCCCGCAGGCACACACAAGCCCCTGGCCTGCACTGCAGGCACTTTCAGCTTCGTCATGGGCAACAGCCACAGAGAAAACTGTGATCCGTGTCCATTAGGCTACTACTGTCCGGGTGCGTTAGTATTTCTATCTACAAGAAAATTAGTTTAAAACCATCTCTGTGCTTTTTTATAAATCAATTACAATAGATCCTATTGCATTACAATGCAGGGGAAGCAGTATCAGAGCCTCTTCCATGTCCACTGGGACATTTCTGCCCCATGGGCACATCACAGGGCACTCAGTTTCCCTGCCCTCCAGGAACAGTGCAGCCACAGTCTGGGACAGCTAGTATGGAGGATTGTCTACCGTGTCCTGCAGGTCAGACTGAAAATACATGAAAATAACAAGACTTATTGCACAAATACACTACCCTTCAAAAATTTGGGGGAATGAAATTATACTTTTATTCAGCAAGGATGCTTTACATAGATCAAAATTGACAGTAAAGACAATTATAGTGTTACAAAAGATTTTTTTTGTAAATAAATAATTTCGTTTTTCACATATTAAGCAGCACAACTGTAACATTGATAATTAGAAATGTTTCTTGAGCACCATATCAGCATATTAGAATGATTTCTGAAGGATCGTGTTACTCTGAAGACTGGGGTTACGACTTTGACTTTGATATATATTAACATAGAAAAAAGTTGTTTTGAAAAGTAATTATAATTTTAAATATTATATATATATATATATATTTGACTGTATTTTTGCTCAAATAAGTACAGCCTTGGTTAGCATAAGAGACTTTCAAAATCTTTACGTCAGTCTTTTGAACAGTAGTGTACAATATGTGGGGGGAAAGGATCTAATCCATGTAATCTGTCTATCTAGGCATGTTTTGTGCTCGCCATGGCCTTTCAGAGCCTACAGGGCACTGCCAGGATGGATATCACTGCCCTTCGGGTGCCACGAGCCCTGATGGCACTGGAAACATGGTAAATATGATCAGTTCTGTCTCTTAATAGAGACTCTGTGTGTTTACAAAGGGTTAAATTCATTTAAAATGTGTGATTTTCAGATGGAATCTACAGGCAACAACATGTGCCCGCCTGGCCATTATTGCCCGGCTGGTATCAGCTCTCCTCTCCCCTGCCCCGCCGGAACATTCTCCAGCTCCCCAGGGTTGAGTGGGGCAGAGCAGTGCCAGCCGTGTCCTCCCGGGTACTTCTGTGAGCAGACTGCTATGATCCATCCATCAGAAGCAACTCTCTGTGATGCTGGGTAATTATTTATATCTATGCTTTTCAGGAGCTAAACACAGTCATCTGACAACTGTACACCCACACCCACTTGAGCTGAGCCAACCGGGTACACTCATGCATTGCTAATGGATCTTTGTGGCATGATTTCAGATGTTAAAGATTTATTGTCCTTTACTGAGATGCAGTGTAACTAAAATTGATATTGTCTATTACGCAAATGTTACGTAAAGTGCAAATGAGTCAGAAAATGGCTTCGAAAAGAAAACTTCAGTTTCTATGCAGTTGTAGTCAGTAATGAAAACAGATACAGTGGAGTGGCAGTGAAGTGCTTTTGCGATTGGCTCATTTCTATCAGTGGAGGAGGATTATACATTGGGCATCCAAAATCTGGCATATGATTATAAAATAATGATTTTCTTTTGGAATATAGTTTGTGACAGCCTTATTTGTCCCCTCGCAGATATGTTTGTATGAACGGCAGTCGTAGTGCTCGACCAGTAGATGGACTACAGGGTTATATTTGTCCGAGCGGACACAGTTGCCCCATCGGAGCTCCATTGGAAATGCCATGTAAGCCTGGCACATATAGCAGTGCTCCTGGCGCCGCCCACTGTCTCTCATGCCCTGCTGGCACTATGTGTCCTTCCCCTGGCACACAGGAGCCTTCTCCATGTCCCATGGGTGAGTCCAGCCCAGTGCTGAGTAATGCCAGTATGATGGATAATGAGTAATTAATTATGTCTTTCCATTCTGCTACAAATTAAAATCAGACACTGCTGTTCAAAAGTTTGTGGTCAGTAAGATTTTTAAATGTAAAAAAAAAAAGAAAAGAAAAAAAAGTGTCAATTATGTTGACCAGGGCTACATTTATTTGAACAAAAATACAGTAAAACCTGTAATATTGTGAAATATTCTTACAATTTACATATACATAATATTTGGTATTTTAATATATTTTAAAATGTAATTTATTCCTGTGATGGCAAAGCTACATTTTCAGCATCATTACTCCAGTCTTCAGTATCACATGATCCCTCAGAAATCAATCTAATATGCTGATTTTGTATAATATTTTTTGTGGAAACCGTGTTACATTTCCCTCCCAAAATTCTATATTGAATAAAAAGTTTTTAGCATTTACTTGAAATAGAAATCTTTTGTAACATTATTTGTTATTTTTGATAAATTTAATACATCCTTACTGAATAAAAGTAATTAATTTCTTTAAAAAAAAAAAAGAAACTTTTGAACGGTAGTGTACAGTATATGCTATTATGTTTGCTCACAGTCTGCTGTCTTTTCTGTGTTGCATCAGGTCATTTTTGCCCTGTTGGCACTGCTGCAGCTGTACCCTGCCCTGTGGGCACACTGGGACAGGTTACAAGGGCTCAGTCAGAGGCTGCCTGTGTGCCCTGCCCTACTGGCCTCTACTGCAGTTCACCTGGAACATCACAACCACAGGGTCTGATATCATCCCACACTTTGGTTTTGGTCAGTGACTGTATCATATGTACTAATTGTTGTTTTGTTTGTAGGCCAGTGCCAGCAGGGTTATTTCTGCCAAGGAGGGTCTCCAAATCCTGCACCTCTGAATACGACTGGCTACCTCCGGAATGGCCCCTGCCCACGTGGTCATTTTTGCCCTTCTGGGACCCTAATGCCTCTGCCCTGCCCAGCAGGCAGCATTCGTAACCTCACCGGTGTGTACAAACCGCCAACTGACACATTTATTTGAATATAATCTATAAAACATTTAGAGCCTCATGTTAAAGCAATTCAAAGGGCAGTTATTATAAGCATAGAAAAACCACGAAAGGAGCAGCATTTAGATGCAAATGAATAATTTAACACGTGAGCGCAACAGAGCATCAAAATAAGCGAGCTAGTAAAAACAATAGGCTGTGTAGCTTAAAGCACAGGTGCACAAATATTGCACAGATTCAACTTTAGTTGCTCTTATAAATGCACTCTAGCAATATACTTTTCAAATTATTCACATTCATCTAAATGTTGCCCTTCCCATATTTTTTGGAACCTTTTGCACATTAATATTTTATTTACTAATATACAGTGATTTGTGTTTATAATATAACTATTTATTGACCTGCCCACAGGGGGTTACTCCATAGAAAGCTGTCTTCCTTGCCCAGCAGGGCATTATTGTGCCAGCGAGGGCCTGAATGCTCCAACTGGGCCCTGTGCTGCTGGCTTTTACTGCCCCATAGACTTCTCCTCCACCACCCCACACGCCTTCCTATGCCCTAAGGTCAGTTTAGCCTCCTTCACACCTTCTATCCATTTTTAATCTGAGCCTAGCAGCCTGACTGACAGGTTTTGCTTTCTCAGGGTCATTATTGTTCTTTGGGTTCACCCCTGGCCTTGCCATGCCCCACGGGACAGTACCAACCGAATCCAGGCTCGGATAACTGCATCCCCTGCCGTCCAGGCTATTACTGTGAGGAGGCAATTATTGGAGACCCCCGGCCATGCCCGCCACATTCCTACTGCCCTGCGGGTAACCCGTAACCCATGCTGCTGTAAATCTCTGTGGTGTCATTGGTACATTTACTTTATCCCATTGTGCTTTTAATTGCAGCCACAATGGTTCCTCAGCCTTGTCCAAATGGCACATACACCCCACCTGAGGTCAGGGGTCTGCAGGAGGAGAGAGAGTGTTTGCCGTGTCCACCAGGAAAGTTCTGCAAGTACGTCTACAGATCATAGAGTGTTTCATCAAGTGTTTCTTCAACTATTAGAAAATAAACTTAAAGGACACTTTACAATCTCTCACTAGATTATTTTATCCACCAACAATTTGAGGTCGGTAAGATTTTATAGAATGTTTTTGGAAAAAAGTATCTTATGCTCATCAAAAAGCATTTATTCATTCAAAAATACAGTAAAAACAGTAATATTGTGAAATATTGTTACACTTTAAAATAACTGTGGTTTGAAACATAGTTTCAACTCCTTTGCTGAACTTAAACATTGTTATAGTGGTGCCGAATCCCGGGAAGAAGGAGGAACACGCTGTCAATGAGCCCTCACAGCTGTGGGAAATCCACAGAGCCATCGTGTATGGGCTGAGCAGAGTCTGCCGCCATGGGGCCACATTAACACTCGCGCCACCGGCATCGCTCCGTTCTCACGGCTCTCTGCCCCACCCTGCTTGCCACTAATATATTTTATAAATTTGGAGCTCAAGAAACATTTTTTATTATGAATGTTGAAAACAGACGTGCTGCTTAATATGTTTGTGGAAACCATGATGCAATTTTTTCAGGATTCTTTGATGAATAGAAAGTTCAAAAGAACATAATTTATATATAATATAAATATTTTGTAACATTATACATGTATGATCACTTGTGATCAATTTAATGCATCCTTGCTGACTAAAAGGATTTTTTTTTTTCCAAAAGAATCTTACTGACCCCAAACTTTTGAACGATTGTGTAATTTGTGGATATACATCCCATTTTTTTCTGAATGAAATGAAAATTTGATGAGTTTTTGTGTCTGATTATTCCTCAGGGCTGGACAGGTCAAAGGTCTGTGTGCTGCTGGATTTGTGTGCATCTCTGGCAGTTCAGAGTTCACCCCTCAGGCGGCTTTTCTTCTCAACAGAGACCAGTGTGAGTGGGGAGCGCAGTGTGCTGGACCATGTCCCGCTGGTACGTTATTCAGCTTCCTCTAAACCCTTCTATGAATCCGATGAAGAGTCTTAATACATGAATAAAGTGATTAAGAATCTTATATGATTATAAGTACTGTACTTTAGGTGTTCAGAGTGCGTGTTTACTCCTGGTGTTGTTTATTTGGACAGGCTTTTATTGCCCTGAAGGTACTGAGGAACCTTTATCTTGTCCTGCCAACACTATAAGAGAAACCCCTGGAGCAAGTGCTATACGTAACTGTTTGCTTTGTCCTCCAAGACAATGGTGTTTAGAGGGTATGTCAGTTGCTAAATGCTATGTGTAAATACTGTGTGTTTGATTACCTGACAGATGTCAATGTAGTGTATACTTAGTATATACTTATATAAAGTAGTTTTACATGTCTTGCTACATCCATTGGAATGAAAAAATAAGTTTCCTTTTGCTTTCTGCCCTCTTATAGGTGAACCCATCCCACGCTTGTGTCCACCAGGCTATTACTGTGATGGCATAGCTGATTATGAGTCTGAGGGGCGGCCCGGGCCCAGACAATGTCCCCCGTTCACATACAGGCCCACATCTGGGGCAGGGAGCAAGGGAGACTGTCTCACCTGCCCACCTGGCACTTTTTGTAACTCCACAGGTCTGACATACCATATATAACATACTATATATAATCGTATATTTATGTAAGGGGTCAGTAAGTTTTTTTTTTAAGACATTAATAATTGTATTCAGCAAGAACACATTAAATTGATTAAAAGTGACAGTAAAGAGATTTATAATTACATTTACAGTAACATTATAGATTTAAATTTTCAAATAAAAGCTGTTCTTTTGAACTTTCTATTCATTAAGGAATCTGAATTTTTTTCCACAAAAATATTACAAAGCACAACTGTTTTCAACATAATGATAAAAATAAATGTTTTTGAGCACCAAATAAGCATATTAGAATGATTTCTGAAGGATCATGTGGCACAGAAGACTGGAGAAATTGCTGCTGAATTCAGGTTTGCCATCACAGAAAAAAGAAATACATTTTAAAATCTATTAAAATTGAAAACAGTTACTTTTAAATTGTAATATATTTCAAAATATTACACTTTTACTGTATTTTTATCCAATAAATGCAGCCTTGGTGAGCATAAGAAACTTATAAAAAAATCGCACTGATCCCAAAATGTATATAATATACCATATCTAATCATATATCCTTGTATAACCACTTCATTTCATGTTCAAAAGGATTGTCTAGATTATCATTTTGTTCCTTTCATCAGTAACTATATTAACTGTTTTCAGGGCTCACTGATTTCTCAAGCTTCCTTTGCCCACCGGGTCATTGGTGCAGTGGGACAGGTTTCCCAGTGCCCTGTCCTGCAGGCACTATGAGGGCACAGGCCGGGGCAGCTGCTGTCAGCCAGTGTGAACTTTGCCCTCCTGGAACCTACTGCCCAGACCCTCGCACCACAGGCCAGCCTAATACAGCAGGCATCCCATGCCGAGCTTCTTATGAATGTCCTGCAGGTAGGTGCATCATTCATATTTACAAATGCACTAAAAAGTTAATATGGGCATATTATAACTGTAAAGTGATCCATCATTCAGGCTCAGTGACAGAGATCCCTTGCAGAGCTGGTTCATACTGTAGACCCCAGACAGGAGAGCCCAGACCGTGTCCAGCAGGATACTACTGTCCTGAAGGATCTCACACCTACAGCTCACCGAAGCAAGTGTAAGCACCAACCAATTAGAAATGTACGATATATCGGGACCATATCGGTTATCGGCGATATTAGACATTTTTGATATTGGATATGTAATTGTGATGCTCCTTTTCTCTATTTTTTACATTTAGATTATGTTTGCCGTCATATAATGCTCATTTAAAGTTCATCTTTAAAAACACTAGTAATTAAATAAGACTGTTAAATGTAAACATGATTAAAACAAAATGATCTCCTTTTGCAGATGTACTTTTCCACATTACTGTCCAGCCCACAGCTCTGCTATGCTGTCCTGTCCGGACGGCTGGATGCCGCTGAACACCAGTGGACTGAGGAAGTCTCAGGAGAGCAGCTGTGTGCTGTGTGGGGCCGGCACCTATCGGCCTCGTTGGTCCCCTCACCTCCAGTGTCTCCTCTGCCCTCCAGGATATCACTGCCCTCCGGGTCAGCACTGAAGAACTCCCAAATTACAATCAAATAGACTAACAATAGCAGCACTGATTGATTATGTTAACTAATTTAATGATCTGTTTACTAGGCTCACACTATTATAGTGATCGATCCTGTCCAGTAGGGTATGTTTGTCCACAAGGCAGCTCTGAGCCTGTTCCCTGCCCGCCTGGATCATATGGAAACCGCACTAGTGCAGAATCACTTGAGGAATGTCACAAATGCCCACCAGGCACCTTCAATCACTTGCACGCCCAGAGAGCCTGTTTCCCCTGTGGGAGTTCTTCCACCTCAGATGCAGGTCAGACTGTGTTGTAGAAAACTAAAGGATATTTTGTCAAGCCTTAGGGGACATTTACACTGAACATGTTTTTGCCTCAAAAACAATATGCAGGTTAGTGAAATAAAAAAAGAAATACTGATGCATCAAAATACATTTTGTACTGAAATCGAAATTAAAATGTTCATTTAGCCAAGAACCAAAACTGAAAAATAAAGTTTATTTAATAATCATGTATGTATTGTACTTAAACATTTAAATTGCACATACTGTAAGGCAGTTTTTATATAAACTTTTTGATGATATAATTATGTTTCTAATTCAGTTAATTGTTGGGATAGAAACATTTAAATGGTGTTTAAGAAACTTGTTTTCGTGACAGATTTATTCAAAAATACATTAAATAATGAAGACAACAGGTTAAGTAAAATATGATGAATATGTAATACAGTGCATCTATTTAGAAAAATGCTTCTCTCTAGAGTTCTAGCTGACTAAATTAATTAGAAATGAATTAACTTAATTAGCTGAAACGCATTAACTGAAAACAGCATAGACTAAATGGAAATCGATTAAAAATGAGAAATCAATATTGTCAAATCAGCCCAAGCAGACATGCTTACCTGCTGTAGCTAAAAACAATATCTAGAGCAATATTTTTAAAAAGTTGAGTTTCTTTTACATCTGCACATGTTTACGTAAAAAAACAATGAAAAGGTAGCATCCTAGAAAGCAAAAACATGTTCTGGGTGAATGGCCCCTTATACTCTTAAAAAACAATCAGAGACCATGGAATGTATTTATTTTGATTATTTTTATAGGGGCGTCCTCTTGTACCTGCATAGGCAAAAACCGTGCGTTTCAGCAGTCGGATGGGTCTTGCTTGTGTAAGACCAGTTTTGTCTTCTACAATCAATTGGACTTAAAAAGCTTCAATACAGATAGTGAACTGGACTGTCAGCCTGAGGTAAGATGTGTACTGTAGCTCTATGTCTCTTTCATATAACTGTGTGATAAGACAGTAAGGAGCTCTTCATTCTGTGAAGGTAAAGAAGCGCTGTTGGGCAGGTCAAGTGAGGCTGGCCTCTACGCTGGAATGTGTCGTCCCATCCACCTACTCCTGTAATGTTACGTGTGGACCTCAGGGAGGGACTTTGGATGTAGGGATGGGCATGTAAGTTCACATACAGTGCTACACATACTGTTCCAATGAGGTCTTCTGTGTATTATTATGTTAACACTTTGATTTGACAATAATTGTAATGTTTATGCTAAATACTACACACACTACCATTCAAAAGTTTGAGGTCAGTAAAACTTTTTTTTTTAAATAAAAGTAATACTTTTACTCAGCAAGGATGCATTAAATTAATCAGAAATTATGGCAAAGACTTTTAGATTGTTACAAAAGATTTCTATTTAAATTCTTTCTATTTATCAAAGAATCCTAAAAAATGTATCACAGTTTCCACAAAAATAATAAGCAGCACAACTCAAATCAAACCAAATCAGCCTATTAGAATGAATTTGGAAGGTTTATGTGACACTGAAGACTGGAATAATGCTGCTGAAAATTCAGCTTTGCCACCACAGGAATACATTTGACATAGATTTTAAAATATATTAAAAAGAAAATAGGTGTTTTAATTTGTAATAATGTTTCTTTTTACTGTATTTCTGATCAAATAAATGCTGCCTTGCAGAGCATAAGAAAAATCTTACTGACCCCAAACTTTTGAACGGTATTGTACATTTAACAGTTTTATAAATTATTTATAATTTATACATTTAACGGTATTTAACAGTTGTATAAATTAACAATGTATTATGATAAAAAATAATGCCCAATTGTATGTGATGACCCTGGACCACAAAACCAGTCATAAGTCGCACGGGTATATTTGTGGCAATAGCCAACAATACATTGTATGGGTCAAAATTATTGATTTTCTTTTATGTCAAAAATCATTAAGATATTAGCCTAAGTAAAGATCATGTTCCATGAAGATATTTTTAAAAATTTCCTATCGTAAATATATCAAAAATATATTTTTGTGAGTGGATGCAGCAAAACTTTAAAGGCGATTTTCTCAATAGTTAGATTTTTTTTTGCACCCTCAGATTCCAGATTTTCAAATAGTTGTATGGTTTGTTAGGATTTATGGCCGAGATACATCAATGGAAAGCTTATTTATTCAGCTTTCAGATGATGCATATATCTCAATGTCAAAAAATTTACCCCATATGACTAGTTTTGTGGTCCAGGGTCACATATTTGCTAAATTATTTTGCATACATTTTTAAATTCTGTAAAAAGTTGTTATTAGTTTATAATAACCTAATGCAATAACTAATGTTAACAAACTGAACTTTATTGTAAGTGTATAATTTATAATTTATTACTACACGGCTCTCTGTAATACTTGATTCTGATTGATATGTGCATATTTGACGATTGTCACTGATAACCAATATTATATGCTGTGCTAGTTGCATAAATAATAAAAGCATTTTTAGATCAATTTAAATAAGCAGAATCATTTACAGGCAGCTGGTCATTAACGCAAAATAAATCCCTTCATGACAATACAAGACCACCCTGTCTGGGTTTATTTTGTGATAATGACCATCTAACTGCACATTATCCCTTACATAATGAGCTGACCCTCATTTAAACTTTATCATGAGAAGTTTATGTGATGTTTTTCTTCAGTTGTCACTGTGAGAGGTACGTGTCAGTGGAGGAGCTGTGTAACTCTTCATGCATGTCCACACTACCGGTGCTCTCTGCCAGGCTGGATACAGAGGGACAGCTGCTGTTGAGAATCAAAGCCACAGATGAAAGCAAAACCTGGAGCAGGGTGAGTTCTGGACTTTATCAGCTGTTTGTTTTAGAAAGAGGATTCATTATTAATATGTATCGGTTGTTATAGTAATAGAAGAGCCTGTGCTTAGTGATGTCAACTCATCCTCAGTATAACTTTGTTTCATTCCTCACTCAGAATATGATAGATGTACTAGGACCTGATGTTCACGTCAAGAACATTGGAAGGATCCACTTTGTCCAGTTTTCTCCCGAGGGAGTGTTTGGTTGGATTTTAAAAGACCCTGTGCTCATTGACTCTTTAATGTCAGGTAAGCTGACAGTGTTGATCTGACCTACAGACTCAAACATTTTGCCCAAGCATCTTTAAGTACAGGTCCAAACCCACACTTAATGATAAGCTTGTATGTCTTTTATCAAGATTGTCCAGATCATAAAACTTTAATGCTTGTTGTGGTTTTTCCTTTCAGAACCAGTTGAAATTCTGGACAGAGATTACAGGAGGAGAAGACATGCTGATCAGAATGAGGTTCCAGCGCCTCTTCCACGAATTCCAAATCCCATAGCATGTCTGTCCCCAAATGACATGCTCATCTTTCAGCTCACGATCAACCACATTGGTATGGCTTTGTTAAAAAGTGGTAACCTGTCATTTTTACCTTAGGGAGCTATATCTACCTGATTTAACCCGTAAAAACAAAAAATTAGGAATTTAAGTTGATTCAGCGATATTAAATCATGTTTTTGACTTCAACGATACCAGTTAAAGGTGCACTATGTAATATTGACAGGTAGCGGTTGAACTGGGTACTGCAGTCCAAATTCAAAATATTGGAGAGTTATTTCTTTCCCCGTCTCCTCAGACTCAACACTCACATGGGTTGCCAGATTGAGGACACAATAAAAATGTGCATTACTGACAATGGAAAGTGATGAGCCTTACAGTTTGCAATTTTTGCAATGTTTTTATTGCAGAGGCTTTTTAGGTCGGGTAGAATTTGCGATCTCTGACCCAGTTTGTTTGCTGGCTTCCATCGCTGTGTTTTCCGCCAACTGGCAACCAGGGGTGTCGGAATACTATTAGGTAAATTGGCAGGGGGCGGGGTCACACGGACCTAAACAAAAACAGACATTTCCACAAGGAACGCACATTTCAAAATAGATTAAATGGCTGTAACATTGTTTTTCAGAGAAACAAGTATTTGAACTTTGCATGTTTCCTAAATCTCTGCAAACATATTTATGGTATTTTATGCTTTAGTACAGTAAGACCTTTAATTTAGATGTTCATTTCAAGTTAAAAAATTTTTTTCAGTGTACATGTATGCATGTTTCATGTCATTCTGCCAATTTAGACCGCCACCACAGTCACTTCCCAGTATACCAGAAGGACCACCTGTTCAGCAGTAACCCTGGCTGGGATTTTGGGTCCTTCAGACGTCTGCAGCATCTCGTCATACACACACAGCTAAATTCCAGCAGGTAAAAATAGATGGATATATCACATTTAGCTTCAGGCCCGGCTTCATGCGGGGGCTTGGGGGAACTTAGCCCTCCTATGATGATCTGAACCCCTCCAACCCACACCTGGAACGCAATTTAAACCGCAAAGCGATCTAATCCGAATGCGATTTCAACCGAGGGGACACAACCCCCACCCCCCACCCCCTGGAACACGATTTCAACCACAAGCCCCCCTGAGAATTATAAAAGACGTGTGTCCTGGCGCTGGACTGTCTAGCTTTCAACAAAGATCTGCATCTGATCTTCATGTGATTTGTCTTAATAGATTTGCACATGTGTTCATGGAGCCGGGAAAGTATGTGTTCCTGGATAACGCAGTGCCGGACTGGAGTCTGATAGTAGTCGTGAGTGAGCAGGGCTCTGAGTGTAACCCCACCACAGCCTCGTTCCAGCCCACGACCCCCGCACAGCTAGTGCGACATGGGATTGTCAAACAACACAGCTTAAACCTGCTTCCAGACTGGGGGCTCATCACAGGTGAACCAAGAGGAGCTTATCATGCATTTGAAATGGAAAGTTGCATTTTTCTTGCCAACAGGAATGCTTAAAATACTGTGCTTGGTATTTCTCCATAGGGATCTTGTCTCTGCTGGTGTTGTTGATAATACTGTTGACAGCCTCTGCTCTTGTCTTGAGGCCTAATCGGTCCAACCTCATCGCTCGAGGGAGGCCAAAGCCCAAGTGGCGCAGCTTGGGTGAACCCAGTGTTCCTATTGAATATGTTTTTAATACAGACGGGTAAGTCAACTGCTAATCGCTCAGGTTTCTTGGTGTTTGTTATAAGCATGTTCACTAGAACTTGCAAGAATACTAGGGATGCAGCAATATTTCAATTCTGATAACACTAAAATCAGTCGTTTGAAATGCTACATGTTAATTTACATTATGAAAATATATATTCATTTTGAGATTTGCAATAGATTACATTTAACATTCTTATCAAATTGTTACTGTTTAAAAATCAACATTTAAAGGGGCTATATGTAAGAATTTTCACATATTAATCACTTTTTTATTGACAATGTTTGAACAGCTAGCTACGAAACTTAAAAAAGACCTTCCCCAACTTCCTAGGTTGTCTATGAAAGCATGTAGACTGATTTTTATGTGAAGCACTCAAGATGTTTTTACCTGGAAAATCAAAAGGATGTGACGTTTACTTGCGCTCCCAAGAGCCTCTCTTCCATTCTATGCTTCTACAATGTTCAGGATAATGCCGAAAGAGCTATAAGGGGCTTTCGCACCGGATAGTTCTAGGAACTTAGTTCTAGGAACTAGCCACCAGGGTGGTTCCCCGAGAACTAATGGTTCCCCTAGGAATGTTTTCCTGTTGCATTCGCACCGCCAGTAGGAACTTTGAAGTGACGTGAGCCGCGCTCGTTGTTGTGACTTTTATTTTGATGGCGCTCAGAACGCCAGAGCCTGAGCAAACAAACAATGCTCACATTCTCCGTGTTCATTAGTTTACGATCTGTCCGATATTAGATAGAACTGTTATACATAGAAAGTAGACAGTATATGAAAAGTTATTAGCGTATGCCGTGTGGTTGATGTCCAGTGTTGTTAGCTGAGCAGAAATACATGATCATGTTTAGCTTGGTCCCCTCAAAGTTGTGTAGGATTTTCTCCTCAGCGTAAAGGTTAAGAGGCCCATCTATCACTGTTTTCCATGTTCGTAGAGTTAGTTTCTGGAGTAAACATATAGGCTATAATCTGTGTGTTGACAAGGCTTTTTAAAAAATGGCGGGTGCTGGTGTTTCGTGTGCGTTCGGCCAATCCGCGTACATTAACGTCACTCACTATTAGTACCTATAGTGCTGGTTTAGACCCTACTCTGAAGTAGGAGCTAAATTAGTTCCTCCAAAAGAGTTCCTAGAACTAAAATCGTTCCTAGTTCCTGCGGTGCGAATGCGCCGACATCCGGGTACTTTCGCCAATAGTTCTAGGAACTATGAAAATGTTCCTCTGGTGCGAAAGCCCCTATTATGTATGGTAATGTCAATGTGTCAAGCAAAGAAAAGGAATTAATTGAAAACTATAGTCTCATATAGCCAGATCTATATAGTCTATGCCTGGTCTCAAATATACTTTATAATCAAACTATCATAACAGTGTAATTTTACTTACCTCATCTGTCGACATGATGCCAATTGCAGAGATGGTCCAATTGAATTGCAGAGATGGTCCACACATATCCACAATAAACAGATGCTTTCTTAACTGCTACTTTCTCACCACTGTCATTTTTGCTGTTTATTTTGTTATTGAGAGGAAAGCATGCAGCACATATTTACATATTCATCTAAACATTGCTTTCAGCGTGGACAGCGTCTGGATGTTCGTTAACAGTATATTGCTGCAAAGGTTTCCAACTTCTGTTCACTTCTAAGCAAAGAATGAAAAAGAACTTCACCATGAGTATTTCGGGGCATTGAATCACGGTCAAGTAAACGAGTACGAGCAATAAGTTGCTGGTTGCAGTTCACTTAATGGCCACCGGTGATGCTAATATCAAGGGTTTCTGAATTCTACATAGTATAGCCCCTTTAAGTGAGCGTTATATAATGGCAAATGTAATGTAAAAATGTAAGAAATTAACTTTGACTAAATACAAAATATTGACCAATATACACTGCTGTTGTTTAGGGCCAGTAATTTTTATTTTTATTTTCGAAAGTCTCTTTTCTCTATTTTATCAAAATACAGTAAAAATTATTATTATATTTTAATACATTTTATTATGTATTAATTTATTCCTGTGATTTGTAAAGCAGAATTATCAGCATCATTACTCCAGTCTTCAGTGTCACATGATCCTCCAGAAATCATTCTAAAATGCTGATTTTCTGCTCAAGAATTTTTTTATTTTGCATTATCAATGTTGAAAACAGTTGTACTGCTAAATGTCCTATATCCGTGATACATTAGCAGATCTCAAAATTGATATCCATTTTTTTTATTGTACATTATGTTGTGATGCCTAAATTCACATGCAGCATTTAAAACGACCAATACCATGCCGAGCACCTTTGTGCAATTTTGAGTGTGCTGTGTTGTGTTGTAGTTTGGACGGCTCTGAGCCGCTAGGTCTGAGAGGGGTGGGAGAGGGAGCAGAATCAGAGGAACTTGCTCTTTACAAAGGAGGTAACTGACAATCATCTGAAATGTCTGAAAGCTGACAAATATACAAACACTTCTGGTGAATTCTGTCAAATCACATATTGATCCAACATGTGAAGGTTTCAGAACTTCACTAATGGACCTGGAGGAGTTCAATGTGAAAACGCTGTATGACAAGTTAGAGGATCAGAACTTACATCTGGCATCCCAGCTGGCAAAGCATCGCAAAGACACACAGGAGTTTTACAGGAACATGTGCCAGCAAATTGATGCTTTGAGGGTAAGACAGAAAACGAAAAGTCGATTGAAGATAAGAAATCCATTAAATAAAAAAAAATAAAAAAATAACACAAGCAGTCTCTATAACTAATCAACTTTTGCATCTTGAATTTAGGACACACTAGAAAATATGGAACCCTCAAAACTGAACCAGTTGAAAAAAATACTAGACAGTGAAGCTCTGATGAAAAGAGAAACTGCTCATGGTGAGACAGCAGTTTGCTTGAACTTGAACGCCTTACGTGTGTATCTGCATTCTTAACAGTCACAGGTCAGTGAAAGTATTTGTGTTTGCACCAGAGCCGTGGATGGGGCTGACGGAGGCCATGCTGAGATCTTTGGAGGGAGTGCTGTGCAGGATGAATGGGGAAGTCTGGCAGCAACAGGACAGCACAGCTATAAATAGCCACAGAGACATCAGAGAGAGTGAACTTCCCACCAGATACATTCAGGTTAATCATTTAAACCAATTAAAACAACACAGAGCCAATTTATAAGCTATGAATGTAAAAAAAAGTGATATTAAAGGGATAGATGCCCCAAAAATGAAAATTCTGTAATTATTTACTTATCCTTGAGACAAAAATTATGCCATTATCATTTTATGATCAGATCACATGTTTTATCATAAAAGTGGTCCATTTGGGACTATTTTTGATTTGTGAACAAATCTTTCTTTCAGGCAGTGTTGTTTTAGTTAATTGAAATAAAGCTGGAATAAATTATAAATATTAGATGAAAATGAAAAACGTTATAAATACTGCAATAGTATATAAATAATACTAAAATAACATTGCTTTTGGGTTGTCTTTAAAAAAAAAATCCTTTCATTCAGTTTGCATAACCAGTTTGAATGATTCATTCACAAATGATACACGTAATGGCTTACAGCTTTTGTGTCCCACAGAGGAAAGAAAGTAATGCAGGTTTGGAACGACACAAGAATAAGTAAATAGTGACAGAAGGTTCATTTGTGTGTGAACTATCCCAACAAGTGTTTCTATATCATTTCACAGTTTTCCCCTTCAGACATGCCCGAGTTTAAAGTGGGTGCTGATACAGAGGCAGCTTCCTCAGATCCAGGTTTGACCTTGTTAAAAACCAGTTTGCAACCTCTCACACCAGGACTGCTGCTGTGCTAAAAGAACATGCTCTCGTCTGTCAGGTCAACAGCAGAGCACCATCCCCTGTGTGAGTGAAGAGGAACTGGCCAAGTTTGTGTCTCTGACGCCTCTCTCCAAAACACTGCAGGAGATAAAGGAATCTCTCCAGATGCTTGTCCAAACGCCCAGGACTGAGGACGGTCAGTACACATTTGTGCTTTTGGATTTAGTATTGGTGGGCTAAAATAGAAATTGCACTTTGAATAGGTTGTTCATGTCAATGAGCTAAGTAATGAATTATACTAAAATATAACAAAATAATAAAAAATACAAATATAAAACATATTCTATTTTATACAAATATACATAAAAAAATATATATATATATATATATACTGTATAATAAATTGTATCCCCTCACAAATGTCTGTTTTGTGTGTATTGTAAGGTCTCCTAATTGTTTCAGAGTTTTGTAATGACCTACATCTGCTTTCTTCCCCTTCAGTAATTATCAGCCCAGCGGAGAGTGAACCATCGCACCTGATCCCTGTTGCCCTTGACAAACTTTCCCCCCAGCATTTCGCAGTCTTCCTGTTTGGCTGCCATGTTGCGCGTCTGTTGAGCAGAGATTGTGACTTCCCCCCTGTCATGCTGCTGTTGGCCAGGACGGTGCCAGTCTCGCACTGTGATAACTTGCTGGCCTACTGTCATAAAGACTTCTATTATGACACAGCCAATCAAATTCTGTACATACTGGAGAAGAAGCTTCAAAATGCTGGCCAGTTCATCTCCATTCTCTTGCACTCTATGGCCTACATAACCTCAGGTAAGAGAGATTGCCCTATCCTTTCATAAAGAGTTGTCTACTCAAATATCTCTAAAGCTTTTTTCACCTGTATTTAAGAAGACTAGTCACTATTTAAGAAGACATGTCATTGTAAAGAATTCTTGTTTACAATGACAGTCTTAAATCAAAAGCATACTGGACAAACACTACTCTTCAAAAGCTTCATTCGATCAAAAATACAGTAATATTGTGAGGTATTTAATTTAATGCATCCTTGATGAATAAAAGTATTAGTTTCTTAAAAAAGGTAACACTTTATTTTACAGTGTCTTTGTTACACACATTACATGTAGTTACTGTTGTAATAACTATAAATTATGCATAATTACATGCTACTAGCCCTAATCCAACCCCCAATCCTAACTCTAACTCTCCCTATAGTAAGTACATGTAGTTAATTGTTATTACTCAGTACTTAAAATGTATAATGAACAGTAGTGAAAAATTTATTTAAAAAAATACTAAGACACAAAATAAGACAATTAAATATTCACATATATATTAAATATTCACATATATATTTAATATATATGTGAATATATATTAAATATTCACATATATATTATATATTCACATATGAACACATAACTTAATCATTTTAAGGCAATGAGTTTCCTCACTTTTTTTAAGTTAAGTCAACTGATCACTTTTTACAGTGTTATCACATTTCAGTGACATCAGCAATGTATTCCAAACTTAAGGAGCGGCAAAATTAAAAGTTAAAATCTTTTGCCATTTGAATTTTTTTACAGGTTTAAAATCTCTCGACTTCATAAAAGCCTTCCACTTGGCCATATCGACGTTAAGCATGCAGCTGTTTCATCAATCTTTCACCGAAGACCAGAGGAAAGGAAAGGTAAGGCACCTGTTTGGAATATTTATATGAAATCCAGGAAGAGCTATAACAGACTTTTTCACTTGTCAGATGGACAAGGAAAACACACCGGAGGCCTTTGGAACATTAGTAGAGAACTTCTTCAGTGTAAAAATTCCTATTGAAACCCATTTTTCACAGCACCTGCTGGCAGAGAGGTTAGTATCAAATCTAAGGTGTATTTGACTTCAAGAACATATTAAAGCATGTACATTAAGGACATATTAACTCAGTTCCTCAATTGATTTTAGACTTCAAGAATATAAATACTTCAAGTTGGAACAGCTCCTGCAGGAACTAAAACCAACTCTGAAAGACAGACATGGAGATGGTGAGGGATTACTTGTTTTATGAGAACTCTTTACTGAAAACATTCTTATATCTTTTGTGTATATTGTTGCAGGACGAGGGCAAACTGGCCTAAAGACTCAAGTCCCAGTGAGTGAATGCACTTTTACATCTTATGTTTTATTTATTCTGAAGAGTGTACAACTATGGAAATGCCCCTTTTTCCTCTACCTGTGCTTCAGGTGCTGTGTGTGGAGAGAGAAATAAACAGACTTAATGAAGTTTACCAGCAGCTCTCCTCTGAACTCCACAGGGCAATGCTCATACGTAGCCCACCGGAGAGGAAAGAGTCCAAGTTTGACAAACCGCTACAGGTAACAGGCAGTGGAGACCCCTATAACCCCCACGACGTGGGAGGGAGTGCCAAATGCATTTACATTGTATCATGTATTTCTCACTTCTGTCTGTCTCTCACACTCCCCATGCTTTCAGGAGCAACAGATAATGCTGGAGCTGCAGAAGTGTCCGGTGGATCAGAGGCTGAAGGAGATGAGAGACAGACTTTCTAAACTGAGTCCTAATGAAGACAGACCAGATCACAGCAAAGTGCTCGCTCAGAAAGACAGCCAGACTCCCAGCAGACGTAAACCAGAGAAACAGACACCTGCCGCAGGGAAGTCTAGCAACAAGAAAAAGCAGAGCAAGCACATGGACAAAGATGAGGAAAAGCGTGTGACTGCGTGAGGAGTAATGTTTGAAAAATTCCTAATATAACAAGTTGCTGTACCAGCGACAATCACTTTGGACCTTTCAGAAGTGTGAGGTCGATAAGATTTTATTATAAATGTTTTTGAAGGGAGTCTCTTATGCTCACCAAGGCTGCATTTATTTGATCAGTAATACAGTAAAAACAGTAATACTGTTAAATATTACAATTATAATATATTAGTGTCACATGATCCTTTAGAAATCATTCTAATATGATGATTCGCTGCTCAAGAAACATTTTATTATTATTATTAATGTTGAAAACAGTTGTGCTGCTTAATATTTCTGTCAGGACCACTATCGTCAAATACGATTGACAATTAGCATACAGTTAGGATTGGTGGTATAGTTCTGTTCTGGGCAAGAACTCCCTGTGCATCCATACAGCCTAGCATGGATAAGAGCAGCAATAACCCCCCTTAGGGTAAACACAACAGAACCAACATGAATGTATGCAGATATCATTAATTCAAGATTTTAAAGTACAACATTTTTTGAGAATTTAGTTTGATTCGGGGGGAATCAGAATGCCAAATCCTGACTGACGAGAGGAGGAGCTGGGGATGGAGGAGGGAATTGGCTCCTGAGAAACGCGATAGCTGTTGATAATACTGAAGGAGCTTATATATGTATACAGTGATAGGCGTCATATTCCTATAGGTAGACGTGGATCAGCTGAGAGCCAGCTGAATAAAACTGTATTTATTTAAAATAGAAATCATTTGTAACAATGAAAATGTCTTTACTATGACTTTAGATCAATTTAATGCATCCTTGCTGAATAAAAGTATTAATTTCTTTAAAAATAAACAGTATCTTACTGACTTTACGTAAGTTTAGGTGTTTTTAAATCTTCATTTTTGAACATGATTGTTAGCCCTAAATAAAATCTAAATCTAAATGAAACCCAAGTTTCATCTCTGCTTTTCCAGTCAGTAATCTAACAGTTCATGCGTGCTCATGCTCTGAGCCGGGCTAAACTCTATTCCTCTAGGGGAACAGACTGTGTACAGATTGGGAAGGGAAAGTAGTAGCTATCATCACGCTCTATCGGTGTTACAACTCTCTGTCCTTGAGCTGATACGCTCAAGAAACTTCCATTGGCTGTTTGCCGTCAGCCTTTTATCACTTAGATTAAACAAACAGTGTATCCACGCGGCATCCAGAGCAGACTTTCCACTTCACATACCTGTCAGCCTCAGTGTACTGCTGCTGAAGTAAATACAGTGATTGCAAGGCCCTCATACATCTTATTATTCTCACATTCAAACCTTATTTTGTAGATGTTTACATTTATCCCTAAATGGGCCATTCATTTTTAGTGTTAAACTTGATACTTTTGAGCATAACTTTATAAAGTTTTTAAATCCTCTATTGACACTGCTACAATGTTTTATATCAGCAGTATATATCATTTTTTGCAGTATAATAATAATTAATAATTGGGACATTTTGTAAAACTTTTCTGGAATTGGGGTTGTAATCGTTTTTTATATTAATATTAGTTGTAGTGGTAGCAACAACATCACTTATCACTACAACTAATATAAAAAAAACAATAATAATGGTAATTGTTATCATAATTAATATTATTATTATTGTTGTTGTGACAATAACTATTGTCAGTGTTTTTGTGTTTGCTGTTGTTATTTTGTGCATATCAATCTTTTTGGGGTTAACCTTAATAACTATAACAAAAACTTTAACACTATTCTTTTGCTGCTTGGCAAGCAGGAAATGCAAATATATACATTATTAATGAACAGGTTGTCATGCTGTATTTCTGGAGGAGGTAGCTGGGATCATGCCTATTTCTGTCCTGGCTCTCTTCATTAAATGGACAGCTGCAATACCTGAGAGCACTCCACTTGAGTAATGAACTCATAGTCAGATCTCGAGTCCACTGTGCAGTGTGGCTTATTATGGAAACCACTGTTTTACTGGCAGAAATATTGTCCTCTGTTATTGGGCTGAAGATCCATTGATATGTCCATGAAGTGACCATCTGCCGTAAGTGTTGTCATTTATTATTCATATAATGGCATACAAATCTCCATTTATAGATATTCAATCTTCTAGAAAGATCTGTTGGTAAAGCCTCTTAGTAGGCTAAACTGCATGTATGACATCTGTCTACATAAAAACTGATAGAGAAATATAAACAAATGAACTATGATATAGGTTAGGTACTTTTCTCAAGCTTATTTCTTAGAATAACCTTTGGGTAACATTTCCACTGTAAAGCTAGACTGATCAAATTAAACTCCCAAGTAATTATTTCATAGAATGGGGCTGGCATATTTGACTTTTTTTTATAGAGTGCCAACATTAACACCATTCATTTTCTCCATAAGGAAATTGATTTTGAACCATAACTTGTAAGCCTTTAAAGACAGACCTAGTATGAGCTGCGAGGTTGTTAATCCATGGTATTTTTTTTCTGCTGAACCCACCAACCCCCATTTTTGCAGTTTTTTTTATTTTTTATAATCATGCTTTACTACGGAAGCCCTGAACCGCAATGTAAAGAGAAAAAAAATCGTAAATTTTTTTTTTCTATCATTTCGAAATATTTCGACTATATTCTCGTAATTTTAGATTTTATTTACGCATTCTTTTTTTCTTTTTTCTTTTTTTTCTTTTTTTGCGGTTCAGGGCTTCCGTAATTCTCGTAACTAACTAACATGATCATTGTAAAAGTGTTTAAAAGACAAAATACAACCACTAAGACATATTTGAGAATCGGAATATCAGATTTCATAAGAACAAGACAATTGTTTAAGCTAAAACCAAAAGGTTTATTTCCTCATAATGGACTCTGTGTAATTTTGAATATTGAAGACAATACACAAAACAAAGATTCTTGATGAATCCAAAAGTAAAATAAATATATTTTTTAAATGTCTCACTTAATTCTATTCAATATTACTCACTGTAGTGCAATTCAAAGTATAATGTTAGGCACTGTTGGGGTGTGGGGGATCCTGACTCCTCGCTATCAAACTACTTAAATGTTTATATTTATATGCATGTTTTACAATAAAATTAACATATATTGTTTTTATATTTAACATTTAACATTTCTAAATGAGTAGTTTTATATTTCTCCATCTCTTTTAAATTTGATTATGCTGTTCGCAATGCTTCATGGGATTGTAGTTCTTTCCCTCACTAAAGCTGTGAAGTACACAGTCTTGTATGATTTTCAAAAACTTTAAAATCAAAATGTGTAGTGTTGTGATTGACCTTGTAGCTGATTGGCTTGGTTCATGGCTTATAACTCTTTAACAACTTTTTTTTTTTTTTATCCCATATGAGAAAAATATATGGAAAAAAATACATCTTTGTCAGGAACTTGTTCTTAAACAGCTGAAAAAAACATCCTTTTATTGTAAACACTTCAGCAGCAAACAATGAGACTGCTGTGCCTTTCAATTTATGCAGACTGACAGAATGGCCTCTCTGTTTCTTGACCTAATCGGCATGCAGAGCGTTTTTGAGAATCATGCAGGTCATGATGCTCTGTCCTGGGATTGATCTACTCCCATTATGAGCTTCCAAAAACAGGGTTTTTTTTTTTCTTCTACAAGGCGAACTCAAATGGACCATTAGTGAAAATGTCTACTTTGCATTTGTATTATTATTATTATTATTATTCAAATTTAATATACTTGATTCATCACAAATGATATTATCATAATCATTTCAGTTTAATCACAAATTTAATCACAAATTTAAAAAAAAAATCATTACATTTTATTTTTTCAAAATCCTCAAATTTTTCCTATTTCCAGTTTACATTTTTTTTAATCCCAGATGTTCTCAGATTTTTTAAAATATAAAATATTCATGTACTGAAGCTAATAAAGAGAATGTTTTATAGTTCAGACATGTTTATTCTTAATTTTGTTTTACATTCTTAAAAATCCTAAAACTGTTTTTTTGTTGTTGTTGTTTTCAGTTTTGAATTGCAGATTTTAAATGTGGTGTCAAACTTTTGGACTTTGAGTTTAAAACATTTTCAAATATAAATATCAAATATTTATTATATTTGTATAACTATTTAATAATATATTATATTATATTATTATTTATTTATCTATAGTGTAAACTATTCATTTACTGAAGCTAATAATCAGACACACAGGGTTTTATCCTCCACATGAAAGCATTACAGCACTGGCCTGCTCTCTCCATGCTGTCGTTTTGCGTTGCTGTTGCCATGGTTTCCCTGTATCGTGGGTATAGCAACCACCAGGCCTGCCATTTTTAGCCTGTGCTGAGACCAAGCCTGCTGGCAACATCTCCCTCTTTAAGCAATGCACTCCTGCCATTGTATTAGAGCTCTGTACAGACACACCACCCTAAGAGAGATCCGTTTCAATCCCTTCCACAATTAATCTCCTGTTTGTCCGAATAGATTGGAAAGCATTTGACACGACTGGTGGGAACACACAATCAGACCGTTTGTTGCAGTTCTAGGACTGTGAATCATGTGCTCTTTGTCTTCCTGTGAGGTCAACATAATAAAGCAGCCATAATCCCAATGATGAAATCTGTAATCCTTAACTCTGACCTTTGTACTAAGCCTATGGATTCCCATACATTACTTTGTCCAGATTAAATCGTCGACATTCTAATTGTAAGATTAGACGCATTTCTTATGTTTGTGTTAATATTCAAACAGGGATCTAATCCCAACAAATTATCCTTCCCGACGGTACCGTAATGAGTCCTTTTTGTGTATAGAAAAGCAAGATGGGCATAAATGCACTGTAGGCTACTCTGATGGCTAAGCCGTCGAGCATAAACATATTACATATGCATTTCAGACCGTATGGATTACAGCAGGAGTGCAGGAAACACATTTATCCTCATTCTCAGATGATTTTCATCAAGCTTTTGACCTATATACATGTGCTGTCAGTCATGACTGAAAGTAACTTAGCCATACAGTCTACTAGTGTTTTGATTTTGTGCGCCTATTTCAACATATGGCACATTTCAGCTCAAAATGCTATTTTGCATTTGTCAGTTTCTTCAGCACTCATCATCCATGTAATGACTGAAAGCTGGAAAGGTCATAGATTCGGTATGAGTATAATAATTGCAGTTATTGCACTGAAACGCTTCCCCGACCACGCGTAGGTTAAGTAGGACCAGTGTGTGGGTTTGAATGATGAAATGCTGTTCTCGAGCGAATACAATAGAAGCCTTCAGATTTATACAGCTCAGGATGTGCTGTTCTCACTGGGGTTGATGGATGTTGTTTATGAGGGGAGAGAAGACAGGAGCTGATGACTGAACGATGGATGCTGGTGTACAACTCACTGATGTGTGTTAAATGTGTGGGCTCTGACGAAGCTTCGGCTTCACATATGTCATGTTCTGTTGCGCATGAGGACTCCACTGGCACGTATGAGCAATTCACACATTAGGCATCGCCATCGGGCCTTGAATAGAACAATCTAGGTTAATTCTAGAAGGTCCATTTTTGTGTAGACACGGCTACAAAAAAGATACTGAACATTTCCACTGATATTGCCTAGAACATTTATACAGTTCATTGAACACTATTGCCTGGTTTCACAGACAGGGTTTATATTAAGCCAGGATTAGGCATTAGTTTAATTAGGACATTTAAATAGCTTTTATGAATTTGTCTTAAAAAAAATATTACTGGTGACAAAACAATGGGACTGACATATTTTAAGATAGTAATATAACAAAATATATATTAAAAATAGTGGGAAAATACATGTCACACTGTATGGGGTAAGTTGTCATACTGAAAGTTGTTCTTAAATACTCTATTACACTGAAAACAAATTGGCGAAACAATTTTCACTTAGATATTGCTAGTAAATTTCACAATGTAATAAGAAAGAAGTAACACATTGAATTAAACGTGGACTTTTGAAGTAGAAAGACTGAAATAGTCTTTAGTAAGTAAAAAAATACTCCATAGTGTATAGGCTTTATAGCTAAATTAAACCATGAAACAATTCGTCTATGAATGTCAACAATTCACACAAGAGCTAACATGCAAAAATGTGAAACCATTGTTTGGTTTGTAATAAATTTATGTAATGTAAAAAGAAAATTGAAAAATGATATTATACAATTATTATAACATTTAAAATACGTGACAATTTCAACTTATTTATGAAAAATTACTTTTAAAAACATATTTTTATCAGCGAAACAAGTTTTGTTGTTGTTCTAAAAGACTTTTGCAATTCACTGCTAAGCAACGAAGCCAGTTTGAAAGTGGATCAAGCGGCGCATGCGCACTGAGCATGTCTGTCATGAGTAAGTGGCTACTTAGTAAGAAAACAAAGACAGGCGTCTCTTATTCTACAGCTGCGGGGGTTTGACGATGGAGCATCTGTACTGCGGATGCAAAAGGAAATCAGTAATCCTTCTCTGTTACTGACATCTTCTGAAGCAGCTCGTTTTGCAGGCGCTGGATTTCTTTACTTCGCGCGCATTTTCTACAGGAATCATTAAGATCCACAGGTCTTTAGATTCACGAGCATCGCCATGGAACAGCAGCGTCCGCTTCTAGCTTAAGACGTTTACGGATGTTTGTATCTCGGTAAGAAACCTCAAACTTTTTCTTGAGAAACATAAAAACGTTCTTTCCGTCCCGTAAACCTCAGCTCCAAGTTGTTTCATTCACAGCTTGTTATTAAAGTCATAGTGTGTCATCTTTACAGACCTCTCTCTGCGATGTAAACATCTGCTGTAAATAGTGAGTAACGTAGCTATTTGACAATCGCGAGCGATGGGTCGCTGTCCGTGGTGCTGAAACCCATATCCTGTCAGTCATAGATCTGATACTGTATATATATATATATATATATATATATATATAAGCGTTTAACCTCTTTAAAATTAAGTTTCAGTGTCGGTTTTTCTTTTTTCTCCCTGTACTAACAGGAAGACTCAATCTGAGACGCCGCCCTGTTATTACAACTCCCAGCATGGCAACTCACATGAGGCTTGTGTTGCATTTGTTATTGCTGTTCCTATTTGCTGGTAAGTGTTTTGATATTTTAAATGTCTAATTCGAACGATAAATAATGAGTATTTTTGTAACACACATATTTTTGTCATTAAAAAAGTAAAAAGAGAGTTACAGAAAAAGAAATAATAGTTTGTATTACCTCAAACTATTAGTATAGTTTGAGATAATAAAAGTTTTTATTATAGTTTTATATTATTTATAGGAACTGAATTGTATTAAACTGATCATATTAAAAATAAGCATACTAGGTTTTGTCCTGTAAGCCATTTCTAACATGTGTGGTTGTCATATATGCAATACAGAAACATAAATAGACCTCTGAAGATACATTTATTCTCAATGTTTTATTTTTTATTGCATTTGATTTTTATTTTACAGTTTGTATCTCCCATGTAAATGTAAAAGACATCAATGTGTGGTTAGTTTACAGCATGCTATTATGTTGCTTTTAGATAAAGATGTTTTTGTCAATCCACTTGAGTATTTGCAGGGACACCCTGTTCAATATTTTTTTAATCAGAAATTATTCTCATTAACTCGCTCCCCCCAGCATTTTAAATGACTGTATCTCCTAGGATACAGAAACCATTTTAACCAGTTAATTAAACAACAGAGCATTAGTATAGACAGTGTTTGAGATGTGTGAGGTGCTTGAACATTATGCATACAGAGATAGCATTGATTCAGCTGTAAACAGTAACATAAGTGTCAATGACTCAGACAGCCTCTCTTCACAGACTGTGGCAGTCTGGTGTCATCGGAATATTAAGTTCTGAAATAGATTTAGAATTGTATTTCATCTACCACCAAGTTCACATTCTTTGACTAGTGCCGAAGTATGTCACAACTAGTTCTTATTATACATCATCTACAGTATGCTTGTGGGCTGGACAACTACATTTGGTGTTTCCATTGGCCCATATGACCCTTCAAACAGAAAAGGCACGATCAGTGTTGACAGCTTATGCTAGAGGCTGTGAGTTATGTAAGATGGTCTCCATTTTAACAATGGCAGAAAGGTTATGTTCACAGTCGAGTGAACACTCCAGAACAATCTTCACATCATTGAGGCCTCGGCCCGGCCCCTGCTCAATGGGGTGTTCTCTGGGGTCAATACTGAACATGTGTCTGCAGCAATCGGTGCACTTTAAAGTATGTTTTTGTCTGATCGGGAGAAGAATGTGCTGTGAGCTCTTTCTGGAATTGTAGCTTGTAATGGATAATAATATCTCTGTCTCTTTTTTTCATTCTCTGGTGCTCCCTTGAGAAAACTCTGCCTCAGATTTAATTGACCTCCATAAAGTATATGCAGATTGAAGCTACATTTTTGGAAAGATGTTAACTTTTCACTCCAATGGCCATTAAAAGCATGATTGTCCTACATGTGGTTGAAAGGTAGAAAGATAGTTGGACTGATAGATAGATAGATAGATAGATAGATAGATAGATAGATAGATAGATAGATAGATAGATAGATAGATAGATAGATACAAAGCAGCTTTACAGTGATAACAGGAAAATGATGTATTTCGCTGTTGTTCAGCTGAAGTCAGTTCAGTGTTGATTCAGTTCCATTCTAAAGATCGTCAATTATTAAATTAGTTAATTTCATCTTTAAAGCAGTTCTGCAAAAAAACAGTGATGTCATCGTCCAGCTCTGTTCAGTTCTCATAAGATCAATAATATTGTTGAATATTAAATGTCCCCAACTAAGCAAGCCAGAAGCGACAGTGGCAAGGAACCCAAACTCCATCAGGTGACAGAATGGAGAGAAAAAAACCTTGGGAGAAACCAGGCTCAGTAGGGGGGCCAGTTCTCCTCTGGCCAACGAACGGACACGGTGTGACTATGATTCATGATGATCAGTAGCATTCAACTATTCTTTTGCTTGAAGAGCGATTCATCACGCCAGTATGTAGCCCAAGTTGACCACAGGGTCTGTGCGGAGGACCTGTCTGGTTCTTGTGGTCTCTGCTGAGGATCTGTGCTGATGGCTGTCATGTCGACGAGGCCTTTTTTAGAGGATTTTCTAGTACAGTGGTTTTCAATCCTGGTCCTGGGGACCCACAGCTCTGCACGTTTTATATGTCTCCTTTATCGGACACACCCAGTTCAGTTCATAGAGCTCTTTGTTTGATAGATAGTTAGATATGATCTTTCTTTCTTTTCCATCTTTGGAGCGATTGCTAGCTAGATAGATAGACCGGCCGTCCGACCGACCGACCGACAGATAGTTTTATGAAGTTTGCATGTGTGTATGTAGTAATGCTCTCTGTGCTTTCTGCAGTGCAGGAGGTCCGGCTGGTGTGTGTGGATGTGCCATCCAACTCAGAGGCCATTGTAGGGCGTGTTATGAAGTTAACCTGCATCTACTGCATGAAACGAGAGGAGATCTCTGCCGAGACCAAAGTGGAGTGGTCCTACATCAGTCCAGATAATGAACAAATGCTGGTGAGGTCACCTCTTAGCTTTTTTTTAATACATGTCGTATTTAATAAATGAATATATATCTGACACATAATCATCTCTCCAATACAGATCTATGTGTATGACCGCCAGCCGCAGGAGCCCGAGGGCGTAGAAGTGCAGTGGAAGGGCCGCCTGACGTGGAACGGCAGCAAGGACCTGCAGGACCTCTCCATTAGTATCAAAAACGTCACTTTAAATGACACTGGCAGATACAATTGCAAGGTGTCCCGCTTCTTTGAGTTCGATTCATTCAAGCATTCTGCCACCAAGACAACCACAATCGATCTGGAGGTGAAAAAGGAAGGTAAGTGAGCGTACACACCGCTAGACATTTCTCACACTGGAATTACAGTACCTTGTCTAGCAGTAATTGATCTGATTACCTCTTCTCTACAGTTTGATTTGGATGGCTGCACTGTAAGCCATTTTCAAATATCCTGTAACTTGACAATCAGATACTACTGAGCTCAGTACAGAGTCGGTCCTTCAATACGATGTCCTGACATGTTGTTTGTGTTGTTCTAGTAATGGTGTGCTCTGTTCTTTTTTTTATTGTTATTTAAGCTTTCTTATTGGAAGGCAGGAAGTTGTTGTCAGGGCTTTATCTAAGCAACCACTTACCTCTCTATCTGTTTTAAGGGGTAATGTAAAGATTCTGGTTTGTATGCTATTCTCTGGATGCCTGAGATTGCTGAATGCAGAGTTCCTCTCACTTCAATCGAATATACTTTACCTAATGTATATTTGTCTATATTTAATCATGCAACCCTAATGCATCTCTATCTGTGAGTGTCTCGGTTCGCAGATAGAAACATACAACGTTGTATTTAAGTGATGGGTTTTTTGGGGATATTTTGAATTGCAGAACCACAAACTTACAGTACAACTCTGCTTTTACATTCCATGCCATTTAAGATCTACTCACCGCAGTGCATGAGACATACATAAACTTTTTATAATGTGATCACATCCTTTTTTTAACAATCGTGCAAGATTTAGTAAAATCATTTTGTACAAATAATTTTTTTCTCAAAAATGTCACATGCGCTGCACTACTGTCTATGTATACACAGTGGTTCTCAACTTTTAAAAAACGTTTTTAAATGCAAAACAGTTGGTGGATACATTATGAATATAATCAGATCTATGTGGGTGGGCTTCTGCTCTGAAAGATGAAGCTGAGAACCTCTGATCACACAGTCACTCTATGTTGATCTTCTTCTGACTATTTACATGCCTTATAGTATGAAATATAACTTTTGAGTCTCACTGTCCTCCAAGGGAAAGTTGACATGAAGTATCTGAGCATGTTTGTATTATTGTGTGGTTTTGTGTTTGCAATTGCATGTGAATTGTTTACTGTAATGTGTCTTCTAAAGGACATGCAGAAATATGTATCCATCTATTTCTACCTTACTCACTTAAAAATCATATTTACCAAATAAAATCAATTGGAAGTTTCATCAATTATTTAGATGAATTCTTGCCAGCAGTCAATTTATTCTGATTACAGACCTTCTATGCATGCTGTTGTAGTCTTGTGCTTGTGTTCATATAACAATAAAAAAATGGATAAAAAAACACAGACACACAACGTGGTTAAAATTGTTATATGAAACCAGTTGCTCACAAATGTATCACCTGGATGCAAAGCATGACTGCTCATCTCTGAGGTGACGTATTGCACTTTGTTTTTACTAACCATTATAGTTCCTGGTGACCTAAAATAGCTTTGAAAACTATTCTAGTGCATTACAGCAGTGACTTGCCCAATCATGCATTCTGCACTTTTGTCCTCATTCCCAGTACACTTGAGAGTGAGACTGAATTCATCACAAACATCCTTATTGGCACAGTATCTGTCTGACAAGCCTCTTCTGATTGCTACAAAATTCCATCTGATAACATATTTTCATTTTCTCAGCGAGTCAAGACATCGCAGCGCTGTACTCTGAGATCATGATGTATGTGCTCCTGGTGTTCCTCACATTCTGGTTGCTGGTGGAGATGATCTACTGCTATAGGAAGATCTCCAGATCTGACGAACAGGCACAGGACTCTGCGTGAGTATTACATTTTCATGTGAACTTAACACTAAGATACAAGTTCACAAAAACATATACATGTGTGTGGGTGTAACGGTTTTAGGGTCACCGTTTCTGTACGGTTCGGTATGTGCTATGTTCAGGGGAAAAGTAGTCCTGTAAAGTAAAAATAAAGGAAATAAGAACAAATAATCAAACTACAAGCAACTGCACAAATAAATACAATAGAGCAAAGATACAAATAAAATAAACATAGTTTTTTTTAAACACCATTGCATATAATCTTCACTGTATAAATTCAATAAAGATTAATCATTATTCAGCTATTCAGTCAAGAGCAGTGATTATTTCCTTGACTAACATTAAAAACACAGACAGAAGGAATATAAGGCTGCTGTCACTTTAAAGAAATAATGCATGGATCCAAACTGATATATGTGCGTAATCCCCCCCCCCCCCCCCCGACTGTTTACGTTCACTTAAAGGGGTGGTTCGGAATTTTGGACATCGGGGCTCATTTACAAGTGAGCCTTAGTGTTATTTATCAGTAGAGACATTTAAAAAAAAAAATCATTTAGTCGTCCCAGTTGCGTAGTTGGCCGGTGCTAGGCTAGCGCGAATCAATGGTACCAGTTTTAGCCTGCCATTAAAACAGTTTTACCCACTCCACAGTACACTAAAAGCACATCAGTTATAACGCCAGACTATCGATGTAAATGTCTGTTGAGAGAATAATGTTAGAAATCAAACTACCCTTTCATCGCATTGCATTTTATACTTTGTTCCCTGTATTTATCAGCATAGTCTACAGCAGCGGCGGAGTGATATGTTACCTAGGCAACCGAGAGAGCCGGTCCACATGACCATCACGCAAGTGTATTTACCTGCCGCTGACACTCGTCATCACTACAGAAACAGAGCTTATTTCAAGAATAAAGCAACAAGACATATAATTATGGCCACGTTTGAAAGCCATGACAATGTTTCGGACTTTGAAGACGATGAAGATGAGGAATGTGTGTTATTCAACGAACCATACATGTATGAGCCGGATATATATATATATATTTAAATATAATGTATTGCTACACATTACATAAAGACAAATAAACAACTTTAGTGGATTGTAAAGACAATAGCCCTACAATGTTTGACAGACTGTTGGACCAATTCATAAAATAACTAACGTTATACCGTTAGTTACACTATAGTGTCACTCTCCACAATGCATTGAACTGTAACGTTATCTCCGTCGATCTATCAGTTATGAAAGACTAGCTTCATTAGCTAGAGGTTAGAGTAGCCTAACAAAAGTTATTACCTGTTCATCATCTGTAGCTGTTGGTGCATCGGGAAAGACGGCTGGAACTGCATTCAAACTCAGTGACTTTTTATCGTTTCGATCACTTTGTACAAAGTCGTCTGATCTAAAATGATCGCTACAAATTCGGGCCTTTAGTAGTGTCTCTGTCGGTGTCTCCTTATCCAAGCCAGCAGCAAGAAGCCACAGTTGGTTCCTTTCTGGATCTCTTACTGGAAATCTGTGGAAACTTTTTGTTGACCATCTATTTTTTTTTTTTGTACAATTTTTAAAAATACAGTGAATAACCATTTTGCCAATTCTTTCAATTCTGATCGAATGTTTCAAAATCGAGGCTACTACTAGCTAGCTAACTTGGCGTTCTGACTGTACCTTTCTGACTGCGATTCTGTTGTTTACTTTCCGGCACAGTACTACTCCAGGAGCAAAATAAAATTCCGCCGCTGCTGAGAAACTAGTTCCTGTAAATGTAATGCGATCATTGAAATATATTTTGATATGTCAAACTACATTGAGTAGTTTGATTTCTAACATTATTCTATCAACAGACATTTACATCGATAGTCTGGCGTTATAACTGATGTGCTTTTAGTGTACTGTGGAGTGGGTAAAACTGTTTTAATGGCAGGCTAAAACTGGTACCATTGATTCGCGCTAGCCTAGCACCGGCCAACTACGCAACTGGGACGACTGGATGATTTTTTTTTAAAAATGTCTCTACTGATAAATAACACTAAGGCTCACTTGTAAATGAGGCCCGATGTCCAAAATTCCGAACCACCCCTTTAAGACATAACTGCTAGGATACTCGCCAAGTTGACAACATTTTTGTGTGAATTTGTCCATTCAAGCACAAGACTCAATTTTTGTGCGCTGTCTGAGTGGTGCAATTTTTTTACAGAGAATATATATATACAGGTCCTTCTCAAAAAATTAGCATATTGTGATAAAGTTCATTATTTTCAATAATGTAATGATAAAAATTAAACTTTCATATATTTTAGATTCATTTCACACCAACTGAAATATTTCAGGTCTTTTATTGTTTTAATACTGATGATTTTGGCATACAGCTCATGAAAACCCAAAATTCCTGTCTAAAAAAATTAGCATATTTCATCCGACCAATAAAAGAAGTGTTTTTAATACAAAAAAAAAAGTCAACCTTCAAATAATTATGTTCAGTTATGCACTCAATAGTCAATACTTGGTCGGGAATCCTTTTGCAGAAATGACTGCTTCAATACGGCGTGGCATGGAGGCAATCAGCCTGTGGCACTGCTGAGGTGTTATGGAGGCCCAGGATGCTTCGATAGCGGCCTTAAGCTCATCCAGAGTGTTGGGTCTTGCGTCTCTCAACTTTCTCTTCACAATATCCCACAGATTCTCTATGGGGTTCAGGTCAGGAGAGTTGGCAGGCCAATTGAGCACAGTAATACCATGGTCAGTAAACCATTTACCAGTGGTTTTGGCACTGTGAGCAGGTGCCAGGTCGTGCTGAAAAATGAAATCTTCATCTCCATAAAGCTTTTCAGCAGATGGAAGCATGAAGTGCTCCAAAATCTCCTGATAGCTAGCTGCATTGACCCTGCCCTTGATAAAACACAGTGGACCAACACCAGCAGCTGACATGGCACCCCAGACCATCACTGACTGTGGGTACTTGACACTGGACTTCAGGCATTTTGGCATTTCCTTCTCCCCAGTCTTCCTCCAGACTCTGGCACCTTGATTTCCGAATGACATGCAAAACTGAGCAACAGTCCAGTGCTGCTTCTCTGTAGCCCAGGTCAGGCGCTTCTGCCGCTGTTTCTGGTTCAAAAGTGGCTTGACCTGGGGAATGCGGCACCTGTAGCCCATTTCCTGCACACGCCTGTGCACGGTGGCTCTGGATGTTTCTACTCCAGACTCAGTCCACTGCTTCCGCAGGTCCCCCAAGGTCTGGAATCGGTCCTTCTCCACAATCTTCCTCAGGGTCCGGTCACCTCTTCTCGTTGTGCAGCGTTTTTGCCACACTTTTTCCTTCCCACAGACTTCCCACTGAGGTGCCTTGATACAGCACTCTGGGAACAGCCTATTTGTTCAGAAATTTCTTTCTGTCTTACCCTCTTGCTTGAGGGTGTCAATGATGGCCTTCTGGACAGCAGTCAGGTTGGCAGTCTTACCCATGATTGCGGTTTTGAGTAATGAAACAGGCTGGGAGTTTTTAAAAGTCTCAGGAATCTTTTGCAGGTGTTTAGAGTTAATTAGTTGATTCAGATGATTAGGTTAATAGCTCGTTTAGAGACCCTTTTCATGATATGCTAATTTTTTTGAGACAGGAATTTTGGGTTTTCATGAGCTGTATGCCAAAATCATCAGTATTAAAACAATAAAAGACCTGAAATATTTCAGTTGGTGTGCAATGAATCTAAAATATATGAAAGTTTAATTTTTATCATTACATTATGGAAAATAATGAACTTTATCACAATATGCTAATTTTTTGAGAAGGACCTGTATATATATTTAATAATTTTATAATTAAGATATAAAATACATATATTAAATATATCAATAAACATAACATTCAGCCACAATCAGGCTGCGTTTACACTGGCACAAAAAATCCAATCTTTTACTCACATCTGACACCGATCAGAATTTGTTGCACACGTGTAAACACAAAAATCCGCACGAGATCCAATTTTTCCACATCCGATCTGAGCCACTTCTAAATGTGGTTTTAAATCAGAAACATATCCGATATCTGGACATCCGACCTACGTCTAAACACGCATATCCGATTCCCCTTTGAATACCAAGCCACCCACAAGGCTAGGATGACACGTTTATTCACAAAGATATATTTTTAATGTTGTATTATGAGGCAGACATGCCTGTATGCGCTCACTCACAGCTTTTTATTGAGGTGGGACCTTTATATGTATCTTTGTAAAGAAAAGAAATTGCCCGAACACAGAAACATTCAGAAGCTGAATTTCAACCTCTGCCCGTGACTTTTATAAACAAAACTTATATAAGTTTATATCTATTATATTTCTCAGCACTGATGTGATAACTTCGCTGTAATTAAACCAACAAGCTTCACTATTAGATTACTTACTCGTACGTGCGCTCTCGCTCTCTCTGGTTAATTAATTCGAATTCATAAAATATTTATATATATATTACAGGGCTTTATTTCACTTCAGAATTCTAGATCTGAGCTGTAGATAAACGAAAATTATTTCCGGACTTTAGCTGTTCCGTCTGATTTTGCTCTGCAAAAAAATCATGAGTCATGACAGCTGTTATCTTGTTTATGCTGGCAAATAATCATGACCACCCGACATGAATTAATAGCACGGCCATTCAAAACAAGGGTCTACCATGTGCATTTTGGGCAGGAATTAATGTAAACACAGATATCGGATTCCAGTGCTGTCTAAAGTGAATGTAAACAGGCGGGCCAAAAAATCGGATAAGGACAAAAGATCGGATTTGTGCATTAAGACTTGCAGTGTAAATGCAGCCTATGTCTCTTCTTCTGAGAAAAGGGTCCGTTTAAGTCCATCAAAATGTTACTTCCAGTCTCTATAGTTTACTTCATTATTCAGTGCACTCCAAGCATAATGGAAATGTAGGCGTAAGTACGGCCTGTTCGACAGCTGAATAAAACATGTTCTTACTCAGACATGACATTCATCATTATAGACTAACTTGAAAGTTCAATCATTAGTGATGAATTTAACACTGTATTCTGGAGATTATTGAGTTGTTTGGATACTTGATAGACTACCATAACACACAAACACAGGCATTCACACACACATGGGTAATGTGTGCATTAGTGCTTTTAAAAGGGTGCATTAGTGCGACCTAATTCCATCAGTCATGTAGAGCAGATGGGAAAAGGTGGTGGCACATCAGGCATACCTGTTGTAATCAGATTCCAAACTGATACTCATCGATCTCTGACTGTCATTTGATCTCTTCCTGCTCTTTCTTTACCATACGTTTACTTTGTTGTCAGTCATTTCTTTTTGATTTGTTTGTCAGTCATATGAATATGTGATTTTGCTGTCCTCACTCTGCCAGCAGAAGAAAACATGGAGATCCCCAAACGTCAGCATCTTTGAATATTCAATCAGAGTCATTGAGTATTATAGGAATAGTTTAGCCAAAAAATGATATTACTGAATAATGACTTACATTTGGACTTAAATTATGACTTTTATTTTATTTGTAAGGGTCTATTTGTACTTTTTGGAGCACCTGGTCACTATGAACTGTTGTTATATGGCACACTGAAAAAAAATATGAACCTAAAATTTGCTTCATTTGGTAGCATCTACAGTACATTAAATTATTTTATTGAAGACAAAATATTATATTGCATGTAGTGCTGTCAAATCGATTAATTGCATCTAACATAAAAGTTTGCGTTAATACAATATATGTGTGTGTGTGTGTGTATATAATATATATATTTATATAAACACACACTTTTATGTTAGATGTGATTAATCGCGATTAATTGATTTGACAGCACTAAATATATTATATTATTTTTTATTATTTAACATTAGTGAATCAACCTAAATACACTAGATTTCCCTTACACATTTAAGGGTTAGATTAGGTTGAAATTGCTCCTAACAAATACATGTTAACACTGCATAATGATTTTTCAAAAATGTTTAGTTTTGTGTTCCATGGGGGAAAAAACACCATACAGGTTTGGAGCAACATGATGACGAGTAAAGAAAAACAAAAGATGCAATTTTTATTTTTGGGTGAACTATCCCTTTAATATGGTGATGTTAATTGTCCTGACTGCTGCTTTGCTGAAGGGACCCAAGGTGGTGCAGAAGTACACCCTCAACTCTTAGTTTTTGCCTTTTTCTTTTGTACCCATGTGTCTACAGGACAGACTACTTAGCCATTCCCTCTGAAAATAAAGAAAACCCGGGCCCTGCTGTAACGGAATAAAAGTCTTACACCATTACGGTATTTTTTGTGTTTACCTCTCAATTAGAAAAGTCATTAGTAATTCCCCACTCATCCCGAGTAGCTGACTAGAACTCCTCCACCATCACGGTCTGTTTCTCTCTTTCCTTGTCCACATCCTCTCTTTACATCACTGGATCTCCATTCCCATCCACTCAAGCTCATGCCACTCCTCTGTTCACTGCCATATCTGTCCAGCAATTACTAACCTCAGCTGATCTCTCAACATAATTCAATGAGAGGTAAAGTACAGCAGCGGGAATGCTGAGGTCAGGGATTGTTCTCTGTGTAAACTCCTTGATCGATGATTTTACATTGTTTAAATTGTTTTGGAATATGAGATGCATAGATAGTTGTGAAATGACATGGATCCATTTATTTTAATTTGCACTGTTTTTTAAATTTATTTTATTTATTCTAAGCAGCTTCCTGCAATGTCATCTGATATGTGTTACCAGAGTGATTTTTAATTTGAGGACGACTTTTTGTTGTCGATGGGGGTTATGTAACATCCTATGGAAGACTGTATGGAATGTTATAGAAACATGATTAGTATGGAAATGTAGATGTTTATTCATGTGGAACACAACTGCAAATTTGTATTACTACAGTATTATCATAGTACTACAGTATATATATATATATATATATATATATAAACATTTATATAGTAGTAATACAGATTTGCAGTTGTGTTCCACATGAATAAACATCTGCATTTCCAAAGTAATAAAATCATGTTTATTTTATATATATATATATATATGTATATATATTAGCTGCCTTTTTGGGGTGTTTGTGTTCCATGATTATCATCATGATCATGACATGGAACCCAACTGCAATTTATATATAGGATTTGTGTTGCAAATATACACTCTAACCAAATCTGGACATTGCTTTCTGTTTCAGGTACTGACCAGTCTTAATAGAAACCATTTTAAAATGGAGAACAGGCACTGATATCGTTCTAACACTCTGAAAGCTGCTTTGAGAAACCAGGAGACCTGCCAAATCAAATCCCTCTCGTCTTGATAATGTGATGTGTGGAACAAACTCTCGACTGGTCCATTATCTCCCACTGTCTCAGTGGAAGGCAGCAGTAACTCGAATCTAATCTCAGACTGATGAAGATCTGTATGTGTCTGTGTCTGTCCTCAACTTTTGCCTTAGTAGAGACACAAATACAGCAGCCCAGAGCTGAAGAGCTATCATACTGCCTATACACGCACTTTTCTTAAACAAATGTCAATCATTATCGTCAGAATGCCCATGTGAGCCTTTCCCTCTTTGGTATACGCTGCTCTTACTCTTTTGATAGAAATAGATGAAGTCTGGATTCCAATTAGACTTGGTTTTTATTGTAGTGTTTTCTATTCGCATTATAGTATTTTGTTTTTTATAGTGTTCTATTTAAGAAAAGAACTTTAGAGTCACTCAGATTTGCCACTTTGCAATCAATAATAAGTGAAACTGTGGCAGGTAAACTGCAGTAATGAGGACATACTGTGTACAGCAGTGAAAGCTCTTTGTGTGACTGAACACATGCTGTCATCTGCGTTTACATTGGTTATTGCAGACATTCTTGCAGCACTAAAGCAAGTTTACGGGATTAAGATTTAACTATCAATGCGTCATTGCATTATTCCACTGGATGCTTTGTCAACAATGGCAGTTTGTACTGAAGCCACATTGCAACCTTTTGCTATTGTTCAGTGGTGTTCAGCAGCAGTGATGGGATATACAGTATATACCGTAACCTTAAACATTTGCTTTATAATTCCACAGACTTATTTCAGATTGACTGTTGACAGATGGCTGGAAGTAATGACAAAATCCATTCAGCTGTTAAAATAACACTATGTGTTTGTATTTCCTTTTTTCCACTCTTGCTGTTATGAATATATAGATTTGTATTTAAATGTTTTTTTGTTTGTTATTTCCAGTGGTGCAGGCTTGACTCACTTTTAACTTTGCCTTTTGCATTGTTTTATATAGGTCATTTACCACCGCACAAACACTACACTTGCTCTATCCTGTTATAATGGAGCTGCTCATCACTTGTCAAAGCTTGTCATGTATATTAAACCAGGCAATGCATTTAAAAACACATGTCTGACTGCTTATTATTTAGAGACATTTCTCCCCCAGCCTTAACACATGGCATCTGGGTGCTAAAATATATTTATTTTAAATTAAAACTAAGAAAAAAAAGCATGCAAGATTTTCAAAACCATAGACAATCACACTTCTCAGACTATGTCATAGGTTCACTAACAAATCACATGTATAGTGTAAAAATAGGACTTTTTTTTAGGATAATGCATTACTTGAAAATTGAGAACTTTGTCTTATAGCACCGCCGGTCTATATAATCACACATACACAGTGAACAAATATTTTACAATTACATAATATACATAGAATATGTAATGACGTTATTAAACAAATAGGGCGTGCTGTACTGTCAACAATTGGTCCCTCTTGTCCTCTGCTATCTCCATACTCGTTGGATCCTGCTGATACTGAAGTAGGCCGTATCTGTTTCTCTCTTTCCTATATTAAAAATAATAATCGATGTGTACAGGCTTTTTTTCAAAGGGATATTGGCTCCAGACCTGCTATTATATCATTTTGGAATGGTTGTGCTGATAATCTGTTATGGAATAAAATCTGGAAACTTCCTCATAAATATTTAATCACAAACAAAATCAAAGAAATTTCACTTAAACCCATTTATAACTATTACCCATGTAATTATTATCTTGTGAACAGATTTAATTGTGATATTGATAAATTTTGATATCTACATGATGAAACATTTTATCATTTATTTATAGTTGTCCTCATTCAGTTTGACAAATCTTTTTATAAGGAATAGGCCTATTACTTAATCTGCTTCTTCTGTTAGCTAAATTTAGTATTCATAAATGTAAATTTGGAGAAAACAAGCCTTTGTTTTTAATTTTAAGAGCAGAAATTCAACAATACCCAAACACAATATTGAGTTTGAAAAATAAGAAAGTGTGTTTCAATCTGTAAACATTTTCGCATTTTTGTTTTACTTTTAAGTTCGTCACTGTTTCTGTATGTCTTTTTCTGTCTGTTTATTTAGTTTACTCATTGTACCCCCCTGACTGTAGTTGTAATTCTTAAAAATCAATCAATAAATACATTTAAAAAATTTTTTCAACAATTGGTCTTTGTCTCCCTCTGTAGTTCATACAGTGCATCTGCAGTTGACTCAAGTGGATGTTTTTCCATATTCATTCATTTTGTAATTAAAATTTAATGCAATTCAATGTGCTGCATGAGTATGCTTGGGTCAGAGTGATGTCATCAAAATCACTGATCCATTTTGGCGGAAGTGAGATACTAGACTAGACAACTTTTTCTTAAAATATAATAAAATATGTATTTTTGACAGACTAATTTAATTATACATGTCAAATAAAATGTGTATTTTCAATATGAATTGTATAAAGCGCTATATAAATAAAGGAGACTTGACTTTATTTGGGTTAAAAAATGTATATCGTTGCAGTTACATCACAGGATAGCCTACCTCTTTAATGTATGGTGGAAAATTTCCATAATATTTCCACTGGAAATATTATGCAGATTTTGTCACACATGAATTGTCTCTAAATTAATTAAATATGTATTTTAAAACAAAAATTTACATTTTAACAGCACACAAATTGTTATCCCCTAATACAAATGTACATTTGATGATTTATTGGTAGCCTATTTAAAGCTAAATTTTCAACTGTTGCAGTGTCCAAAACACTTAGGCACTTTATAAACTGACAAGTGACAACTAGGCCTACAGACATATTTCTGCTATGAGTTCTTTGACCACAAGAGTGCAGTGCTTTTATTTTGATAACGACAAACAAATACCACTGTAAAACATTGCGGGTAAAGCGACTTCTCTCAATGATTTAGTGTGAAACGACACGTTTAATGGATCTACAGCGACATGTGAGTATGTGAATGTCACTCTCATGGACAAAAATCCATCCAATAGACTTATTCCACACATACAGAGAGACCAACTCCCGTGGCTTACATTTGTAAAGTGGTCCCGGGAGACAACATCTGAAAACAAATTGATTTAGGTTCATTTTCAGGTGCTAAAGGCAAGTTGGCGTCTCTTACCTCAGAGTTGTACATTTTGAACCGCCTACCTGTCAACATCCTTTGATGTCCTTCTGGGACTTCTTATGATAGTGCTGTGCTTCCGAGAGTGCGCCTCTTAAATTAAAAATGATTCTTTGTTTTGTCTGGTAATTGCCTCTCAAAGTTCAGAGATTAGGGGCAGAAGAAAGGCAAATAGAGTCCCGCTGATTAAAGTGCTCTCAGAACATTCCTTACAAAGCGCAAATCCCCACTGAACTCATTTTAGTAGCCTACGCGGTGGAATGCATTTTCAACTCGGAGATCTGTAAGATTGAATAATGGTAGAGAATAAGAAAGAGGCAGAAATCTATTCCTTAAAGTTGAGAAGACCAAGAAATAACCAAAAAATCAAAGGAGGGGCGTAGATGATCTGATGCAGCACAGCAGGCCAGAGGAAAAACCGACACACCTCAGTGAGTTCACTCTGGTTTTATTCGACCCTCAATCACCTCAATAACTTTTTGGACTGTTCGTCGCACAATAAACTGTGATAGGAAAAACATGATGTACATTTTATCGACAGTGAGGTCAGCATGAAAGAAAAGAGTTTGCTACAAGAATAACAAATGATTAGCCTATGACTTTTCAGGCTTAGAAATATACAACACACACACACAGATATTTATAGGGGAGACCGGGTGGGTGGGGGTCAATTGTCAGTTTGAGATTGTATGACCAAAAAAAAAAGATTTTTCAGGAAAGAAAGTAAAAACAATTATTAAGATTATTTTTTGTTATTTCACCTGCATAATCTAAAGTAGCTATTTCTCTAGTTTAATCTGATGCTTTGCATTCATGCTAACTTCAAACCCACATGCTAAAACAGTTAGCCATGTTATGGCTGTTTGGGGTAGTTTTACCAGTTCATTAAAAATGTTACAAAACCCTTATGAAGATTTCAGTTATCAATCACGTCCGCTGCGAAGACAAAATCGCGTGAATTTTTTTTTTTGTTGCACATTGAGGGATTTATGTGCAGGATAAATATGTTTCATAGTTCATGCGCATGTCTTCTTATCGGATAAAAACATTATCGGCCTCATTGAACACATTTTGTTCACATTTTTTGAATTTATGCACATCTGGCCATTTCCAGCAAATGCAATATTGCAAAATTCACATAAAATTAGGTGGATGGCAACATAGCCAGTGACTGAATGAGACAGGAATACAGTACAGACACAAACACACACAGCAGTTGTTTTAGTACTAGATTTAAAGTCTTAATAGAAATACAATAAAAAAAATGTTCACATTATTCAAAACAAATTTTTCTTTGTTCTTCGATACCATTCTTGCATAAATTTAGATTGTGTGCATCCTATTTCTCTCATTGTTACATCTATTCCCAGCCTGTGTTACAAATCATCCCAGTAGTGCGGAAGGTTATAAAAACGGAACTCTTTGTGTTTGACATTAACTCAACATAATCTGTGAATCAAGTGAGTTTTATTTGTAGGAGACAAATGTGGCTACCAAAGTTTAAGAGATCTAGCACAAACAACCACTGAGTTATCGATGCTCAAACAAAAGGTGTTACTTTCATCCCAGGTCTCCCCCTACAGGTACTTCAAAATCAAATATAAAAATTGTAATTAATTAACAGCAAATGGAACTTCATCTAAATATGAAACACTTTTCAATGTATAGCTTAAATAAAAAGTGAATTACAGACGGCCTGTGGTCAATGTCAGGTCTTCCGCAGCAAGGCAATGGGCTTCTAGACTTCAGAGTAATTGGAGCTCAACGTCATGGTGACTGCCCTTGGGCCTCACTTTACATAAGCTTAAATTACAGTAATGCAGTCATGCACCAGTGCCCAGCATGTTGTCATCGCCATAAACGTAAAATAAGACATTCATCACTAAAACACATCTCTGGTTCTCACGCAAACAGAGTGTTCTGAGAGAAAGCTGAATTCAGTTTACAGCCTCAGCAGTGAATTAATCCAATTTAAATCTACGCTAATGAGAATATTGCTGTGAGAGACGACAGAGTTCTTCTTGCTTTATTTAATTAAGGACAAGTCTACAGGAGGACTTTTCCCGGTGCTCTGAGAAACGTTATCATTTTAAACCTCCTTCCACAGAATTGCATAGTTAATATAGAATCTGTCAGATCCTTTTAGAAATGCTTTTCACTCGGATGTTCCTCTAGGATGCTCTGCCATTACTATTCCACACTCTATCAATTTCACAGATAGTTAGTTACGGTCTCTCATACTGTCCTCTGCTTGTGCACAAAGATAATTTTCAGGCTTTGTTGTGAAACTCTGTTTTTTTTTTTAAAAGAGGAGCATCGTGAGCGGCTTGCTTATACCAGCCACAGTGGCGAATTTTTCTATTTGTGGCACTTTCACCTGCTTTCACCCCTATATGAGCATGTTCCGCATACTAACATCTCAGAGTGGG